ATTCCAAACATCCTGGGTGCTGTTGTAATTCCTCTGGTGGAAAGATGTATGTCAGCTTGTCACAGTGCAGGGCTTGTTGTGCGGTGGTTAGGACACCTGCTCCCAGGCTCACAGCACAGTGTCCGCCTTCTGTTTCCGCTCCAGTTTCCTTATGGTGCAGATCCTGGGAGGCCGCAGTGTTAGCATAATGGGAAAAAAAACACGCATGTTTCTTGACATTCTGGGTTTTCTTCTAAATCTGTGTTTTGTTTTTCTTAATCATAGTTTCCTGATAACAATAGTTAGTATGTAAGAATAATACATTATCTTTTTTAACTCTTCTGTTGAAAAACAACAATAAGGCCTGGTGCCATACCCTTGTGGCTAAATTCCTTGCCTTGAATGTGCCAGGATACTATACGGGCACCGGTTCGTGTCCCAGTGGCCCTGCTTCCCATCCAGCTCCTTGTTTGTGGCCTGGGAAAGCAGTTGAGGACAGCCCAAAGCTTTGGGAAGAGGCTCCTGGCTGCTGGCTCCTGCTCCTGGCACTTCACTTCAGATCAGCTCAGCTCCAGCTGTTGTGGCCACTTGGGGAGTGAATCAACAGATGGAAGATCTTCCTCTCTGTCTCTCCTCCTCTCTATATATATCTGACTTTGCAATAAAAATAAATAAATCTTTTAAATTAACCCTATCCATTAAAGCAAAACCAACAATAAAGAGCACTGTCACACAGTAGGCAGCTTCCGAATGGAAGGACAGAGCCCCCTAAAGATGGTTATATCAAGTGCACTCAGCTCTGTGACCCCAGACACCGAAGTGCTGGGTGGTGGGAGCTAACTTTTTTTCATTACTTCCCTAGAGACGCAACAGGGACACATAGGATTTATGAGCTGCACAATAAGAGGAAAAGAGCTACTGTAATTCTTTTGTATTGTGCTTCCTTTTGTTTTTGTAATATTTATTTTTATTTTTATTGGAAAGGCAGATTTAGAGAGAGAAGGAGAGAAAGATCTTTTGTCTGCTGCTTCACTCCCCAAGTGGCCACAATGGCCAGAGCTGGACTGATCTGGAGCCTGGAGTCTCCTCTGGGTCTCCCACGTGGGTGCAGGGTCCCAAGGCTTTGGGCCATCCTCGACTGCTTTCCCAGTCCACAAGCAGGGAGCTGGATGGGATCAAAGTGGAGCAGCTGGAATACAATCCATTGCCCATATGGGATCCTGGAGCTTGCAAGGCGAGGATTTAGCCACTGTGCTGTCGTCCTGGGCCAGTGCTTGCTTTCTGTTACATTGTTGGCCACCACAGCCGGCTTCCTGCAGCCTTCCTCACTCAGCAAGCCCCTGCCCTCATCTAAAGTCTTCATTGATGGTGGCTTCCTCCCCACTAAGTTCTGACTTCTTAGTGTGGGGATTGACAAACAAGCCAAGACTTGTTTCATTGCAGTAGTGCAGTGGATGAGGGTGTCATTACACAATACATTTGTGGGAACTGTGACTCCCAATATATTGATGTTAGGGGACAGGGACTTTGGGAGATAATAGCGACATGAGAGTGAGACTTCTCCCCATCCTGAGGGGAAGGTGCGCCCTTTCCGACGGGTTTCAGGGAGCTTTCCTGAGGATGCCAAAAGGAGTTGACAGTCTGTAACCCAAACACATCCCCTGACTTTGGACATGTAGGTTTAAGAACCATGAGCAGTAAGTGTTTGCTGTGTGTTAATTACTCAGCCTGTGACACTTTACTTTAGTAGCCCAAGCTAAAACTTACAGCCACATTGAAGTATTTCATTTATGTGTTTAGTAATTGCCTGCTTGTATAACAACAGTTGAGTAGTTATAACAGAGACCTTCACAGCTTGCAAAGTCCTAGGCATGTTTTTATCTGTTCCTTTACAGAAAGTTTGCCGACTTTCCTGGTCTAGCACCTAAGGAACTAGGCATTTCTCACTGTGGGATTTCAAGTTCCAAGTTCCCTGTAGCAGCCTTGTAGCATACGAACGTTAGACCGCATTTCACTTTCTGAAATGGTCCTAGTTCTGTTTTAAATTCATCTGGGCAGTAACAATATTTGTGATTTTTTGTTTGTTTGTTTTTCTGCAACTCTAGTATGAAGAAATTTTGAAATACTTGCATATTTTGGGGTCCTCTGTATTATATAAGAAAAACTAAGGTGTGAAACGGGGAAGAAAGGAGGTGCATTTTGATTTGGGTTGACAACATCTTCATTAGGTAAATGTTGGACTCAGTTTTGGTCACCAGTATCTGTCAGTTTAAGTGATTTTTTCGCATGGGTTTGCTGTCTTGATTTTTCTTCCCACGTGAGGTACTGAGGAGAGGGAGATGCCTTACCCAGTGCTGTGTTCTAAGAACTGCAGCGTTCGATGATGACAGTAGGCTTTCAGTGATGCTTGAGTAAATGAGCTGGTACATTTTAAAACAAGATTCTGATTTTCTAAAACCTCTATAGTCACTTTGTATTTAGAAATCAGTAGTAATTTAAAATCTGCAAGCCTCTGTGAGGAAAATATCCTTTCAAATTAATCATAATTGTTAGTCTGCTGTCTTTAGATAATAATAGCCATATTTTCACTTTAGTAAGGCTTTTTTTTTTCGTACTTGATTATGCTGATTAATCGATGGAAAAAGTTAAATGCTACATTTTTATTAAGTAAATATCACACTGTATTTGATTCTTTACCTTGACTTTGGAAATTATTCTAGGTCCTAAAATATCTTCTTTAAAAAAAAAAGTTTGTATATCTGAGAGGCAGAGTGACAACAAATGAGCAAGAGAGAAATATTTCCTCCACTGTTTGACTCCCCAAATGCCTGCGACAGCCAGGTGGGCCCAGGTGGAGGCTGAGGGACGAGAATTCCGTGTGGGTCTTCCAGGAGAGAGGCAGGAAGTACCAGGCTGTCCTCTGCTGCTTTCCGGCACATTAGCAAGAAGCTGGATTGACAGTGAAGGCCTGGACTCGGTGACAGGGACACAGGCTTCTGGCCTAACTCGCGGTGCAACGACACCTACCCCCATACTTTCCTGTGTGGAATCTGATCTTGTTCCCTAACGGGCTGTTTTAATTCCACTCTTGTGATAGCGCCACGCATTCACTAGTTACAAAGTCATATTCCAAGCCACTTAAAGTTGAAATTAATTTGCATTGAAAATACTTATTATCTAATAAGATTTGCTGTAAAATCAGATGAATGATTGGAAGCAGCTGTGCTAACTAGTATCCTTCGTGGTGAGATGGGAACTAGGTGTAAGGAGCCAGCGCAGTGTAAGGGTCGTTCGCTTAGGAAAGCGCTAATTGAACACAGCTCCTTGAGTTTGGGTTAAGGGAAACATTCCTGAGGAAGTCGTTAATGGCTCTTAAAAATATCAGCAACATGATGAGTTTTCTTTTTTAAGGTTGTGTTATTGTTTTATCTAAAGCAAATAGGATACAGGGAATATAATAGAAGAATAGCTTGTTGCAGTTTAAGGAAGTTGACACTGTTCAGTTGCAGAGCTCAGCGCACTGCTGCCTGCAAGGGCACCTCTGGCCGAGCGCCTGTTTTTCTGAAGCAAGTGAACTAAGCGTGGTTTCCAGTGTTTTTAGCTGTATTTTCCTTGCACTCCTTTGAAGATGCTACCGCTTACTCTGTCTTCTTTTACCTTCTAGCTGACAAGATCTCCATTGTCTTCTTTATATAATTTGTCTTTTAAAAAAATTCTGGGTGATTTTAAATTGTTCTCAATGATTTTGAGCAAGTTGCTTTTAATGGGCCATGTTCCAGTTTTCCTTGTTTCTTGTGCTTGGTGATTGTGCATTAGTTAAACTTTCAGGATTCATTGGCTTATTATTTTCATAAAATTTTGTGAAGTTTGTGCTTTGTACCTAAGTACCTATGTGTGTTGGATTATCTTGTTTTTAATTATTATTATGAGAAAGTCAGAGATAAAGAGGAGGAGAGACATGAAGATCCACTCTCCAAGTGGCCACAACAGCCACAACTGAGCCCATCTGAAGCCAGGAGCCAGGGGTCTCTTCTGGGTCTCCCACGCCAGTAAATGGTCCCAAGGCTTTGGGCCATCCTTCTCTGCTTTCCTAGGCCACAAGCAGGGAGCTGGATGGGAAGTGGGGCCGCTGGGATTAGAACCAACACCTATATGGGATCCCAGTGCATGCAAGGCGAGGACTTTAGCCACTCTGCTATGGTGCCAGGCCTGCCGATGATGTTAAGCAGTTCTGTTCCCAGGTGTTTTTGGGACTTACCTCCAGTAAACAATGTGACATGTGTAATGTTGATACAGAGTTGTTTCATTGGTATTGGCAGAGATGTGAAGGTGTTTGGATGAGTCATCCACGTGAACTTCTGTTATTTGAGAGCAGATGGATTATCTACTGGGCTTCCATGTTCTGGATCATTTACCAGATAAAAAGGGAACTCAATCCAGGACGTTGACATGGGTGGCAGGAACCCAGCTCCTTGAGTCACTGCTGATGTGGCCTACCAAGGTCTCCACTGGCAGCAGGGAGCTGCAGTGAGGAGCCAGAACCAGTAGCTGAACCTGGAACCTGGCAGGCACAGAGGCATCCTAACTGCTAGGCCAAAATGTGATTTAATTTGAAAGGCCAAGAGCTAGAGAGTGAGCACGTGGATGTGCTCTTCAGGTTCCCACATGACGCGACCTGGAGCTGGATCGGGCCAGGCCTGCCTTGTGGGTGGCAGGAGTGCAGTCCCTGGAACGTTCTGCCGCCTCACAGGGTCCACACGAGTGGGGTGCTGCCGGCGGGAGGGCGGCTTGGCTCTGAACCCCAGCACTGTAACTTGGGGCATGGGTGTCTTAGGCTTGCCTCCTCCAGCTCCGCCTATCCACAGACTCTGCAGTCAGCTCAGTTGCAAGGACTGGGTGCACTAAAAGTTACGACTATAAACCAAAAGCCAGCATCGTGAAGTTGTGTTTGTGCATTTTGTGTGTTTGATTTGGAAAATACTCTTAAAAATTAGGTTAAATTCTCTTGTTTTTCCTTTTAGAACCTTCTGATAACTTAAGAGAGATTCTCCAAAATGTGTCCAAATTACAAGGAGTATCAAATATGAGAAAGCTAGGTCATCTAAATAACTTTACTAAGGTAAGTAACAGTCTTCATGAATGTTTCCTGCAATGATTTTTGTTCTTTACCATATTTAATAGATGTTTCTTGATTGTCACTAAAAGGGAATTCATACTTTTTCTTTTTTTTTTTTTATTAATTGTATTGCATTATGTGACAGTGTTCTATGCACTGGGATTTCCCCCCCACCCTCCCCAGAATTCATATTTTTTCACTCATTGGTAGTAGTGCTTTTGTCTGTATCTCATAGATTTATTTCTAAAAAGCATATGAATAATGGAAATATTATATAGATGCGGAAAATTTGATGGGTTCTGAAAAGAAAGAATCACTGACAGTTCTTGCCCGTGGTGCTGTGCTCCCTCCGCCCGCCGCGCATTTTACTTGTTATTGTAGAAGTCACAATTTGTACCTAAGCACCTATGTGTGTTGGATTATATAGATGCAATGACAGTTCTCAGAGAATTGATTTTTTTTCACATTTCTTGCTTCAGTATTCCCATTATATAATCCAGATCTAGATTAGTGCCCAAGAAAAATTGGGGGAGAGGCAAATATGTGTAGTAAGTTAAAAATTCTTAGTATTCTATGTGAATTGGTACGTTTTTAAGTCCTGTAATGCCAAGTAGCCAACTTAGAGAAGCAGCAACATATCTGTGTGTGTGTGTGTGTGTGTGTGTGTGTGTGTGTGTGTGTCTGTCTGTCTTGTCTGTAAGTAATTCCAGGTCGGGGAGGGGAACATGTGGCCCATGAAATCACAGGATGTGGCTGATCCAAAGAAACTGGAAGTGGGACTGAAAATTGAGGGAATCTCTCTAGAAGATCATTTTTTTTGGTAGGTTTATTTATTTTTATTGGAAAGTCAGATTTACAGAGAGAAGGAGAGACAGAGAGGAGGATCTTTCATCCACTGGTTCACACCCCACATGGCTGCAACAGCTGGAGTTGAACCCATCTGAAGCCAGGAACCAACAGCTTCCTCTGGGTCTCCCACCCAGGTACGGGGTCCCAAGGCCTTGGGCCATCCTCTTCTGCTTCCCCAGGCCACAAGCAGGGAGCTGGAAGGGAAGTTGAGCATCTCGTGCCCAAACTGATACCCGTATGGTATCCCAGCACATGCAAGGTGAGGACTTTAGCCATGAGGCTACCGCACTGGGCCCCAGAAGGCTAATTTTTTTTTTCAGTTGATATAGCTTGTGAATGTTAAAATGTCGATGGCGTAGGAGATATTTTGAGTGATACCCTAAAGGCAAAACAAAATAGATTGTGTGGGATCATTTTTGAGTCATTCTTATTGGAAAGGTGGAGAAAGAGTGATTTCTGTTCCTTTCAATGCTGTATTCTCCAAGTGCCCACAGTGGCTGGGTGGGTTGTTCTGACAGTCCAGGTGCTGGGCCCTCAGTCCCAGTTCTGTGGTAGGAGGCCCCGCCGTGTAAGCCATCAGCGCTGCCTCCAGGGCTATGCCCCAGTAGAAAGCTACAGAGGATTCGGGCCAAATGCCCAGCCCTGGGATGGAGGTCTCCCCTGTTTCTTGTTAGCATCCTGAATGTAAATTTGGGAATAATTGTATGTTTTTGTGCAGTGCGTAACCTAGCACTGTTGGTCACCTTGGAGCTTGTTTGAAAGTGCAGTATTTTAGGTCTCATGTTGAGTCAGAATTCAGCTTAGTAATGATTCTGAGGTAAATCTAAGTGTAATTCAAGCTTGAACAGCGCTGTTTTAATCCTTCCATTTGATTCTTTGGTTAGTAAATGACTTGTGGCTTGGATTTGATTTTATCTTCTAGAACTACAAGGAGTTGAGTAGACAGTCACTATGTTGCAAAATGATTTCAGCATAGTAATGTGCCAGGAATATAGCTAGCTTGCTCTGTTCAGCGTTAGGGGTGTGTGTATGTTTCTTTAGTTTGAAGCTTGGGAGCATTGCAGTATTATGTATGCAAGTGTTCAGATTGGGGCTTTTATGGTAGGCCAGTCCTCTGCCTGTGATGCTGGCATCCCATAAGGATGCTGGTTCGTGTCCCAGCTGCTCCACTTCCCGTCCAGCTCCCTGCTTATGACTTGGGAGAGCAGCAGAGGATGCCCCAGGTCCTTGGTTGTTTGCACCGCTGTGAGATACCTGGGGAGCTGGAAGGGAAGCAGGGCCAGTGGGATTTGAACTGGTGCCCATATGGGATCATGGCATGTGCAAGGCAAGGACTTTAGCTGCTAGGCTACGGTGCCAGGCCCAGATGGAAGATCTTTCTTTCTCTTCTGCTCTCTGTAAATCTGATTTTCCAACAGAAATAAATAAATCTTTAAGAAAAGCATGGAGTGATTTAAGTGTTCCTTTCATTAAGTGTTTTTTTCCGGAAGGTTTATTTAAAATATAGAGTTACAGAAAGAAAAGGAGGCAAAGATTTTCCATATACTGGTTCAGTCTCCAAATGGCTATAACGATGGAGAGGGGGCCATGCTGAAGCCAGGAGCCTGGAATTCCTGCTGGGTCTCCCACACGGGTGGCACGAAACACTGCCCCAGGCACATCAGCAGGCAGCCAGGACTCAAATGGGGGCTCATACGGGATTCCACTGTCACCAGTGGCAGTTTAACTTGGTGTGTTCCACAGTGGCAGCCCTGAAATAAGTGCCCCTGACTCCCAGTTTGTCTTCATTTGAAAGATGGGTGAGGGGGGATCGGAAGGAGGAGAGAGATCGATCGATCTTTGATTTGCTGTTTCGCTCCACACAATGCCGCAGTGGTCAGGGCTGGGTCAGACAGACCAGAGCCAGGAGTCCAGAATTGCTTCCAGGTCTGCCGCAAGATCCCCTGCCTGTCGCCAGGCATTCAGGTACTTCAGCCATTGTCCGTTACTGTTTGGAGCATGCCAGTCGGGCCGAGGTGATCCGAAGCAGCCCTCAATGGGATATGGACTCTCAAGCAACAGCTTAAGAGCTCATGTTCCGAAATCTTCACTTCTAAGAATGTATTGGACAGTTCTCCTTCCCCTTCTCTAACTTTCCTTCATTTCTGTCTTTTTTTTTTTTTTTGCCAGGGGGGCGTGGATTGTTGGGGGGGTTAGGGTCAGTTTCTCTATCTCTTTTTCTGTTTGTTTCTGTCTTTGCCTGATTTTCTCCTGTAGTATTTCAGTAACTTCTTCACTTGATGGCAGCTGTAGCTACTGTCCCCACGGCTACCATTGTCCTTCAAAAAAATATATTGGGCCCAGCGAGGCAGCCTAGCGGCCAAAGTCCTCACCTTTTACATGCTGGGATTCTACATGGGCGCTGGTTCTAATTCTGGCAGCCCCACTTCCCATCCAGCTCCCTGCTTGTGGCCTGGGAAAGCAGTCGAGGACGGCCCAAAGCCTTGGGACCATTTACCCATGTGGGAGACCCAGAGGAAGTTCCTGACTTTCGGATTGGCGCAGCTCTGGCCGTCGCGGCCACTTGGGGAGTGAATCAACGGACAGAAGAGCTTCCTCTCCTCCTCTCCTCCTCTCTGTATAACTGACTTTACAATAAAAATAAACCTTTAGAGATATAAATTATTTATTTGAAAGTGGCAGAGTTGCTAATTCAGTCCCCAAGCACTTGCAACAGCTGGGCCTGGGCCATGCTGAAGTCAGGAGCAACAAACTCTCTGGGTCTCTTGCGTGGATGTCAGGATCCAGAATATTTTGGTTGTTATCTGCCGTCTCCCAGGCTCGTCAGTGGGGAGAGGTGTAGGTGTTCCAGGTGGCAGCTTAGCGTGCTGTTCCGCAGCAATTAGCCCGTGGTCTCTGCTGCTTTATCTGTGCTCTGCTCTCTTCTCTTCTCTTGTTCCTCTCCTCCCCCTCCTGCCCGCCCTTTCCTGCTGTCCCTTTTATCCTTCTCTTCCTTGAGCTGTGCCTTTCTCCTTCCTTCTTCCATTGTACCACTGGAGAATGTGCAGTGATATCTGAATCGGGGCGCTAGCCTCTTGTGCTGCTCACATGTGCTTGTTTTTGTTTTGTTTTACAATATCCCCTTTTAAAAATACAGTCGCCCTCTAGCCTTGGTGCCATCCTGTAGAAGTCCTTTTATTTGTCATTAGCCATTGTCTCCAGTTAGAGGGGCAGAGCCCAGAGTTGGAGTCTAAGGCTCTGACCCATGAACAAAGCTCATCAGCTTTGGACTTGATAGCATCTGTTCCAGCTGGTTATTGGGGTGATGGAAAAGCCTGAGCTTCAGATCAAACAGCTGGTGCCTTGCAGCTCTGCACTAAGTACAGGACAATCTTGCGAAGATCCTTTGTAAGCCTGCTGCTGCATTGAACAGCAGGTTCTCGATATACCATCTGGCACTTAGTAGGTGCTCTGTGACAGGTGGAACCGTGCACCTTGGGTTGTGGATGAGCACTTTTTACCACTCTTTGGGCGACTCAGCTGACTTCAAGAAGGTGAAGATGCGTATTAGTCTTGTTTGCAGGCGAGAGTACAGTGTGGGCACTGTGGCCCCACCAAGAGGAGGTTGTTTTGAGACCTTTGTGCACCACACTGCCACCACTGACTGTGGAAGACAAAAATGGCCGTGGGCATACCAAGTGTTCACTGGCCCCGGGGCACTGAATTACCTCCAGATGGAACCCACTGCTGTAAATGAGTGTGGATTTTTAGAAAGGATTTATTTTTCTTCGAAAGATTTTTTTGAGAGAGAAGGAAAGACAGATCTTGGTTCACTCCCGAAATAACCACAATGGCTGGAATAGAGCCAGTCTGAATTCAGAGCCAGAGGCCTGTTGAAGGTCTTCCACGTGGGTACAGAGACCCAAGGACTTGGACAGAGTAGCAGGTGCTGGATCAGAAATGGAGCAACCAGAACTTGAACTGGTGCTTATCTGGGATGCTAGCTCCATAGACAGATGCTTAAGCTACTATTCCATGGCATCAAACCATATAGATTTTGTTGTACGAAATGATGACTGGGGCTGATGCTGTTGGCATATCAGGTAATGCCTCTGCCTGCGGTTCCAGAATTCCTTGTGAGCGCCAATTTGGGTTCTGGCTACTTCACTTTCAGTCCAGCTCCCTGCTAACATGCTGGGGAGGACAGTGGGCAATGCACCAAGTCCTCAGATCCTGCACCCACGTGTGACAATTGGAGAAGCTGCTCTGGCTCAAGTCTGACCTAGCCTTGGTCACTGCAGCCGTTTGGGGAGTGAACCGTTAGGTGGAGAATCTCTCTCACTCTCTCTGTAATTCTTTCAAGTTAAACAATCCTTAAAACACAAGTTTTAAATTGTTTCTTAGTAAGAAAGCTGACTGTATAAATACTGAGTTTTTTCAATATTCCTGTTAAATCTGTAAGTTCGTTCTCTTATTAAAATTTAGAAACTTTTAGAAATCTAAAAGAGTTCTATGAGATAATAATAAAATAATAAAATGATAATCTTGTGGGGCAGGTGGTGAAAGCAGTTAGTTGATCATTCTGGTCAGTGTTCCATTAGGCTGTATATGTGTATGAAACTTTAATTTTTTTTATTTGTTATAGGGTACTGTCAGTGAATAGTTTTCCACAAAATGGCATTATTTTTCAACTCTGATATTAATTTCTACCCAAAGTCTGACACATAATAATTGTTTATTTAATGCTATTGTGTTAGATTGGGAAGGTTCTTCATCTAGAATATGAAATTAGTTTTGTTATACAGAGTTAGACTGTCTGTGTTAAATTACCTTTGTAGATGAATGATGCCAAAATGCTGTGTGGGTGAAAATTCAACCCCTTGCAGGGTGTGAGCGAGGGATTCCTGGTGTGATCCTGTAAGCATGCGCATGTCATGCACCCGTGCTCGGCTTCTGACATCATTTCACCAGCTAGTCATGTGCATCATGAGACTGCTGAGGAATATAATCTTAGTAGTCTAATTTTAAAACTGACAACATGCTTATAATCTAAATACCTTTTTAATCATGAAAAATTTTAAGCCTGTGTAACATTCTTAAATTCTCCTTCTTTAATCTTACATTTAAACCCAAAGGAATATTTTATTCTATTAAAAAATTAATACAACAAGTTTAAGTGGTATAGAAGAGCGTATGGTATACAGTAAAAGTCCTGTCTCGTGTATCTTGGCTGCCCGCCTTCCCATTCTGCCATTACTCTCGAGGTAATCTCTCAAAGTTGCTTCTTTTCTGGTGTAATTATAAATGTGTGTTCATGTGTTTCATTGGATTGTAACAACTAAATGTGAGAACTAGAATGAAGTCTTTAGGACTCGTTACCATTGTGTGTGAATGTGTGTGTGTGTGTATGCTGTATGTATGTATGACTGGCAGCTTGCTCTGTTCCATGTGCCAGTATATCGGAGTAATTTCCTTTTCCGCACGTTTGTACAGTGTACTTTTTTCTAATTTGTACTTACTAGAGAAACAGGACTCTCCTGTCTCCTTGTTCGCTGCCCAGGGAGCCCTAGTGGCCAGAGCTGGCCCAGGCTCGAGCCAGGAGCTCTAGCTTCCTCCTGGCCTCCCATCTGAGTGTTGGGTGCCAGACACTTGGGATACTTTCACCAGTTTACCCAGTCCACCAGCAGGGACCCTCATGGGAACTGGAGCAGGCAGGACTCTAACCAGCGGCCATAGGGTCACTGAGCAGTAACATGCTGAGCAGTAATGGTAGCCCAACAATGTGATTTGATTTTTTAAATAGCTGTGTGTACGTGTGTGCTCCTAAATTGCTCTCTCAAATACTATGCCATGGGATTCTAGTAGGGGTGATTTTTGCTTATTTAGAATGAGTTAGCCTTCGGAGCAGTATGAGTAAGATGGGGACCATAGCTGCTGCCGTCCATTTTAAACTAATCTTTATGTTTTTTATAAGATGATTTTTATAAGCCTCATAGAAAAAGTTTTTGTTACCTAAAGATGATTTACAGTTCTATTTTTTAAATATTCATTTTTATTGGGAAGGCAGATGTACAGAGAAAATGAGATACAAAGTATATACAGGGAGAAAGATCTTCCCTCCGCTGGTTCACTCCCCAAGCGGCCACAACAGTTGGAGCTGAGCCCATCTGAAGCCCGGAGCCTGGAGCCTCTTCTGGGTCTCCCGCTCGGATACAGGGTCCCAAGACTTTGGGCTGTCTTTGACTGCTTTCCCAGGCCACAGGAGCAGCCAGGATTAGAACAGGCGCCCACATGGAATCCTGATGCATGCAAGGCAAGGACTTTAGCCACTAGGCTGCCGTACTGGGCCCTACAAGTCTATTTAAACGTTGTGAGACTATAATAGTATCGCTAAAAAAAAAATTAATACAGAAAATTTAAGTGATTAATATTTCCATATTTAAGAAAATTGTATAGTTTATAATAACATTGTTGCACTAATGATAAAAATTAGGTTTTTTTGTTTTCTAAGATTTATGTGTTTTTTATTTGAAAGGTGTAATTACAGACAAAAGAGACACTGAACTTGCTACTACTGATTCACTCCTTATAAACATTCGTTTGTAAAGGTTGGGCCAGGTGGGAGTCAGGAACTGGAAACTCTATCTGGTTCTCCCACATGGGTGGCAGCAGCACAAGCACTTGGACCATCTGCCGCTGCTTTGCTAGGTGTAACTGGTAGCTGGATGGGAAGTGGAACAGCTCAGGTGAGACACAGGCGGTAGATTAACTGGCTGTGTCACAACACTAGTGTACAGGAACCTTCCAGAGCAAAATAAGCCAATGCTGTATTATCAAACCTTTGCACCATTTTAAAAATGAGATTTATACAGTAGTCTTTGTTTTACTTTTAGAGAAACTGAATTTGCTATAGTAGACTCATAAAAATAGTAGTGGACGTCTGATGATAGTCAATATTTTTCTCGGTTTCCAAATGACAAATTCAACAAATTTTTGGATTCAGCAAATGTAGTTCACCTGAATTAAAACAAATGAAATTATTTCTTTACATAATGGCAGCAGAGCAGGTTACAATGTGTTAGTTATTCGCCCCCATTTCTCAGTTCTTTTTCTTTGACTTCTTTTTCAGATTAACCCTTTTCATTTGACCAAAGGACATCATTTTTACAAATTTCTTAGAAAGGGGTAGCTATAGTTAGGGTTTATTTTTTGCTTTAATATTTATTTTATTTTTACTGGAAAAACAGACTTGTAGAGAGGAGCGATACAATGAGAAATATCTCTCAACCACTGGTTCACTTCCCAAATGGCCGCAGTGGCTGGAACTGAGCCAGTCTAAAGCTAGGAACCAGGAGCGTCTAATGGGTCTCCACGTGAATGCAGAGTCCTGAGGTGTTGGACCATCCTCTGCTGCTTTCCCAGTCACTCTCCAAGTGACCACAACAGCCATGGCTGGGCCAGACTGGACCCAGGGAGTCTGTCCCAGTCTCCCACATGGGTGTCAGTGGTAGGGGCCTGAGCATTTGAGCTATAATCTGCTATCTTCCCAGGGGCTTCAGCAGGGAGCTGAATTGAAAAAGTGCTGCCAGAATTTAAATTGTCTTTGTGATGGTGCTGGTGTGTAGGTAGAGTTGTTTAATGTGCTGTGCCTCCACACTGATCCCTTAATATTGCTTGCTAGTGTTGAAATGATTACTTATCAATTGACATTATTTCTGTTATAAATAATATATTCATAGAATACTATTTGTCAGTACCATGCATTGTCTGTGCATGCATCTGGAATATATAATACATGTTCACAATAAATGAATTACAGAAAACTGTAGAGGAAATTAAGATTCTGCTTTCCTTGAGTTAACTTGTTTTAATGTTACAATTTTTTTGTATAAGCTTTAAACAATGTTTCTTTCAGACACTTGAAATTGAAATAAATGTTCTGTGCCTGTATTAACTTTTTTGGCCTGTCATTTGTTTGTAATATTTCATTTTAATTTTTGTGTTCATTTTTGAATGAGGGAGGAAGACAGAGAGGTCTGCCATCTGCTGGCTCAAATGACTGCAGGTGGCGAAGGCAAAGGGTGAGCCCCAGCTGGGAGCCTGGACCTCACTCTGGGTCTGCCCCTTAGGGGGCCAGGACCCCAGGATTTGAGCCTTCACTGTTGCCTTCCAGCGTACACAATTGTGCAGGGCCCTTTGGTTGGTGTGTTACAGCTGCTGATTGAAGGAAAGAGGAAAACAATTTTTCCAGCCTAAAAACGTGTCTGAGTATCTGGGCATCTGCAGCTCATCCTTGCTTTGTTTTTCTGACAGCTGCTCTGTGATATTGGCCACAGTGAAGAGAAACTGGGCTTCAACTATGAAGATATCATAATTTGGTAAGTGCGGTTAAGTCCCTTCCTCTATCCCGTCCATGTTTTAGTAACTTTAATTTTATGAATTTTAAAGTAGGACTAAAATAGTATAGCCCTTTGTATTGATTTTGTACTAACAATGCCTTGGATAGTTGAAAAATTCATGATCTTTTATATTTTGTAGTTCTGTGCTTGCTAGCCGTATTTCCTAAGGGTTGAATATAAAGAATCAAAGTTCATATTCAGAAATGCCTCCTCAAGTTCTATAATTTCAACTTTGAAATGAAGTCTAAAAGTGGCAGGCTGAATTTCTCATATGTTTCCTAAGAAAAAAGGAAACTTAAAACTAGGTGGACAAACTTGATCAGCCCAGTATGTTTAATAGAGGCATGGTATGAGGCTTAAATGTACTTTCATGAACTATTCTGTAGCAACCCTTGGGAACTAAAATTGAAATAAATGGTCTGTGCTTGCTATCATTGAAAAGCAGAGAGGAGTACGCGAATATGCTAGTTTGGAAAAGCTGTATTTAATTTCATATTGTGAGGTAAATGAGCTATGGAAGATAGAACAAAACTCAGTCCTACTTTTTTTTTTCCCATTTAAAGATGTATTTGTTTATGTGAAAGGCAAAATTGCAGAGAGAGACAGAGAGATCTTCCATCTGCTGATTGACTCCCCAGATAGCCACAGCAGGTCTGGGCCACACTGAAACCAGGGGCCGGGGATGTCTGCCCTGTCTCCCATGTGGGTGGCACAAACTAAGCACTTGGGCCATCTTTGCTGCTTTGCCAGGCACATTAGCAGGGAGCTGGATTGAAGTGGAGCAGCTAGGACGTGAACCGGCACCCCCATGGGATGCTGGCCTTCCAGGTTACAGCGTGGCCTAGTATGCTCTGTGCCAGCCTCTCAGTCTTTCTCTTTCTTGGTAATAATGCAAAGATTAGATCCCCACCACCAAATCAAAATCCATGGCTTGGAGTGAATGACATATAAAATGACCATAAACAAAAGTTTTAGGGAGAGTTTGATAAAATTTGGGTATTCCTAATCTGAAAATTCAAAATGTTTTGAAATCTGGAAGTTGTTAGAGCATCATGTTTGGTGCTCAGAAAATTTCAGGTTTTCATTTCTGGATTTGAGTTTTCAGATTAGGGATGGTTCAAGTCTATGCATATCTTCCAAGCATGCAAAGCCTGTTACCCGACAAGCATTCCAGGTAAGAATTACTCAGTCTGTAATATAATCTGGTGTGTGTTTGAGCGCATGCCGTGAACCTATAGCTTTTTGTTTTTCTGTAGTTTGCGCTTAGCTTTACTAAATGAAGCAAAAGAAGTCCGAGCAGCAGGGCTCCGGGCACTTCGGTATCTCATCCAAGACTCCAGTATTCTGCAGAAGGTGCTAAGACTGAAAGTGGACTATTTAATAGCTAGGTAAGTTTCCTCGAATAGTTTTATGTTTTAGAATTTTGTTTTGAGTTTTAGCATACCTAGTGTTAAATATGTAGATTTTTACCATAGAAGCTTGAGAATTTTTGAGTGCACACAAACAAGTTGAAGCAACTTTAGAACATGTAAGAATCTAGGTAGATCTCCTTTACCCTTTGCATCAACAGTAACCGTTATTCTCACTGTTCTAGTTACAGACTAGTTTGTCTTATTTTTGAAGAGCATGTATTGGTATTTTTCATTTCTAAGATCTATGTCATTTTTAAAATTTATGTCACGTTTCATTTGTTTATTTTCTGCCTATGCTCAGTGGCTGTTCGGAGTGACGCTGTCCTTGTGCAGGTTCCGTTAGTACTCACACGTGTCCCTCTCCTTTGGGTGCACGTGGCCCCGGGGGTTCAGCTCCCGAGGGATGAGTGCACAGGAGCCTTCCCAGATCCGGACGGTTGTCCAAGTGCTTGGGCTCCTTCACTGCTGTCAGTCATGAGCCCGAGTCTTGTTTCTCCACAGAAGCACTTGGCATTTTCCATCTTTAATTACAAACTTTTTGGTGTGGCTTTCCTTGCAGGTTCTCACTTTACAGTTCCTGGTGATTGGGGTTAAGTACTTTTTGTTGACTTGTTGGAACTTGGCTGTCTTCGCCATCTTGCTCCTGTGTGGATTGGAGGGTTGCCTGTCTTGTTCTGTGGGAGTACTGGATGTCTCCCGGCGGTGACTCCTTTCAGGCAAATGCATAGAGCATCTTTTCCAAGATCGCCTTCCCTTTTCACGGCGCGGTAGAATTTTGATGATCTAAACTTCTCAGTTAATGAAATCCAAAGTCCTTTTGGTCTCTCTCATATCCAGAGTGACTATCTTCTAATGGAATATTTAGACAAGCTTTTTTTGTTGTTGTTTGTTTTACAGTTTTGTTTACTTGAGAGGCAGAGCTACAGAGAAAGGGGGTGATGGAGAGAGGGAGGGAGGAGGAAGGGAGAGAGAGAGAGAGATCTTCCTTCTGCCAGTTCATTTCACAGATGACCACAGTGACAAAATTGGGCCGTGCTGGAGCCAGGAGCTTTCTCTCCCAGTGGGTGCAGAGGCCAAGCTCTTCAGCTCTCTGCTGCTTTCCCTGGCCTTTGGCAGGGGCAGACTCTGAGGCTATGCAGCCGGGCTCAGCAGCACCCACACAGGGTGCCACAACACCACCCCGTCAGGTGCATTTTTAGTAATTTAGTTGTATTCTGTCATGTTTCTGTTTTGCTGTTTCTGGATAATCGAGAATTTGTTTTCTCTTTTCTGTTAGGGTTTTCAGTTGACATGTTTCCTTTTGGTAGCTGAGAGATTAAAATGTATTTCCTTGATATGTTAATGTGTGCCACTTTTATTATGGTCAGAACGATGCTGCAGACACGTCCTCTTCCCTGCATTTTGTCTGTGGTAGTTGACTTCTGTGTGTGTGTTGAACACCTTAGAACCATCCCCTTCTTGGTTTAAATTGGAACTGTGTGTTTGCTGTGTTGTTAGCTCTCCTGGGAGTCTCCCTTTTTCACATGTCCACATTTTCCTCTTGAACAGCTTTGTTTCTGCTTGACACATTTCCTATATCATTTTTTTTATAGTACAAATACACCAGATATGAATTTTTTCATCTTTTATTTGTTATTACCTCTGTCTTGCCTGTGTAAGGACCGTTTTTGCCATCAGTTGCTGTTTTTCAGTACATTCAGTAAGTTGCCATTGCTCGCATTTTTGCTTGCTGTTTTCTTTTTTAGTGTTAATAGATACTCTTTCTTTTTGGTGGTGCTTTGTCAATGATAAGTTTTTTTCTTCTAATTCCTTTGAAATATTTTTTCCTGAAATACTTTTTCCAAAAAATGATTTATTTATTTTTATTTGAAAGGCAGATTTACAGAGAGAAGAGGAGAGAAAGCTCTTCCATCTGCTGGTTCACTCCCCAAATGGCCCAGTGGCCAGAGCTGGACTGATCAGTAGCCAGGAGCTTCCTTTGGGTCTCCCCATAAATATAGGGGCCCGAGGACCTCAGCCACCCTCTGCCACTCTCGCAGGCCACAAGCAGGGAACTCGAGGGGAAAGAAGTAGAGCATTCAGGACATGAACTGGTGCCTGTATGGAATGCCAGCAGCACAGAAGCCTATCCTACTATTCCACAGCAACGGCCTCTCCTTGAACTTTTTGAAGGCCTCTCATATACATAGATTCTAAATCTTTGTATATAAATGCAAATTTTTTAAAGAAAATTTTTATTTTTATTGAAAAAGGCATGTATGCAGAGAGAGGGAGATACAGAGAGAAAGATCCTCTATCTGTTGGTCCATTCCTCAGGTTGATGCAGTGGCAAGAGCTGAGCCAGTCTGAAGCCAGGAGCTTCTTCCAGGTCTCCCATGTAGTTGCAGAGGAAAGGATTTGGGCCTTCTGCTGCTTTCCCAGGCCACAAGCAGGGAGCTGGATGGGAAGTGGAGCAGCCTGGACTAGGACCGGCATCCATCTGGGATGCCACTTGAGCCTATTGAGCCACTGCACTGCCCCATGAAATATTCTTCTATCTTCTGTTATTTCATCTACACATATGTTGGAGCTTGGCGTGTCTCGTGCTTTTACTGTATTTTCAGCCATTGTTTCAATCATTCTTGCTTGAAGCTCTAAGCTCTTGATTTTTTAAAAAAATTTTACACTTGAAAGGCAAAGAATCAGAGAGAAAGCAAGCACTAGAGTTGAATGTGCTGGAGTGCTGCTACAGAACTCACAGTGCTGGGGGCGGGGGACTTAGCTGAAGACGGGATACTTCCTTCGGGATTGGTAGGAATCAACCCATTGAGCCCTCACGCTGTATCCCAGGATCCCTGTCAGCAGTGAGCTGGAATCGGCTCAGAGCTGGGCGCGAAGTCAGGCTTTCCCAGGCATTCTTCTGTGGGTTCTGGAGGTCCTGACTGCTGACTCAGCAGCCTGTTCATTATTTGCTCTTATTTACGAATTCATTGTCTCTGTTTCAGTTCTTCATTTTCCTTCAGTTTCTCTCTGAGCAATAGTAAACATAATTACGTTGAAGTTCCTTCCAGCTGGATGATGAGATCGGTGGCGTGCATTCCATTTCTGATGTCATTTGCTTGGTTTCTGTCTCTTCCTATCCAGTTAATGTGGACATTGGCCATCAGTGTTGCTGGCTCTAAGTCTTGTTTTCCTTTTAAGAGAGTTGAGTTTTGCTCTGGAATGTTTTCTTACTACACCGTGTTTGGGTTTTGCCCTTGTTCCTTGCAAGTGGCTCTTTGTAATTATTTGGCAGACCCTCTTTTGCTTGGCTCGCCTCGCACTCCAGCCCCTCTGGTGGAGGAGTACCGCTCGTCTTTGCAGAGTATCTGTTGCTTGTGTTGTTGGGGACTAAGCCTGCTTTTGCACAGCTTACTGGTTGGCATTTGGTTGGAGAATATGCACATTTTCGCCCATCTCCTAGTGTTTTCCTCTTTCAGGGACTTTGTCCTTCAAGTCCTTTCTATCTGGGCTGGTCTAACATTACATTTCTACCTTTCTGGTCCAGCCATGTGTTTGCTTTCTGTGAGAACTCCACATTCGGAGCCTGGGGATTGGCAGCTGCCCTTCAGGAGAAGGCTGGTTAGCGCAGAGCTCGTTCCTCCAGCAGGGACTGTTCCCTGTTGTCCTTCCTGCAGTTGCTGCATAAAGTATTTTTCAACTTTTATGTTTTTTTTTCTTAAAGATTTATTTATTTTTGTTACAAAGTCAGATATACAGAGAGAAGAGACAGAGAGGAAGATATTCTATCCGTCCGATGATTCACTCCCCAAGTAACTGCAACAGCCAGAGCTGGACCCTGAACCAATCCAAAGCCAAGAGCCAGGAACTTCCTCCAGGTCTCCCACATGGGTGCAGGGTCCCAAGGATTTGGGCCGTCCTCGACTGCTTTCCCGGGCCACAAGCAGGGAGCTGGATGGGAAGTGGAGCTGCTGGGATTAGAACCAGCGCCCATATGGGATCCTGACGCGTCCAAGGCGAGGACCTTAACCACTACACTATTGCGTTGGGCTCCTTATGTTTATATTTGTAAAGAGAGTTGATCTGCTCCACAGCGCTCTGTAATGACAAGAAATGGGATTCTGTATCCATTTACTCTTTAGTAGAATTGTCTTGGAATAATTGTATTTAGATAGAAGAAACACTTTCTGGAGTGTAAATTATTTTTTCAAGTATTAATTTAATAGTGAAGTGCCTCCACATGCAAAAATAAGTGAAGATTGAACTTCCAGATGCATTTTATGAACTAGCATCAGTTAAATGACACTTGATCCAACACTAGTTTTTGAGGTGAATTCAGAATTTGAATTATACTTAGGTAAAGTAAAATCTTTTGAGTATTATAAAAGACAGTTAACTTAGTGACACTTAAAATTTAGGCCCAGCTAAAGTCACAGGCTATAATGCACTTGACATTTCACTGTGCAATTCTCATAAACCTAATCTCTTGAGAGATAGTTGAATATTTCTCAGTAGACGTCTAATGCTTTACTCTGTAAGTACATTTATGCTTCTTCCTTTGTAGTTTAATGTAATCCTGTGAATGGTTACATTGTTTTTTCCTGAAGTTTTAAATGAAGTGTTTTTTAATTATAGACAATAAATTTTAAAAATAGAATAATTGTTGACGATTGAAGGTATGTTACCTAAGTAACGGTACTAAAAGTATGTAATTTAATATAAAATATTGACATGGCAAGACGGTTCTGATCTGAGGACATGACAAAGTGCTGTTTAGTAGGATCTTATCAGTAATTACCGTTTTGTGTATTATTTAGGTGCATTGACATTCAGCAGAGCAACGAGGTGGAGCGGACACAAGCACTCCGACTGGTCAGAAAGGTAAGCTGGCTGAGAATAGAAGGCACGTGTGCGGCGCGGATTTTGTGTTAAATATTTATAATATTAGATTTGGCTGTTTTTTAAATCTTTCTATTAATATCATTTTCATTAAACATTTTTGTTAAAAACTTATTTATGAGTTAAATAGATCTTTGAAACCTTGGAATAGCATGTTGTGATTGAGGATAGCGTTGACAGTTTTAAAAGATGTTCACAAGGAAGAATGGGCCTTCCTTCAGGAGACATGTAACTGTAATGACTGCTTTGATAAGCTGTTGCAGAAGGAATTACGTACTCTTCATCCTGATGTTCTCTTAGTTATATGGGTGTAGTTAATACTGCTAAACCAATGCAAATTACCCAACTGTAAGGATGCTTTAAAGATGAGTTTACGTGTGATCCGGTTTAACAAACAGTGTAAGCTGTTGTGTAGGATAAAAGGTCACAATTTAAACCCATGTGAGATATTACGTGTAATTCATGATGCTTCTTACGAGAACATTCTATGAAGGAAGGCTCTTTTTGTTGTGTAATATGATGATCTAATGAATAGAGAGAACTCGATGAGAATCCCACAGTGTGTGTTTCCTAATGTTAACAGGGCTAAACTTATCCTGAGAGTTGAACTTTTTAGCTCTTTTCCCCTTTCCCTTTGAATTCACCTCGTGGTCTGGAGTGAGGGCCTTTTGCGAATGTGTATTATTCAGATCTCTTTTTCTTTCTTTGTGATTAGTAATAGAGTAACTTAGAATTTCAAAACACTAAATCTAATTGGCTAATTTGGTCATCTAATAGCATGGACTATTTTAGCAAGTTACGTTTTTTATAGTAACTCTTACTAACATTTGTTAAATCAGTTCTTACATGAATCTTTTGAATTAACCATAAGAAGCGTAAAGGTCTGTGCCTTTTTTATTCTATAGTAAAATATTTTGGTTTAAACATTCTAGGTTTAAAGTGTATCGTGATGTTGGTAACTTCTTTTTCTGATTGCTTTCTGTTGCAGATGATCACTGTGAATGCCTCCCTGTTTCCTAGTTCCGTGGCCAACTCATTAATAGCAGTTGGGAATGATGGACTTCAAGAACGAGACAGAATGGTTCGAGCATGCATTGCTATTATCTGTGAACTAGGTCAGAATTTTCTTTAAGTAACAAAAATTTTAGGAAGAATGTCACATTTCTTAATGCCTTTAATGCATAAATTAGTAAGTAAATTCATAGTAAAATTTAAAGGAGCGAAAGGACAAACTTTAATACCAATGATTTTAAAATACCATTTTCAGAACCAATGGATTTAGAGACATGAATGTGATAAAGGAAATTTAGAAAATAAAAATTCAACTACATGTCAGTGTATGGGATGCCTAGACAGTTATTCTCATAGTTAATTTTCATAAGCACATTTGTAATTAATCAAAAAGTGAATGAGTGAATCACTGTGACTCATGCAAGAGAAAAAGCTGGGGCTGATACCATGACATGGTAGCTTAAGTGCTTCTTTTTGGCGTGAGTATCCCATAAGAGCTTTGGTTCAAGTCCTGGCTGCTCCACTTCCAGTCCAGCTCCCTGCTGATGTGCCTGGGAAAGCTGCGAAACCTGATCTGAGCCTTAGATCCTGTGAGAGACCCAGAGCGAGCTCCTGGCTTCAGACCCACCAAGCTCTGGCCGTTGAGGCCATTTGGAGAGTGAATCCGTGGATGCACAATGTGCTTTTTTCTGTTTCTGTGAACCTGCCTTTCAAATAAAGCTAAATGGATCTTTATAAAGAGAAGAGCAGACATTGTAGAGGTTAAGATGCTCTGGGAACTCCCACCTCCCATAAGCAGGACTAGGTTCAAGTCACTGCTCTGCTCCTGGTTCCAGCTTCATACTATGTGCCCCTGTGCCGTAGTGTTGGAGGCTCAGACAGGTCCCTGCCGCCCCTGTGCGAGGCATGCGTTGGGTTCCTTGTTGCCAGCCTTTGGGTGGCCCAGCCTCAGCCTTCCTGGGCGTTTGGGGCAGCAAACAAGTGAATAGGAAATTGGCCTTTTTCTGTCTCTCCCCTTTCCTCCCTAAATATTGGGAAATGAATCATGTTATTTTGTGAATAATCACATATCTAGAAAATTCTGAATCAAGTGAGAGGCACAACTTAATTTTAGTACAGTGGAGTATAAAAAATAGTAGTCTTGTTTTGTGTTGGTACAGTCATAGAAAAAAATTTACTTTTTCAAAAGAAAACTGGTTATAATAAATATAGTAAGAAATGTGTATGACTTGTGTGTGTGTTTGGGGCAGTACTTTCAGCGTTTGAATTTGTCCAGGTGATTCTCAAGAAGTTCCATCAGAGCATCCTGTGGGGGAACAGTGGGTGCCTGCGCAGTGGGGGAGGACTGGCTGTGCAGTGACACGCGGGAGCTAGAGAGTACGATGGAAGTTCTGCATGAGTGCAGTGTTGGTTATAAGCTGTAGATTTCCAAAATTGATTAAGCTGTATCATCAGAAGCTGTATTTTTACTGTAGTTAGTTATATCTCGTGTTTAAAAATATAGAAGAAACTTCATTCTAAATTCTACATGGAAGAATAGAAACTAGTGGACAAATCAGTTATAGTTTTGAAAAAGAACAAACGAAAGAGAAAGAAAAGATTTTCTCTTTTTGTATAATTAACAGATTATTTAAAAAGTATAAAATAATCAGTCGTTGCAGACTCTGGTATACAGAAAGCTTTAGAGATTATGAAGTATAACCTTCTGACAAATTTAATAAGCTCAAGTTTCTGACAATTTGAAAACTGAAATATAAATGGAGAAGTTCACTTAAATTACACTCTCATTTTGGAAGAACAGTTTCTGAGATTAAATTTTTAAAATTTTAAATTTTAAATGCTGGACTCAGAACCCTAACGAAGAAAAGAGAGAGGACAGAACAGGTCAACCAACCATCTCAGCTATGATGGACTATGTCCATCAGTGGATTTTTCAAAGACCTCATAGTGCTTGGAGTGGCAAGACTGACAGCAATTCATAACTGTTGCAATATCAAAACCACTTGAGCAAGAACCTCAGAGCATGCCCTACATCCAGGACCTGGGGAGGGTGGGAAATTGGGTGGGCCTCCTCCCTTAATACCCCCCTTTAAACACAAAGGTAACAATATGGAAAACATACTAGTATTATCCACTTTCCTGTAGCCCTTGAACCTTCTTACCCTAATTAACTATGTAAAGAATGTCAAAATAAATTTTATAAAAAAAATAAATAAATTAAAACTTGAAATAAAAAAATGAATAAATAAAATAAATAGATAAATCTTAAAAAAATAAGCATGTTTTTTGAAATTCAAGTTGGAAAATAATTTAAAAAATTTTAAAGTAAAAATAGAGGTGATAAAATAAGTTTTAAGTAAATTGCAAAGTTAGAAATGAAACAAAGGTTTAAAACGAAAACAATAATGTCCTCACCATCTCAGTATCTCCCTGCAAATGATGGAGAAGGAGAATCTTTCCAGTAAACTATGGATGAAACACGTGAAGACACTGTTGGAACACCTAGAAACCAGGTTTGGGAGACGTTCAGGAACATACAGGCTATCTTCTTAGACACCTTTGAACCATGTGTTTCAATGTTAATTATAAAGCTTCTGAATTCAGAAAGGAGACTAAGTTTGAAAGTAAAAAATCCATATTTCTTAATAGTTTTATAATTATCCCCAATATAATCTGTTAAGTTTTTCTGTTTTTATTTTAGCACTTCAGAATCCAGAAGTGGTGGCCCTTCGAGGTGGACTTAACACCATCTTGAAAAATGTGATTGACTGCCAGTTGAGTCGAATCAATGAGGCCCTCATTACTACGATTTTACATCTCCTTAATCACCCGAAGACCCGACAGTATGTGCGAGCTGATGTAGAATTAGAGGTAGGAGCTCTCCTATTTTTTTCTAGTGATAAAATATGACTTTAAGTATATACTCTTACTTTGAAATTTTAAATTTAACAGATACAGTGCAATATCAACTGTCAAATGCTAAGTTAACAAGCCTGCCTTATTCCCAGCTTGCTTCAGTTTGGACTGACTTGGAAATAATTCCCAGGAATAGTTTGTCAGCATACAGAATGAAGCTTGTTTTATGTTATTTGTGGAAAGTTTGCTAGGGCAGTCAAAAAAGTGAGCTTACGTGAAGACTGGTTTATAATAACTTTATTACATTAGTGTTATTGGGATAGCTCCTGCTAATTGTACGCTGTTCACTAATTGTCATGAAAATCACCTAAACTTGGAAGTACTGAAGTACTTGTTAACAACTACAATAAATACTTGAATAAAGTGCATACCGATCTTTTTAACAGATTTACTTTGAAAGGCAGATATACACAGAGGAGCGACAGAATCTTCCACCTGCTCTTTTACTTTCCAAATGGCCTCAGTGGCTAGAGCTGAACTAATTAATCCAAAGCCAGGAGCCTCTTCCAAATCTCCCTCCTGTGTGTAGGAGCTCAGAGACTCGAGCCATCCTCAGCTGCTGCCATCCCAGCCGTAAGCAGGGAGCTGAGTCGGAGCCAAGCAGCCAGAACATGAACCAGTGCCTGTACTGGGGGATGCTGGCGTGGCAAGCAGGGGATCAGTGTGCTCTGCTGCCACGTCAGCCTCTTGCCAATCTTTGTCTAAAAAGAAAAGCCCCAAATACTTGGCAATTGTTTAGCTTAGTGGTTAGGATGCCCACATCTCACATCAAGAGCACCTGAGTTCAGTTCCCGGATCTAACTCCAGACTCACACTTCCTGGAAGGCAGTGGTGATGGCTCATGTGGTTGGATGGCTGTCACCATGTCATGGGGGAGCCCTGGCATGTTCTCACATGGGCTTCAGCCCAGGCCCGGTGCTTGCAGGCGCTGGGGAAAGAAGCCCGTGGGTGAGAGCTCCTGCTCTTACTGCTCCGGCCCCTGGGGCGTGTGTGCATTCCCCACTCTTCCACATATGTGAATTTATTCATTTATTTTATTTTAATTAATTCAGATACCATTTGTTATGGTTAGTGTAAAAAGATTACTGCATATTCTTTTTTGTGAAAACGTAGTGGATGTTGGAACAGAATTACCACATTCTGCATATCTATTTGTTTTAAATTTTTTTGGTATGTTTTTTCAGTTTATTTTAAATTAGATTTTGTATTTTGCACAATACAGATTTAGAAGCAATATGTATGTGTGTGTGTGTATTTTTAAGATTCTTGTATTTATTTGAAAGGCAGAATTAGGAGAGGGGCAGTGAAGGAGAGATCTCCTGTCCACTGGTTGATTCCTCTGATGGCCTCAGGGGCCAGGGTGAGGGCACAGCCAAGTCAGGAAGCAGCAGCTTCTTCAGGTCTTCTACATGGGTAGCCAGGAGCCGGGTCCTCGGGCCAGGTTCTGCTGCCTGCCCCTCTTCTGGATCTGAAGTGGAACAGCCAGGACTCGAATCAGCCCTCGTATGAATTATCAGTGTTAATAAGAATGGTATTAGTAACGGCAGCAGCTATCATTCATGTAGCATACTGGGGCGTCATGAAGTGTGGAGAATAGGACAGTATTCCAGATACTCACATGTAGTAGTTTGTGTGAAATGCTTTACATACTATCTGGCATATCATAAATATGCAACGAAATTTCATTCTTTGTCATCTACACTATCTTCAGCTTTGAGTCTACTGTTAGAAGACTATTATTCTTGCTGTATTTTATCTGTTTGTGATTTCAGATACTTTGATTTTGTACATGCAAATGAACAGTCTTCAGTGCTACTATGTCTATGTGGTCAGAAATAAATCTTTCCTTTGTTACAAATGGGTAACCTAATTAATCCAATTTTTAATAATGCAATCCCTTTTCTAGTTTATCCTGTTTCTGGCTTTTATTGGTGTGATATTTTTGACCACACAGGAAAAAAAATTTAATAAAATGCTTTTAGAAGACAAACTACCAATTTCCTAAGTTGTAATTTTTAATTTTTATTTTATTTCATTATTATCTGTTTAAGATTTATTTATTTTTATTGAAATAAACAAGACAATGAGACAGAGAAAGATCTGTCTGCTCGTTCACTCCCCAAGCGGACACAGCAGCTAGAGCTGAGCCAGTCCAAAGCCAGAAGCTTCTTCCAGGTGTCCCACCAGGTACAGGGTCCAAAGGCTGTCCTCGACTGCTTTCCCAGACCACAAGCAGAGAGCTGGATGGAAAGCATGGCATCCAGGACATGAACTTATGGGATCCCGGTGCATGCAAGATGAGCACTTTAGCTAGGCTGCTATGCTGGGCCCTAATTTCTAAATTTTAAATGAACATTTTTGAACAAAATCTGGGTAATCTACAGTGAGCATCTGCTGTGGAAATCTTGAAAGCTCAATCATTAGAAAAATCTTATCTAAAGCATAGGATTGTGAAAGCAATAAGGACCAGAGGGAATGAAATTAGAAATGAACAGTTCTCTGAAGCCTGAACCAAAGCTCTGCAGATTTCCTTGAAGGAACTGGCGCTTAGATTTGAAGTATGAGATTAGGGCTGAGTGTTAGGTAGGTGTGGGTAGAAGGCTGGAGCACTGGCAATCCTGTGTTAATGCAGCGACCCTGGAGATGTGAAAGTGCCTAGGACAAGCCTGCTACACCCTCCAGATATTTACTGAAACAGAAGTTACCTCAGGGCAGAGGCTACAGTGTTGAAACCTTTGAAAGGCATAGTGGGTAGATCTTCTATTCTGTTCTCCCAAACAGGCTTACCCAAAGGAGGAGTCCTGGGCTACAATGGAAAGGACTCCGGAAGTAACGAACTTGCACTGATTCTTTGCACTGGTTTTCTCTCTTGGGTGTTTTTTTTTTTTTTTCCTAACTAGGGGTAGTTAAAAGCTGTGAATTTAGGTGTATTCTTCACTGGGATCAGAACAGCTTTTGGCAGTTTTGTGGCAGCAAGAGTGGAAAAAGTGGGTATTTCATAGCTGATTGCACCTTGGCAGCCTCCCAGCTCTGAATCTGGGCAGGTAAAGATCCAAGCTGAAAACATGGGACGCATGTGGAGAGAGTCTCACTCCTAAGGAGACAAGTGCCTGATGAGCTCTCGACTGGAAGCACTGGCTAGGCGTCTGCTAGGAGCTTAACTTAGTGTCGGCACATTTGCAGTGTAGTCTCAGTTAACTGGTCATGGGGAGAAAGTGCTCATCGCCTGTATTTCTGCCTGTCTAGCAAGGAGGACGAACCACCTTCTACAAAAGATACCATTATTTGCAGCCCTTTGTTTTTCTTTAAGTATTTATCTTTATTTAAAAGGCACATTTTTGGGCCCGGCGCGGTGGCGCAAGTGGTTAAAGGTCCTCGCCTTGCACGCCCGGGATCCCATATGGGCGCCGGTTCTAATCCCGGCAGCCCCGCTTCCCTTCCAGCTCCCTGCTTGTGGCCTGGGAAAGCAGTCGAGGACAGCCCAAAGCTTTGGGAACCTGCACCCGTGTGGGAGACCCGGAAGAGGCTCCTGGCTTCGGATCGGCATAGCATCGGCCCGTTGCGCTCACTTGGGGAGTGAATCATCGGACGGAAGATCTTCCTCTCTGTCTCTCCTCTCTGTATATCCGCCTTTCCAATGAAAAAATAATAAAAATAAATCTTTAAAAAAAAAAAATAAAAGGCACATTTTACAGGGAGAAGAGGAATAGAGGTCTTGCATCTGCTGGCTCACTGCCCAAATGGCTGTAAGGATCAGAATCAGGTTGATCCGAAACTGGGAGCCAGGAGCTTCTTCTCAGTCTCCCACATGGGAACAGGAACTCAAGGACTTGGACCAGCCTTTACTGCTTTCCCAGGCCATCAGCAGGGAGCAGGCTTGGTAGACAGAAAATGTAGAAAGTAACAAGGAGAACTGGAAAACTGCATGACTACATGTCAGTCCTAACCGTTACAACCGAGTATTAGTGTGTCTTCTAAATTATAAAACTTATTTAGGGTTACAACTCACGACCAAAGGAGTATTATAGTTAGGGGGTAGGGTTGGTACCTGGGGAACAATAGTTCTAAAGTAATAGGTGCATTGTAACAAGATTGCTTGTCATTAGGGCAACACACAAACAGTACTTGTATTTTTTAAAATTTGAGATACAAAAGAAGAATGTAATTCACAAAATAGAAGCCATTTACCCAATTTTCACAAAAGCTATGATTAACGTATAAAGTTGAGGATCAGGGTGATTCTTATGTTGGGGTTAGTTGGTGACTGACTACTAAGGTAATGACAGGGTCCTGGGGACTCGTAATGTTTTACTTTTCTGATGCTGTAGAAGAATGTGTTGTGTTTAAGTATTCACTGAATTGTGTATTCATGATTTGTGCAGGTTTAAAGACATCTGTTATACCTCAAGCTAAAAAAACTTTTTGAGTTTCAGTATTAAAGTAAATTACCCAACTGAGCATGCTCCTTAATGAATTCGAGGAATTAAGTACCCAAACAATAAACTCAGGTCTACAGAAAAATGGAATTAATTTTAGTCTGTTACAGGAAACATGCATTTTATAATGAAAGCTTTCTTTCTTTTTATTTTTAAACTAGCGCATTTTAGCACCCTATACTGATTTTCACTACAGACATAGTCCAGATACAGCTGAAGGACAGCTAAAGTAAGTACCCTTGACTGCTAATGATTTATCAGGCGGTTTGTTACTATTAAATCTTTTACATTTACCTGATGGCGTGTAGTGCCAGAAAAATGTGAGTTGAAGTAAGTTTCCTACTTCATGGAATAATACTGTATTTCTTCCATAATTGTGATTTGAAAAAAAATTAAGGATAAGTTTTTTATTTCTGAAACACATTAGATGGGCTTCAGGAAACTTTTTTAGTTACGTTAATCATATTGAAAAAGGCTGACACAGCACTGAAGCGGTGAGATAACAGGGCAGGCAAGGTGCAGGGTGAGGGTCGCTTCCTTCTGAGTCAACAGAAGAGCATGACACTCAGAGTTTCGATAGTAAATCCATCGGCAGGCAGTGGGGGTGCAGTACGCGTTATTTACCAGAAATGCACTATGATTTTCCATAGATGTACGGAAAGGTGCATATACAGCGAATGTTCAAAGGTAATGTCATAATTAAAATGATTTAGGGGTCAGGTACTAGGTTACCCGGAGATTTTGCAAATGAGCAATTCCATTAAATAGAGGAGCCTTTTCTCTTGTAGGGCTTTGGAACTGCAGACATTTTCTCATATTTCGAAAGATGGTATATCTTCAGATTACTAAGTATTAGAAAATTATCTAGTAGTAGGATGTTTTTGATGTTGCTTTTCTCCTGAACTAAAATCCTGTTTCCCTATCTTCAAAATACATCCATTCTTGTGGACTTTTCACCACTCTATAATGCACCGCGATGAATTAAGTCACAACAGGTGTCAACTAAGTTACCGAGGCTTTTTACTGCCAATTTTAGGTATGAATTGGAAATCCTAAACCATTGGACCTCTTGGGAAATTTCAAGATTATCTGATTGATGGAAAATATGAGTTTCCTGTTGCACAATAAAGTACAGCACAAATTAGTTTATCTGCTACCAGTTTGTAGGTCAGAAGTCTATGCCAGCTCTTGTCTGGAAGCTGTGGTGAAGAATCCATTTCCAAGGTCATTTGGACTTTAAACAGAATTCAATTCTTGTGGGCAAATTTCACTCTTTAGAAACCACCCACATTTCCTTTATCTTCAAAGGAAGGGACAGTACCTGCTGTCCTGGCATTTCCAATCTCCCTGACTCCCTCTCAGGGGACCTGCTAGAGAAAGCTCTCCAATTCGATCGACTGCTAGATTATCACCTTCTCTTACGTTCTCCTGGGCTATTTAGCATAAATGTAACCACACTCATGCCATGATGTCTCATGACAGTCACCGGATTCAGTGATCAGGTCATGGAATCCCATGGAAGACCACTTTCAGAGCTGTTCTCGGTACAGCGAAGAGGAGATGAACCTAAGTGTGCTTTAAATTGGGGGGTGTGGGAAAGATACTCAAATCCTTGCTTATTTGACACTCTTTTCCATTAAGCTTCAGGGATGTAAGCAGATAAATGGCTGGCCAAATCAGGATATATTATTACCAGGAACTGGGAAATGACTGATACAGAAACATTGCAAATTTATATGATAGGAAAGAGTTACCAGGCAATCAGTGTAAGAATGTCACCTAAGACAAGGCATGCTGAAAACAGAATCATACAGGTGCTTGGTATCCTTTCTTCCACTTCACACCATTGTGTTTCTGTTTTAGTCTCATATATATGTTATATATATATATATATATATGATATATATATCGTATATCATATATGTAATGTAATATATATTCTGTTATATTCTGGTTCTGTGAAGCTTCAGTTGTTTTTAATTTTTTACCTGTTTTGTAAACTTTTTATTCTGTAGACTGATTGTTCATTATCCAATCCTGATTTTTTGCCATTTAACTTTGCTCCCCTCGCTCTACTCCTCAGTTCTCTGTATATTCACAGCTAGTAACTATTTAACTAGGAAAGGAAAAAAGAAACTACATGTAAAAAAATAATGTACTCGTAGAGTGCACATGATGGTTGGATGGATAAAGTTACACGATATCTATTAAGTATTGAAACAGGTCACAAGCCAGTCTTGGGAAATGTTTAACAAGTGTTGTGTTGCTTAACACAATTGTTGATAAAAGTGAGATAGTTGGATATGTAGTTATGAAGGAAAGTAGCTGGAAATATTGATAATAGTTGTTTAATAACATTCCAAGGACTAAATAAATTATTGAGCTTCCTCACTGGAAATTTTTAATAAATTTGGGACAAAGCTTTTGAAGCAAAGAGAATGCAAATGGGAAAAAGTGGTTTATATGGTAGTTTTCTTTGCTGTGGATCTGCTTTGAGACACAGAAACTTATTAGACAGACTGGTATTCTCTCGAATGTCTAATTAAAGCTCATCCAGGAATAGCTTCCAGAAAGAACAGGAAACAACTGAATGTTGAAAAGTACAATTTGTGTCTTATTTTTAAACCGTATTGTGAATTTTAAGTTGGAGGTCAATTTATACTTGAGTAATTTCTTTGAAGTAGATCTTAACTTTGTTTTCTTAATATCTTAATTTCATATGCAAATATTTAAGCACTAACTAATGATGGCTCTTTTCTTACATGGTAACCAAAAGAAAGCTGCTGAAATTAATACCTTGTTTCTTATCCTCTCGCTCCCTATAAGGGAAGACAGAGAAGCACGGTTCCTGGCCAGTAAAATGGGAATCATAGCAACATTCAGGTCCTGGGCAGGTAGGTTCATTGATGTGGCTTTGTAACATCCAAGAAGAAGAAAAACATGACCGTTTTTTCGATTGTTAAAATTATTATTTCAGCGTCAAGGTTTTTTGTTTATCTACTCTTGATGTCTAATTAGGGCAAATGGAACTTGTACAAAATTATGAAAATACAGTGAGAACGTTTATACTAGTAGAAAGCAGCTAGTTGTGTCTTCAGTTTAAACATATTGGATTATTTCCAAGTGTCTGTGCTAATAATTGCATGAAAATGATCTGTGAAGAAAATGAGAACAAGCTTGAGCATTAGCTGCACATTTTAGTAAGGTTTGTCTTTTGAAAGCAGCGTGCTCGTCTGTTGTTTGATGCAGGGAATAAGACTGCTTGGGGAGCCTGCGTCCTGTGTCAGAGTGCCTCGTTCAGTCCTGCGTGTGCCTCCTATGCAGTTTTCTACTAATGAACACCCTGGGGTGGCTGCAGATTATCATTCAGTTAACTTGCACTTCTGCTCCAGGATGCCAGGATTTCTTGATTTTCATCTGACCCAACTTGAGCTGATGTGGGCATTTGGGAAATGAACCAATGGATGAAGACCTTGTTTCTCTTTCTACATGTCAAATAAAATGCAAATAGCAAAAATAAAAATAGAAAAACAGGAAGGAAAATGCAAACCAGAAAGTAGTGTAGTAATGTCATGAGTTATGAAAAAGGAGTAGCAGCCACTGGTAGTCCCAAAGTTAATAGGAGTTACACCTATCTTATGTTTTGAACTGAATAAGAAGCAATATTTTTCTTAATGCAAACTAACTATATTGCTTTCGTATTGATGATTACCTTCTTGCCTGATTTGTGTGATACCTGGAAGGGTAGCATGAACGGAATGTGGCAGTAAGCACAAGGTTTACCCCAATGATTCTGTGTACTTAGAGTACAACCTGTACAACTACCTTAGCCTGTGATCTCCTTAAACTAGTGTCAGATGTGTAAGACATTTTTAAGAATTTTTAAATTTTATTTTATTTTTTTTCTTTTGGCTAACTGGAGGGGACGCACCCACTCCCTAGGCGAAAGCGCCTGACCCGTTGGGGGCTTCCTGCAATTTTAATGTGCCTTGAAGTCACTTGATGACATCCGTGCCCATCACTTGAGCATGTACTTTATTAGCTAGAATTCAGTGTATAATACTTCATCCTTTCATTAGCAATGTGTGTTGGTTCTAGACACTGTTTACCATAGTGAGTCTTTAGTTTTAGCTATCCTGGTAGGTATGTATAATAGTATTTCAAGATTTTTTTAAAAAAACATTTGCTTTTTTATTTGAAAGGTAGGGTTACAGAGAGAGAGAGAATGAAAGTCATCTTCCGTGCAATGCTTCACTCCCCAGATGGCTGCCATGGCCAGAGCTGAGCCTGCCGTGTTCTCCCAGGTCACTCCCGTGGGTGGGACTCAAGCTACCACCCATGTGGCACTATAGGTGCCAGCTTTACACCTCATGCCACATCACTTTCTCGTGTGTATCAAGCAGTTTGCATGTTTATTGGGTAGACACATGCTTCTTTTGTGATGTGTAATTTAAATGTCCACAATTGTTTGGCTCAGCTTTGTAACTTAAACATTTTGATTCCTATATTTTATTTCAAATCTGTTGCTTTTACTTAGTGCACATGTGATAAATCTTGAAACTAAAGTTCTGAAAGACAAATACCAAACAGGATGTTTCATATTATACTGAGGAACACTAAATAGGGAAAGGTTCGCATGCCAACAAGGTGATGTCATGGAGTCAGACTGATGAGCTTTTTTGAAATGAAGCAGAAATTGAAAAATATTGATGATGAAATTATTAGTAATTGCTAATCCTTAGGAAAATATGGACTGTTTGAAATGTATTTTGCTTGTATGCTATTATAGATGATAACCAAGTAGTATTATATAGCTTCAAAAATATCAGGTTTTAAAATATGCTGTTAGAGAAATTTGTTTGAACTTCAAGTTAGTGGTTGTTTTTTGCTTCATCTTCTTTAGGTATTATTAATTTATGTAAACCTGGAAACTCTGGAATCCAGTCTCTAATTGGAGTACTTTGCATACCAAATATGGAAATACGGGTAGGTTAAATTTACTGCAAATGTTTCATTACTGAACCATTAACAGAGGAGGTTAGCTGTTAAAACATAATTATCTTAAGGAGGTGAGTGTTCTAAGACACCATTTAGATGCCCACATATTAGGTTGGAGTGTGTGGATTCAGATGCCTTGCTGCTTCGGATTCAGCTGCTTATGCATGTGCCCTGCAGGGGGCAGTTGGGGATAACTCCAGAACTTGGTTCCTGTGACTCGGCCGGTGACTGTGATGGAGTCCCAGGTCCTGGCGTTGGTCCCAACCGACGCTGATGCGTGCAGGCATTTGTGGGAGTGAACCAGCAGCCGGACAGTCGTGCTCTTCCGCTGTTTCAAATACGTCAAAATAAATAAATTCAAAGGATAATTTCAAATGATGGTTTTTTTCTTGGTTGCTAATATGTATGTTAGGATGTTTTTAAATGCTTGAATAAATATTTACTACTTAAATAAGCCTTAAATATGCTATGACTCATAAAATACTACTGTTAGGAATAATCATTGTTAAAAAAATTGAATCAAAAAGATGAAGCTATTATGCTTACTTTGTTCATTAAAACATGCAGACATTACAGAAAAGCTTTCACTATCAAAGGTTCAAGGACTAGAAATATAATTAATAAAAAGCAGATATAATATTTTTATATCTATACCTTCTAATTTTGTATTTTAATAAGAATTTTTATTATAGTGGTTTTCACTAAAATTGGCTTGTTTATGTTTACTTGTTATATGTACTCCTAAATTAGTGAGTAGGGAATTTGTAATATCTAAATTAAAATGAATTTGGAGCCAAAAAAAAAAACCTTTACTCTTCAAGTAATTCTTTTTTCCTTAATGTTTTTTCTTCATTCTGTTCGTTTTTTTAAAAACTGATTTACTATTTCTTTTTTCTAAGAATCAAATCTGAAATTGAAAAGTATTACTAGAAAATATTGGCCAGATGTACATTGTTTAAAATGTGAACCAAAAAAGTATAGAAATTGGGGGGTCACTCGGTGGTATAGCCTGCAGTGCCAGCATCCCATGTGGATGCTGGTTTGTGTCCTGGCCACCCCACTGCCAAGGCAGCTCCCTGTTGCGGCCTGCGAGAGCGGCCGAGGGGGCTCAACGCCTTCAGCTGCCGCATGCGCAGGGGGGACCCCAAGCAGCTCCTCGCTGGCTGCTTCAGACCAGCCCGGTTCTGAGCCTTCTGACCATTCAGGCAGTGACCCGGAGGAGGAAAGATCACTCTCTCTCTCTTTCTGTACTTATGACTTTGAAGCAGTTTTTTTTAAAGAATCGAAATGCAAAGATAGAATTGGTAATTCCAAGATCTGTAAGCAGAAAACAGAAGCTTGGGGTAGTTTGTTGGCTTCATCATCTGAGATGAGGAGACAGCTAACCATGGTCTTCGAGTCTGACAAGAATTTGACTCTTCCCTGGAGAAATGAACTTTTAAATCCATATATTTTGCACCACAGGAATGATGGAAAATTTATCAAAGAGATTAAATGATGTTGGAGCAGGCAGTCAAGTTCTGTCTTCCTATGTAGACCTGGCACAATATTTCTGTCTGCAGCATTTGTTTTCTGAGGAAGATATTTTAATAAATGAAATAAATGTATCGTTTACTGTTGCAGCGAGGTTTGCTTGAAGTGCTTTATGACATATTCCGTCTCCCTTTGCCTGTGGTCACTGAGGAGTTCATAGAAGCACTGCTCAGTGTAGGTAAGCGTTCAAGTGCGTTGAATCTATTCATATGTTGTGATTATACAGTGATTTGTTTAATTGGAAGCAAAATCCCTGAACAATGAAAAATTGTATATTGAACATCATTTTCTTAGTATCTGATAGAATCAGTATATGATACTAAGAGCTTTTTGTCACCCTGTCTCTTGTAAATGAGTAGTAAAAGCGATAAAAAGGTGAACCACCAAAGCAGAGAGGAAGTAGTTAGAAACCTATGCAATTCTTACATTTGTCTTGTCTTTTTCATCTGAGAGACTCTTAAAGAAGCTGTATGCATTTACGTAGCGTGTGAGGCTCTCAGTGTGTTTGCAGTTGTTTGTGGGTTCTTAGTTTTCGGTGTTCTGGCTGTGACTCCGTGGTTACCTGAAGTGTTTCAGAGTAACTCCCCCTCTTTCCATTACCTAATTTTTATACCGGTTTAGATCCAGGAAGGTTCCAGGACAGCTGGCGGCTTTCGGATGGCTTTGTAGCAGCTGAAGCAAAAACTATTCTTCCTCATCGTGCCAGATCCAGGTAGAACTGAAGTACAAAAAGCATTCAAGTTTATGACACTGATAATTTTTGTGTTAAACTGTATAATGGATGAAGTGTTACTGAGGTCGTTTCTGGCTGTGTCCTTTTCTAGGCCGGATCTCATGGATAATTATTTGGCACTGATACTATCTGCATTTATTCGTAATGGACTTTTAGAGGTAAAACCTTATAAACCTTATTTTAATCTATTTTTAGTTTTTCCAGCAGATTTTTTTTCAGAGCATAAAAACAGCTAATTCATCAAAACATTCTTATATGTCATTTTGCTACAGTGACTTGTTTATTTTCCCAGGGTTTGGTTGAAGTGATAACCAACAGTGATGACCACATCTCAGTTCGAGCTACCATCCTTCTAGGAGAGCTTTTGCATATGGTACGTTCAGTACCTTCTGATGATGTTCCTTGCTGCTAATGTTTTATTTTATATAGCAAGCAACTTTAATAATGCTACTTATTTTTATTGCTTGTTATTGCATTGTAAAGTTTTATCCTGATATGTGTATATAGATGAGGGTACATGAAAGAATTCACGGGATTAGTGTTGTGGCAGAGCAGATAAAGTCTCAGGTGTCCCACCCTGCTCCAGCGCCCTGCTAGGGCCTGGGATAAGTATGGAAGATGGCTCCTAGCTCTAGCCTGGCCCGGCCCTGGCTGCTGCAGCCATCTAGGGCGTAAAGCATCCTCGGGAAGATCTCTCTCTTTTTCTCTGTAACTTTGACTTTCAAATCAAAATCTTAAAAAAATAGGATTCATGAAAAATTCAATTAAAACATGTTTATTGGTACACAAAAGTTTATTCTGTACTTAAATATTTTGGCAATCTGTATTTTTCATGTACTTGAAGCTAACTTATAAGCATAAAGTTAAACTTTTTGCACCACAATAAACTTAATTTTTTTTCTCATCAGTTTTTTTCAAAGTACAGTTGTGTATCTGGATCAGAAATTTATAAATGAAGCAAATATAGAAAATACAAAATACTGAATGTTGATTTTACACTCACTTTAATTATGAATATTTTAAATTCTAGAAATCCTAATTATACTTGGAAACACTTCCCATGACATAAAAAACAAGAAATTATAAGATGGTAGATACTACCTCAGTCACCTGGGAGTGTGATTCATGCATGGTACGCAGTGCCTGAAATTCAGAAGGCTTTCTACAAAAATTCTGAATGTAATTGTGTTGTTTGGACATTGTAGTCTTCTTTGTAAACTTGTAGTTGCTTTTACTTTCGTCACTATGCGTTTGCGATGTCAGTAAGTGGGAAACTAGGAGTTACTGCAGTGATGTGCTCCTTTCTGCTCTTACAGAATCGAGCAAGAGGGAACTGTAATAGTTTGCACAACAGAAATTTGCATTTAACCCTTTTTACGAGTTAGTAAATAGAAACATTTTCAACTCATTAATTTGAAAAAGTGACTCAGTAGCAAAGCTTTATTTTGTAAAAAAAAATTCTTTTTATTGGAAAAGCAGATTTACAGAGAGAAAGATCTTCCATCCACTGGTTTACTCCCCACATGGCCACAACGGCTGAGGAGCTAAGAGCTTCTTCCGAGTCTCCACGCAGGTGCAGGGGCCCAAGGCTGGTGCCATCCTCCACTGCTTTTCCAGGCTGCACGCAGGGAGTGGGTTGGGAAATAGAGCAACTGGGATTTGAAGTGATGCCCATATGTGATGCTGGCACTTGCAGGTGGAAGATTAACCAGTTGGGCCATTGTGCCTGTCGCTATAGCAAATCATTTTTTTTTAATAGCAAATCTTTTTAAATAATGTCATGACCTGCTGTTATTGACAGGGTAGTTTTTGCTGTTTTTGTCTTTTTTTTACCCCCCCCCCCACTTTTGCTCTCCCTTCCAAACTCCCATTCCTCAGCCAATGTTAACTGTGTCTTTCATCAGTGATCAGCTACTCATTGAGTTTGCTCTCTGCCCACCTACGAAACAGAGTGTTGCAGGCTCTATCTGATTATTTATATTTAGGTTCTTGGGGTATTTTCATTAAGAATAACAGTATCCAAAATTGTTTTCATATAAAAGGTTCTCCTTGTAAGTATCTTTTCTTTCTCTGTGTCCCAGAATTTTGCAATTATCTTGTCAAATGTAGTAATATTATTTCATTGTTCTTACCTTTTCTATCTTCCACATTTAATTGTCCTCACTGGTATAAAGTAGGTTGGATAATGTGGTTTAGTTTGGAAAGAAAAGATTAATAAATTTCGCATTTTAAAGATTATTGTTATCTGAGAAAATGGTTTTGAAAACTTGTTATTGCTTAAAGTTGGTCATTGCACCTAGCGTGTTATATGTTGTTAACATAGATCCAGTCTTTTGATGTTTTGCTGTGTAATCCTGCCATATCATTTAAGAATTGAATTTACTTGGTTGCTACCTAAGTCCTAAGTTAGTATTATAGTAAAAGTTGTGTATTTTTATAAGCATGAACCGAGGAAGTTCTGGAATCAATTAATTTCATCAAAAAAATCTCGAATGTTTAATGATCTGGAATAGTGTTATTTTTGTGCATGATCTGTAACATCAAGTTTTTCTGCTTGTAACTACTTTTAAATTGTTTTCCAGGCAAACACGATTCTTCCTCATTCACACAGCCATCATTTGCACTGCTTGCCAACCCTAATGAATATGGCTGCATCCTTTGATATACCCAAGGAAAAGAGACTGTAAGTATCACCTCAAGCAAAACTGACGCTCAGTGTAGTTAGTATGCACTGATGGTATATACAGTAAGCAGGCTGTGCAAAAATTCTTTTAGAAAAGTCTCACTGATAAGAGGAAAAATTGTTCTCAGAATGTTGAGAGTGTGTTTAAGGCCACAAGTAATAGTATGATAAAATCACATTTTTCTGGCATGTTTGTGGTTGAAAACAGAATTTCCACCACTTTGCTACAAAATGGTGGTGGAGAGATTCTTTGGGCTATTTTATGTTTTAAGCAGTGATAGAGGCTCCTTTTGTATGCCTGATTTATTTCAAACCAGCAGTGCAAAAGTGTCGGTGTATTCTGTGGTTAAAATAACATGTGGTTAAATGCATGCATGCGTGATTAAAAGTGTTAAAATTTAGTAACCGGTACTACATGTATAATGGTAAGCTGAACTCTTAATTTTGAAGGACTCGTTGCAAATACAGGATTTGCAAATAAAGCTGTGGCCCTGCAGCTCTAGCTATGCTAGACTTGCAGTGATACCAATGCATATGATCCATGGCAGGTAAAGCTGCAGGAGCTCAGTTAGGTGACACGAGTCAGGATTTGTTGTTCAATGTGGTAAACACTCAATTTAGAGCTAAAGGTCTGGGAATGTCTGTCTTGTCCGTTCATCTGGTGCCTAACTTTTTATCCTCTCTCTCTCTTTCTTTCGCGATTATGATCACAAAAACCTTATATACAAGGTTCTTGAGGTTCACCCCTCTTTGTTTTGTAGATTGATTGTATCTGTTTAAAAAGCTGAGTGACATGGAAGAGACAGAATTGTCCATTTGCCGTTTCTCTCTCCATATGTCTCCTGCCAGGCCTGATTCTGGAGCCTGAGCTGCATGCACATCTCCCACAGGAGTAGCAGGCGTCCTAAGCACTTTGAGCTTTTTATGCTGCCTGCTCAGACACATTAGCAGGAAGCTGGATCAGAAGCCGTGTAACTAAGACTTGAACCAGCACTCCGCAGTGCGATGCCTGTGAGGGAACTGGTAGCTTAATCCACTGTGCTGTAACTTTAGTCCCCGTTTCTTCCTTCCTCCCCTCTGCGTCTCTTTTTCTCCCTCCCTCCCTTCCTGCCTTCCTTGCTTTTTTCTCTTTCTCTTTTTTCCTTTCTTTTTTCTTTCTCTTCTTTTTCCTTCCTTCCTTCCTTCCTTCCTTCCTTCCTTCCTTCCTTCCTTCCTTCCTTCCTTCCTTCCTTCCTTCCATCCATCCATCCATCCATCCATCCATCCATCCATCTATCCATCCATCCATCCATCCATCCATCCATCCATCCATCCATCCATCCATCCATCTTGATGCTGTTAGTGATATGGAGTTTACTAGCTAATCAGATTTGTGGATTTTTGTTACCAGTTACAATACATTCTTCAAAAATTTTGTTAGGTTTGATAAAAAAAAAGTATGCCCATACACTTCACTTTTAAAAATCTGTATATTAAGTCTGGCAACTATAAAAAACAACTTAAGTTGTATTATAAACTGAAAGTATTAGGGGCCATTTTATTTTTGTGATGGTAGCTTTCAGGCTTATTTTTATGTATTTATTTATTTAAATTCTAGAGACTTACTCTATTTGAATGTCAGTGAGAGATCTTCCTTCCTCTTGCTCATTTCCCAAATGGCTGCAGTGGCCAGAGCAGGGAGTCAGGAGCTTCTTCCAGATCCCTCACACGGGTACAGGAGTCTAAGGCATTGGTCCATCCTCTGCTTTCCCATCCAGTCCCTTTCCCAGGGACTTGGATTAGAAGTAAGTAGCTGGAAATCAAACCAGTACCCATACAGTACGTCGTCACCACAGGCTGAAGGTTAGCTTGCTCTACTACCACTCCAGTCCCAGCTTTGTTTTTATATTGGCCGTTTTATGATGAGAAATGCATTTCCCAAGAAAATACATTTAAGCTCTTGATTAGAATTTGGCTACAAATCTCAGTTCAGGGCCCAATGTGATGGCTCAATTAGTTAATCCTCTACTTGCAAGCACTGGGATCCTATATGGTGCCAGTTTGTATCCCAGCTGCTCTGCTTTCCATCCAGCACACGTGACCTAGGGAAGGAGCAGAGGATGGCCCAAAGCCTTTGAACCAGATCTGGCTGTTAATGGTCATTTGGGAATTGAACCAGCAGGGGGAAGCTTGAGAAAATTGTCTCTCTTTCTCTCTCCTTCTCTGTAGATGTTTTTCAATTTTCGTATATGTGTTGCTGAAGCAAGCACTAGATCTGTCAAATAAAAATTAAATCTGTAAAAAAAAAATTGTGCCCCATGGTTACTTAATAGTTCCCTGGTTCACTGTTTAGTAATGACCTTTGCCTTTGAATATATACAACCTTTAGTAATTTACCGGTATGATCTCCTTAAGATTATGCCTCTGTCGCTACAGTATTAATTGAAGGCTTTTTTTTTTTTTTCTCATTAGGCGAGCCAGTGCGGCATTAAACTGTCTAAAACGTTTCCATGAAATGAAGAAGCGAGGACCCAAGCCTTATAGCCTTCATTTAGATCACATTATTCAAAAAGCAATTGCAACACACCAGAAGCGGGAGTATCTTCGAGTTCAGAAAGATATATTTGTTCTTAAGGTACTGCTGTAAAACCACAGCTTTTCTTTTTTCCTTTTTTACTATTATTATTTGAGAGACACAGAGAAAGAGCATGTGAGAGCAGTTAGCACCCTGATGTCTGCAGCAGCTGAGACCAGGAGCCCAGGAACTCAGTCCAGGTGCCTTACCTGAGTGAGGGCGGGGATCCTGTCCTGTGAGCAGCCACCACTGTGTCCTCGGGACTGCCATGGCAGGGTGCCGGAGTGGTTTTCTGAGCTGAGAACATTTTGTCTTAGTTGTCTGTGTTTCTGATCATTGTAGGACACAGAAGAAGCTCTTCTAACAAACCTCAGAGATAGCCAAGTCCTTCAGCATAAGGAGAATCTTGAGTGGAACTGGAATCTCATAGGGACCATTCTTAAGGTATAACAAAATAGTTCTTGGTGATTGCTTGATTTGATTATTAATCGTAATGATTCTTAGTTAATATATTTGGGAATTGATCCATATAAAACATTTTTAAAATTTTTTTCTAGTGGCCAAATGTCAATCTAAGAAACTATAAAGATGAGCAATTACACAGGTATGTAACATCTACTTTTCATTTAAATTTACGGAACTTAGATTTTTGTATTATGACTCATATGTCTACTAGAAACAATAGTTGGTATTTGAAGACATAAACATTTAAATAATTGTTCAGTAGATAGGTGCATACCTTTTTTATGTGTAGTTTTCTAACCAAAACAAATTTTTTTCCTGGTGAATCATATTGTATTCTACCTTTGGAGCAGATGGAGTCATTGAGATGAAGGTTTCTCACATTGGGATGCAATCAGTTATGGAATGGCTTTAGCCCTAATGTATCTGCAGGGGTATTATATGATAACTCAAACATTTTAATATACAGCTTCTATTTCCATTTATATCTGCGTTATCTATTACTCCCTTTTTCACTTCCTTGGGTCATACCTTTTATAAAACCTGCCGGTTCTCACAGTATATAAAATATTTCAAGATACTGCATTCATGCAGTTTTATTCTTTCTTAGTTTTTTTTTTAATAAATAGATGTTCTTTTTTAATTTTTATTTTTCAAAAGAAAAGATTTTTATTTATTTGAAAGAGTTATGGAGAGATGGGATGTGATAGTGATCTTCGATCTCCTGGTTTACTTCCCAAATGACTGCAGTGGCCGGAGCTGGACTAGTCTGAAGTCAGTAGCCAAGAGCCTTTTCCAGATCCCCCACGTAGGTATCGGGGCCCAGGCACTAGGGCCGTCTTGCATTGCCTTCTCAGGCACATTAACAGGGAGCTGGATTAGAAGTGGAGCAGCTTGGATTCACACTGGTGCCCAAGTGATCTGTGGGCACCCCGGGCTGCAGCTTTGCCTTGTAAGCCCAGCACCAGCTCCTCCTTGAGTTAGACTTCCCATCAGAACTGCTCTTGTTGGATAGGTGGACCCTACTTTATATTCACAAAGCTCATGTTATTAATGGATTATTTGATTGTTATTCATCTACTCAGAATATGTAACTTTATATTGAATCATTTTTAGAAATATACAAAACATAGGGGCTGACATCCCATATGGGCCCCAGTTATAGTCCCAGCTGCTCCACTTCCAATCCAGCTCTCAGCTTGTGGCCTGGAAAGGAGAGGATAGCCAAGGTCCTTGGGACCCTGCACTCAGGTGGGAGACTCCAAGGAGGCTCCTGGCTCCTGGCTCTGGATCGTCTCAGCTCCAGCCATTGAGGCCTTTTGGAGAATGAACCAGTGGATGGAAGATTTTTCTCTCCTAATCTCCCTTTTTCTATGTAGATCTACTTTCATATAAAAATAAATTTAAAAAGAAACATGAAAGTTAAATTATTAGTATATAATAAGTTGAAGATAAAGCTGTCTTATTCAACGTTGTTTTCCCAACTCCTGCATCTTCTCACTGTATTGTATTGGGTTTTCATATATGATATTTAACTAAATAAAGTGAAACCTTAGAATATAATATTGAGAAGATACATTGAAATGTAATAAATATGCCCATCAATCTGTTTGCCTAAATTTTACCTGGAGTTTTTGTGCTTAGCCTTTTGCCTGATTGTCAACAAAATCAGTGTGGTAGTTCACAACCATCCAGTAGACGATTATGTATAGTTGTGGTGTGAGTTTCTTCATAGGCTGCAGAGGAAAAACGGGTGTGTCCAGGTGAATTCCTCATCTTTACCCTTCCTGCTTGCATCTTGGTTCTCTATTTTTGTAAGCATCTCACCATAAAATTTCCATTCTACAAAGATAGAACTTGTGAAGTACAAGTGAAGATGGTGTGTCTGTGTGATTGAGAAATATACCAAAAAAGTGTGTTGCCATTTACCCCAGTGATTCAACCTGCAGAGTCAAAGCCTTCTTACTGTAGCTTCAGCTTCAGTTAAAGCTCTAGATAATTGTGCGTTTTCTTACTTTGCCACTAATTTTGTTTTGTTCCTAGGTTTGTACGAAGACTACTTTATTTTTACAAACCCAGTAGTAAATTATATGCCAACCTGGATTTGGATTTTGCCAAGTCCAAACAGCTCACAGTTGTGGGTTGCCAGTTTACAGAATTTCTTCTTGAGTCTGAAGAGGTAAGGACTCTGAATATTTTCCAGAACAAATGTTTTTTATTCTCCCTTCTTTCGCTCCTTCTGTTCCCATTGTGTGTTTTTTATTTCTGAACACTCATCAGATATATTTAGAAACCTAAGAAATGAGCCTAGGTTTAGATTGAAATCCTGACTTAGTAACTAGTTTTGAGACTTTGGGCAAGTTATCTCCCCTTTTAAGCTAGGGCCATCTTGTACAGCCTTGTGTTGAATGGAGTTAAAAAGAAAACAGACTTAGTGGTTGCTAGCTGGGTACTAGTTACTTCTTCATTCTTAAGTGTTAAGGGTGATTTTTCTAATTACAGATATTAAGAGCTTTCCCAACAACATTACAATGTGTTTGCTTTCAGGATGGGCAAGGATACTTAGAAGACCTGGTTAAGGATATTGTCCAGTGGCTGAATGCTGCTTCTGGAATGAAGCCTGAACGAAGTCTTCAGAGCAATGGTTTATTAACTACTCTTAGTCAACACTACTTTTTATTTATTGGGACACTTTCTTGCCACCCTCATGGAGTCAAGATGTTGGAAAAATGCAGTGTTTTTCAGTGGTAAGCATGCCTGGATTCTGTTGTAGTATATTCTTAAACTTTAGTTTTAATGTAGTTGTGTTCATCTCTTTTTGGCTATGAACATGATTGTCAAGCTTTTTTTATTTTACTTAAGTTTTATTTTTGAGAAAAAGTTAGAGCCTATGCACACACTGTTAGTTGTAACTGCTGGGTCAGTTCTGTCTCCTGCCCTGTCTTCTACCCAAACCAGTGGGTTTTGCAGCCTAGTCGGAGAGACCCCAATAACCCTCACCAGACCCACCCCTGCCCTGGTTCCCGTGCTTGCCAGTATGTAAAGCTGACTGGTCCCAGCTCTTGTACATGTCAGTGGGCATTGAAGCCTACATAGTTCATCACAACCAATCCCACAACCCAGTTCACACTGGTGCTGGTGGATGCCACCCTATTCCTGGTTCTCATGCTCACCAGTGAATGTGGCAACCCAAGAGGGAGGTACCCACTAATTCTCTAATGGGCCCATTCCTTCTCCTGAATCTTATACTCTCCAGGTGATTCTGTTGTTTAGCCTGACAGAATTTGTTCCCCCGTGCCAACATTTGCCAGCTAATGCTGTGGCAAAGCCCAGCCAACCCACCCACACCCACTCTGGCTTATGTATGCACTAGAAGTTACAGTCAGCACAACCTGGCTTTCCCCTGATCCAGCTTACATGCAGGCCTGCAGGTGTTGTGGCCCTGCCTGGCCTGGTCTGCCCCAGCCCAGCTCTCATGCTCACCAGTGGGAGTAGTGGCCCAGCAGGGCAGCCCCCCTGCAGCACCCCACCCCCTCGTACTGGGCTTGTGCTCCCAGCCCCCATGCTTGTTGGGCACTGCAGCCGTGTTGTTCCTTGTTAATGTGCTTTTCTAATCAACCACTTCCTTTCAGAAATGCTTCTTTACGTTGAAATTTTAAAATAATTTTGTTTTCACCTGCAATTTCCTCCTCAAATGGAATTATATGTATATATATATAGAGAGAGAGAGATATCATCATGTGCTCTGGACTATTTTCAGTTTTTGTCAGTGGTAGCAATGCTAGAAAAAAGCACTTGTTGATTTAATAGTTGATGTTTTCCTCTTTTTTGTTTTTTGGTCAGCCTGCTTAATCTTTGCTCCCTGAAAAACCAAGATCACTTGCTGAAACTGACTGTTTCCAGCTTGGACTATAGCAGAGATGGATTGGCCAGAGTTATCCTTTCCAAAATCCTGACTGCAGCTACTGATGTGAGTGCAACACAGACAGCAACAGGGTGTGTTATAGTCGGCTAGCAAACCTGACAAGTTTTATGCCAAGTAAAATAAAATAGATTGTAAATTCTAAAATTATGGAATGGAAATTGTACTCGAAAATTCTGTTTCCTTGAAGGAGTTCTATATTGTACCCATACTTCTATATCAAGGAAAAGAAAATGCTGGATAAAAGGTATTGGCACTAAAAACATAATAAAATAATAAAAATTAAAAATCCCTGTATCAGAGGACTGTCATTCCAGTCCTCTTGGTACTGTGCGTAGCAGAACCTTTCCCCAGATGGAGTCAGTGGGGCTACTCATCGGGAAGCGTGGTTTTGATATTTTCATTTCTCTTTACAGGCTTGCAGGCTGTATGCAACAAAACATTTAAGGGTATTACTTAGAGCGAATGTTGAATTCTTCAATAATTGGGGAATTGAGTTGTTAGTAACTCAGCTGCATGATAAAAACAAGACGATTTCCTCTGAAGCTCTGGATATCCTGGATGAAGCGTGTGAAGACAAGGTGAGTGTGAGTGTGTGTGTGGGGGGGGAAATACATAGATGGGAGCCCTAATTATTGTGTTTAGTTTATAGTTATATTGAAGTATTACTTCTATGCACATTTTCTAATTAAAGAATCGATTGTTTTGGTATAGTTACTAATTTGCCCACTGATCTCTTTCAGGCCAACCTTCATGCTCTTATTCAGATGAAACCAGCTCTATCCCACCTTGGAGACAAGGGTTTACTTCTCCTCCTGAGGTGAGTTTCAAGTAAAGTTTTTTTTCCTTCTTTTTTATAGTGTATCCTGTTTCTATATAAATAAATGTCACGCAAAGTAAAATTTTCTCATAGAACATTACTGAATGTATTTTCTGTTTTATTTAATGTGGAGTATATCTTAAAGCTCAATTATGTTCTTCCTGACATTTGCTACTTATTATTGGATTGTTACATTTTTGCAAAAATTATGACAATTTGTAATTGGTTATAATAAATTATAATTGTATTTCAGCAATGAGATATTGCTAACTTCTTTTAGACTCAAGATTAAACTCCTGCTTCTTTATATCTGCAGATTTCTCTCCATTCCAAAAGGATTTTCCTATCTGAATGAAAGGGGTTATGTAGCCAAACAGTTGGAAAAGTGGCACAAGGTAACTTCGGACTGAAAAAGATTGAATATTTTTATCTTGGAAAGCAGCATCTGTGGGTTTGGAGGATACATTTTATATCATTAATGTTTTGAAATTAGTGTGATTAAATGTTTCTACATTGTAGAAAATCAAGATTACTTATGAAGGATTACCTACTAGTGTTTATCAGTCCTTTTAATTGTTTTAAATTGCAAAAATTAAAATAGTCTATGCAGAAGTTATTGATTTTTATAATCTGTTATAGTTTATCAACCCTGTTTGGTATCAGTTCTTTTATTTCTGTGTCTTTTGAAAGGCTACAACTTTGCATGAACCTTTGAAGCCAAAAGAAAAGTTATTTTCCTGGGTGAAAGGTCAGGAACTTTTTCACCCAAGCAAATTTAATTGTTCAATGTATTTTAGGACACTGCTAGGCATAAACTGAAGGAGACACTTGTTGTTATAGGTAAGAAGATGCCCAGCAGCAACAGAGCACCTGGAAGGCTCTTCAGCTCCCAGCTCTTGTGGAGTTGGTTGTCAAGGAAGTTTTACTATTTTCTTTGAAACACGATAAATGTCAAAACATCTTGGAAACACATGATGAAAATTACATAAATCATTATAAATTTCTTATTTCCCATAATTTAGATCATTTCAGATCATTCAATCTGTAATTGTCCTAATTTAATCATTCCTTATTTGAGTGTTTATATTATCTGTATTGAACTGTATTTTCCAAGGTATTCTCATTTATTAAATATACTAAAATTTAAAGCATACCATTTCAGGCATGAAGTCTTTAAATATTGATAACTTGAAGAACTGATACAAGATGTGATTCCCTCCCCCCTTTTTTTATGATACAAGTCCATAGGCTTTGGGATTTTGCTTGTCCCTTCTCCAAATTCTCTCCCCCAACTGATTTCCCCCATATTATTATAGTAGTGTAGTCCTTTATAAGCAGTTATAAGTTCATCATTATGCTGTTTAAGTGTTTCCTGACATTGTGAGTACAGACAATGACAGTTCACCCTCTTATTGTCAAGATATATTTAAAGGATTGTTTGGGAGTTCATCTTTGATTCGGAAGTAGGAATGCATATTACATTATATCTTCACATCTGGATATGATTGTCTCTATTACACAGTTACTATACAGTCACTTAAATAAAAAGCCATAAAACAAAATCAACAATAGGAATAAAGTTTAAAAAAATTTACAACACCTTGGAGTTAAATAATATGCTACTAAGTAGCCAATGTGTCGATGAAGGGATGAAAAAACAAAAAAAACCTTCTCAGAGAAAATTATGCTACTGTATGATCTATGAATCCAGTGAAGAATTTAATAAGAGGAAAGAAACTGTTTTGAGGAAATGAAAATAAAAGCAAAAATGTTAAAACCCATGAGTTGCAGCAAAAAAAGGGGACTATTAATAGTTTGCATGAAGGTTGCCTTATATTTGTTAAATTCTTCACAAAATGGAGTGTTAAACCTGTGATTGTAACATGAGCTGAAAGTCTGCCAATGTAAAAATTACAAAAAAAAAAAAAAAAATAAGGAAGGAGGAGGGTCACTGGGGCATGCAAGCAGGAGGGGAAAGAGATGGGGGAAGTTTCACCATCCTCCTTAATCTATATTCTGAAATACATGAAATTGTTTCCCCTATATAAATAAAATAATGTAAAAAAGAGATGAAATTTAAAAATGAAATTGTTACCTTGTTAGGCAAATTATAATACAAGAAACTTCAGTGTAATGCTTTGAAATAGTACAAAATAAAAGTGATCCAAAGGGATAGATTTTGAAGAAGTTAATGAGCAACTCTGTTGAGAATTTGAACTTCAGTGGCAATCAAGGACACATTTTTTTCTGGGCATTTTTTAAATAAAATGTACAAAATATTTGTGTTGATTCAATGCAGTGAATGAGGTGTCCAACTTTACTCATATGGTGTCTAACACAATATTTAAGTAAAAATGGATCACAATTAAGATAAATGTGATTGAGGCTGGTACAGTGCCATGGCCGACTAACCCTCCACCCTGTGTGCGTGTCTGAAGGCTTAAAGTGAGCTCCTCTGGAGAGAGACTCCAGTATGGGGACCATGTGAGCTAGCTTGAAGATGGGAAGAAGAAACCTTTATGCTTTCTATCTCAGCTAATTCAGAGCCATCCTTTAGGAAGTGTGTGAATTTTCTTTAGGTTGCTTATACACTAAACTGAAGTGATTTTGCTGTCTTCGCCTGTATGTTGAGTCTTGTTTTGATGGTGGTGTGACCACAGTAATAGGTTACCTAAGAAGAATTGCCTTTTCTGGAGTTCAGTGAAAGCTGTTTCCTAGTACATTCAACCCACTAGAGGTTATTTTGGTTTCATAATTTTGAATTCAATCAAGGTTATTTTAGAGTGTCATGATTTCATTCATATACTTTGCATCTGAGATTGATTTAATTCAGGAATTGGCAGTTACAACCCTGCTCCAGTACAAATCCAATTCTTCACATGTTCCTGTCTGTCAGTACTTCATGTCTCAAAACTTTGGAGATATAGCCTTTGTGAATATTACTATGATAGTGTTTCATTTCATCTTTTGCCAGTTATGGCTGTAGCAGTTTGATTTGGAAACCAGAGCACAAAAGGAACAGTTGTTGCAGTTATCCCATATAAGCTCTTGGATGTGATTACTTCTCCATGCTTTATCAGTTGATGAACAGTTTATTACCTGCTCAAGAGAATAAAACAGTGAGGTCAATGTCATGTTAAAATCCTGCTCAGTCAACTTAACATTTCTCACATCCAATACAGGCCTGATGTAGACTTAGATACTTCCCACAAGAATGGTCAAGGCACAAACACTTGAACCATCTTCTACTGCTTTCCCAGGCCACTGCCAGCAAAGAGGTGTAGGAGCCAGGACTTGGACTGGTACCCATATGGGTGCTGGCATCACAGGCAGTGGCGTCACTAACTACACCACAACACTGGGTCTGAGGATTTAATTATTTTATAAATACTGCTGGATTGTTATTCAAAGAGGCTCTACCAGTTCCTCCTTAAACTGTGAGGTAGAGTGGCATTTAAGTAGGAGTTTTTCAAGTGACAGTGTTTCATTTGATTTTATTTAAATCGGTAAGGAAAGGTGTTTTACTGAAGTTGCTAAAATAATAGAAGTCATGTACTTGTCCTTTGAAAATTTCTAGTGACCATTTTCAGTGTTTATTATTAAGCTAGATTTTTACAATAAAAAATAGAATGAAATAAGTGAATTTTTTTTAATGAGAAGGGATTTCAAATATTTACTTGCTAATTTGGACTCCCAGGATGTTAATATAAAATGGGAAAATGTAAACTGAAAGCATCTTAATATGATAAAATATTTAATTCATAATACATGTGTTTTAAAATTTTTCTTATGTATTTCTTCTCAGATATGCTAAGAACCTAACATTCTATAAACATAATGAATGAAATTATGTTACATAGAATTAAAACTTGTCTTCCAGGAATATAATTCAAAGTATGTTGACTTGATTGAGGAACAACTTAATGAAGCACTTACTACTTATCGGAAGCCCATCGACGGTGATAACTATGTTCGTCGGAGTAATCAAAGGTGTGTGTGTTAATGCGTTGTTCGTCCCATGTATCAGATTAGAAATCATCTTCTAATAAATCAGCACTTTAGAAAGTTTTCTCAGCATTCGTGTATTCTGTTACATGCAATGACAATGGGAAAAAATCTTAGTGTACAACCTTGATTGATTACCCAACATTCCGTTGGCCTTCACTGTGTGTTGAAGCTCTTCTTACTGATACATGTTCCATGCTCCCCTTCCCCCAGTCTACCTTGTCAGCCCCAACTCTCCTACCAGAACTGTGAGACCTGATGAATTACAGGAATCATGACCCCTCCCATGCCCTCATTGATGCCAGCAAAGTGTATTTAGTCCTACTACCTAGTTTAAGTTATTGCAAAGTGAAATGAGCCAGTAATTACATCAGTCATTTTGTTCTGCTAGGTTACAACGTCCTCATGTGTACCTGCCTGTACACCTTTATGGACAACTGGTACACCACAAAACGGGATGCCATTTGTTGGAAGTACAGGTAAAAACGAATTTGCTTATTTTAAATTACTGTACTAGCAAAAATAAATCTTAATATTGCCAAAATCTCTGAAAAAAAATTGGTTAAAACCTTAGAATCAGTAGCATCATTTATGCTTTGACTTAGGCATTCTGTTTTTGTAATTCTTAGAAATATCATTGGCTTGCCTGTGTTTCCCAGGCATGGGTGTGACCTTTGAAGAACTGGCTTGTTTTTTCAGAGTAAACAACACAGTGGAAAGTCTAAACTCTGCTTTATGGTTTTTTGGAAAAATTAATATCCCCTTAAAAGCAAAAATGAAAAATTGGGTTTCTTTCTTCCCCTTGCTACAGATTTGGTTGTTAGTAGCCAACAGCAAGTCAGACATTGCCACTTGTGAGGCCTGCGTACCCTCACAGGCATCCCGGGCTGTGGCAGGCGGGTAGACGTGTTGTTGCACTATACTCACTGCATTTATGGCTGTGAGCATATTTTTTCAAGCAGATGTTTTTTAAAAGTATAGAATTTGTTACTTTAGAGATAAATACTTGTAGAAAAGTTGTAAGAACAATAGAGCAATAGCAGTTTAATTCTTTTTTGCGTCCATGTTCATCTCATGAGCACAAGCTTTTGCATAAATGTACACTGTAGTGTATTTCTGTAAAGACTGTTAGAGCAAGTATGTTTGTTGAAACTCACTAGAAATTATTTGCTCAGTGTCATTACTTACATAATATAAAATCTTATGCCTAATTTATATTTAAGATAAATATTTCCTATTTCTTTTTGTAATATTAGAAAGTCCCAGGTACTACATTAAATACTTTTTGGAGTAATTTCTTAATTCATGACATGTACAATAAGGCTGCCACGATTATCCCAGTTTTAGAGATTAAGGAATTAAGACATAGGAAATTTAAGTAATTTACTCACTGGCCACATGACTAATAAATAACTCTGGAAAGTACTTAGGACCCAAGCACTAACTGTTGTCTAAAGAAATTTGACATAAAATTATCTTGAAATCTTAAGTATACACAAATGACTGAAAGCCAACCTTAAAGACTTTGTGTTGCAATAAAGAAATATACTAAAAACAATGCACTATTTTTACTCTCTTTTTTTCTTAGAATATTATTACAGAACTATGTCACAATGTTCGGACTCCAGATTTGGATAAATGGGAAGATATTAAAAAACTGAAAGCATCTCTTTGGGCCTTGGTTTGTAATAAGCACTTCTGTAAGATCTTTGCAAATTTCAGACTCTTTATTTTTCTTTATTAATACTAAATAAATAAAAACTTTTATGAGGAGCTTGTTCTTAGAGTAATATTCTAAGACCAGGGTTATTGACACTAATTTAAATATTGTTTTCATGCTGAAGAAAAGTGGTTATTTTTATGACTTTGATTTTCTTACTAAGAGAAACAGAATATTAATTTTAATGTTCCTTAAGAATTTTTTCACTTTTTTTCCTTCTATCATAGATGAGGTGAAATTTGTGTTTCTTGGTAGCTATTCAAATCTCTTGGAAGAATCCTTTTGTAACTAGCTGTTTACTATAAATAAATGTCCTTTTATTCTTTCAGGGAAATATTGGCTCATCAAATTGGGGCCTGAACTTGCTGCAAGAAGAAAATGTGATTCCAGATATACTTAAACTTGCAAAGCATTGTGAGGTTCTTTCCATCAGAGGGTATGTCATTTAACTCAATAGTCTTAATGCTTATTGTTCAACACAGTGTGGACCAAGGAAAAGTATTTTGTGATTCTTGGTAACATAACTGTTCCAAAGACTTTGAACTGGATTAAGAAGCATCTTGAAGTTTATATTGCAAGTACATGGGAAAGCATACTGTGTATCCCAATTTTCCAGTAATGTAATCATTCAGATTTTCTGTATCTAAATTAGAAAAGTGAGTATGTCATTTTTGTTAAGACTGTACAGTGCTCTGTTTTGTTCATTTTGTTTATTAGGAAATTTTTTTTTAATTTATTCTTAGCCTAGTTTTCATACATTTTCCCCACAAACTATAAATTCCTTTTTAATGGCTTATAAAAGAAATTCAAATGTATTTATAGCAAGTTAATTGTTTTTCTGTCATCACTTTGAAAATGTTATTTTGGAATTATGAACTTTTGTCACTCTGCCGTTTACATACAGGACGTGTGTATATGTACTTGGGCTCATAGCTAAAACCAAACAAGGCTGTGATATCCTAAAATGTCACAATTGGGATTCTGTGCGGCATAGTCGCAGACAGCTGTGGCCAGTGGTTCCTGATGATGTGGATCAGCTCTGTAATGAACTCTCATCGATTCCAAGCACCTTAAGTTTGAACTCAGAGTCAACCAGCTCTAGACATAATAGTGAAAGTGAATCTGCACCATCAAGTGAGTACTGGGACACATTCCCATAAAGGTAGCCAATATTAACACTGTAATTTCAAACTTTAAATAGATTTGCTACATTCTTGATTTTACTTTTTAAAACCACATTTGTTTGGTATTGATAGCCTCCTGCCTATTGCCTGTCTTTCCACAATGCCCAGTATAGCCATCTGCCTATGTTGTTTTTTCTACTGGTATTCTAAATAGATTTTGGAAAATCCCACATACAGAAATGCATGTATCTACCACAAGATACAGCTGCTTTTTTTTGTTTTTGTTTTGTTTTCAGAAAAGAAGCAGGGCTGGCAAATAGTTTGTCTCTTTTGTTTACTTATTTTTTTAGTCATTTTTCAAGTGTGGAGATTGTTGAACCAGACTGAATTTTTAAAAACTTACCGTCTTCATTTTTTTTTAGAGTAAAAGCTAAATTATAAAATAGCAGGATTGGGGCCTGGCATGATAGCATATCAGCTAAAGTCCTCCCCTTAACACGTGTCGCCGGGGTCCCATATGGGTGTTGGTTCTAATCCTGGCAGCCCCACTTCCCACCCAGCTCCCTGCTTGTGTCCTGGGAAAACAGGGGAGAATGGCCCAAAGCCTTGGGACCCTGCACCCGATAGACCTGGAAGAACTTCCTGGCTCCTGGCTCCGGATAGGCTCAGCTCCAGCTGTTGCAGCCCACTTGGGGAGTGAACCATCAGACGGAAGATTTTCCTCTCTGTCTGTCCTCTATATATCTGCCTTTCCAATAAAAATAAATAAATCTTTAAAAAAAAATAGCAGGATTACTGAAATACAGACTATCATAAATATGTATGGAACAACTTGTGATTTTAAGTTCTGTGTAAGTGCTATTAGGTACATGTATTTTAAGACAATTCTTTTCAAGAAGATAATGTGGCATTCATGAAGCTGTATGTCACCAAATCTAAGATGTCATGACTTACAAGATACACTGATATTTTATGTAACACCAGAGAAGAAGGAATAGTTGCCCGTTAAACTAGATCATAATACTGATTGCAAAGTATGTTCTACATTTTAGAAAACTCAAACTTGATAAGTGTACATCTTAGAACTGAAATTTTGTAGAAATATAATGAACTATGCAAGTTCGTTGAGGATGTATGTTCTCTTAAAAGATGTATGAAGTAATTTATACTTATTCACCAGAAAAGTTAAGAAATCAAAACAGTAAAGTCCCATAGCTGTCATTAGGCACCTGGGTTCATTGTTCTGTTAGAGCTAGGCACTAAATGTAGATGAATTTTGTAGTATCAGGCAAAATGGAAAACAAATAATACACTTTTGTTTAAGTGGCACAGAGAGCGCCTATCGGCTGGCCCCCTCCCCGATGCCCACAGTGGTGTGCCCTGGGGGACGCTGAAGCTAGCAGCCAGGAGCTGAGTCCAGGTGTCCCAGGATGGCAGGATGTGACTGTCTGAACCATCCTTGCTCTCTCTCAGCGTCTGTTGGCAGCTTGCTGGAGTCGGGAGAGGTCATGTGGAATGCAGGTGTTCTGCAGTGGTGCAGGGGGTTGTAACTATCAGAACTAGTAGGTTAAACTCCCACCCCAGACATTATCTTAAACAGGAATTTAAAGGGTCATGACTTACTTGTTTGAAATATAGTCGTCCACCAGAATCCATTGGTGGCCTGCTTCTGTGAGCTCCGTGGACACCAGAATCCAGTGATACTCAAACATCCTTTCATAAAATGGTATAGTGTTTGTATGTAACTTATGAATATCCTCCTATGTGTATGTACTTAAATCATCTCTGATATAAATAGATCTAAATAGATATAAATAGATCTAGGATTCTATTTAAGGAGTAATGATAAGAGGTGAGAAAAAGTCTGTTCAGTAGAGATGCAGTTTTTTTAAATTTAAGTCTGTGGTTGGTCAAATCTGCTTTTTCTCTTTAATGCCACCCTAAATATTCACAGAATTAAAGTCCCCAAAAATTGTGTCACAGTGAGTCCTGTAATTTTTCTTGAAAATAATAGGAGCTCTTCATAATGATGTGATATTACATTTCCTTTAAATCCAAATTGTGTGTTTTAAGAAACCCTTTTCATCTGGCACAGTGGCTAATCCTTTGTCTTTAAATTTGTTTCTACGGATAATTATTTCTTAAGAATTTTCCTAAAACGTGATTTCGCAAGTCGTTGCCGTGACTTTGCACTCAGGCCGTGTGCTTCTCTCGCCTGCCCTTGCTCGCAGGTATGTCTGTCCTGGAGGATGAGCGGTTTGGCAGCAGCTCTACTAGCACGTTCTTCCTTGACATCAATGAGGATGCAGAGCCGTCATTTTATGACCGACCTGGACCCATAAAGGATAAAAACTCGTTCCCTTTCTTTGCTTCTAGTAAGCTTGTCAAGAATCGTATCTTAAATTCACTTACCTTGCCTAATAAGAAACATCGCAGTAGCAGTGATCCGAAAGGAGGGAAACTGTCGTCTGAGAACAAGACAAGCAACAGACGCATCAGGACATTCACGGAGCCCAGTGTGGACTTTAATCACAGTGATGATTTCACACCCGTGTCCACAGTGCAGAAAACATTACAATTAGAGACTTCATTTGTTGGGAATAAGCACGCGGAAGACACCGGTAGTACACCAAGTATCGGAGAAAACGACTTGAAGTTTACCAAGAGTTTTGGCACAGAAAACCACAGAGAAAACACAAGCCGAGAAAGGTTAGTTGTAGAAAGTTCAACGAGCTCACACATGAAGATACGAAGCCAAAGTTTTAACACAGACACTACAACGAGTGGCATTAGTTCCATGAGCTCTAGTCCTTCTCGAGAGACTGTAGGTGCAGATGCCACCACTGTGGACACAGACTGCGGGAGTATGAGTACTGTGGTAAGTACCAAAACTGTTAAGACGAGCCACTATCTGACGCCACAGACTAACCATCTGTCTCTCTCCAAGTCCAACTCGGTGTCCCTGGTGCCTCCAGGTTCTTGTCATACGCTTCCCAGAAGAGCACAGTCCCTTAAAGCACCCTCAATTGCTACAATTAAAAGTCTAGCAGATTGTAACTTTAGCTACACAAGTTCTAGAGACGCCTTTGGCTATGCTACACTGAAAAGGTTACAGCAGCAGAGGATGCACCCGTCATTATCTCATTCGGAAGCTCTGGCATCTCCAGCGAAAGACGTGCTGTTCACCGACACCATCACCATGAAGGCCAACAGTTTTGAGTCCAGATTAACACCAAGCAGGTGAGCAAGGAGATATTTGGAAATGGACAATAATGTTTGCATTTTAGCAAGTTGAAGCATAAAGCATTAGCCTGGCTTTAGGCTGAATAAGGCTCAGAACTGACCTATTACAGTTGTTCACTCTGGTAGGCTATAAGCTCCTTGTTACCCGATATGATTTGAAATGGATTCTTGCAGCTGCGAGGGGGGAACAAAACTCCTTTAGGTCCTGAAAGTAAACCATGTCTGCTTTAGAAAGACACACCAGTCACAAGCTGTTTTTTTATTTATTTCTCGCTTCTGCAAGGATCGATTTTAAAAAGAAGCATGTCGGGGGAATCAGGAGCTTAAGACCTACAATAACAAACAACCTTTTCAGGTAGGTCGATTCAAGGCGCCAGAAACTGGCCTCTTCTGCTGCTGCTTCTTGTTTTTTTTTCTTTTAGGATGACAGAAAATGTCAATTAATTTTCCGTTTCTCAGAAGTACCTGTGTTTTATTACATAGGAACCGAATAATCACTGAATGTGCTTGGTTCTCAAGGTTTAGCAGGAATTTCCGTACTGCATTTAGGTTATCAGCCTGGTAAAAGATATCAGTGCATATGTTACCTTTCAAAGATCCTAGTCTTGTTGCAGAAATCTTTAACTTTTTCCTGTTATACGGGCAAATGTTTCTAAACAGCCTTGCTTAGTTTTGCATTACTTATTAATTTAAAAGGCTTATTTATATGTGAAGTATATAGAAGGCACTCTGGCATGTACGAAGCATTTAGTGACTCAAACCTTTAGGATACCATCACCATGGTTAAAGTAATCCATCTGGCTTCTGCATTGAGTGCTAATGACATTAAACAATCTTCCCACAGTGACAGTGAGTAGAGGGCTTTGTGTTGGCCAGTAATGGGTTAAGTTTCGGTTATAGAATTTAGTGAGTTCGTTGATAATGTCCTGTCTACTTGGAGCTTGCTGGCGTTGGCACTGTTAGTAACCCAAAGCAAAGCCGGAAACCCCTGACTACAGCTCCTGGCTACAGACCTGTGCTGTAAAGGAATTTTGAAGTGCCTAGGACTCAGTTACCTCATCTAGGCATAGTGCGTGGAGCAGTGGTTTTTAAAAGAGTGCTTTTAAGCAGAACAACTATTTTTTTCACTGTTTAAGGAATTTTTATTAAAGCAAGAATTTTATAATCCAAATTACATTTCCTCACTCAGTTATCAGTTCTGTTCCTTAAAACAGAGCTGACCTTCTGAACTATTCCACAGTAAAGAATTACAAAATTAAAGAAAGGAATGCTTTAAATTTTTGCACTTTGCTGAAAATTCTTTTTTTCCAGGGTCTATAAAACATTACTTTGTTTTTATGTTTTACTATTTTTTTGTGGTTTTTGTTGTTTTTAAATCAATAAGTAATCTAGGACTAGCATTGTGCTTGCTAGACCTGGCATTTGCTTACACAAAATAGAATCAGTGGAAAATCTAGTATGCAGAATATGTAAGAAAAGAAACCACACTGGTTGGGGAGCCGAATCATCCAGTCATTCATTCCCTCTACTCCATTAGTTGTTTAAAGAAAATTAGAGTCTGAGAGAGAGAGAGAGAGAGAGAGCAGGACAATTTGACAACCTCCTTGATGAAAATAGAAAATCTTAGTTAAAAGTTTTTTGATAGACTTTCTCTCTGTAAAATCTGCCTTTCAACTAAAATTAAGTGAATTTTAGGGAAAAAATATGGGGCCAGCATAATGGCCTTGGATTCTCTGCCCTGTGGCACCACCATCCCACATGGGTACTGGTTTGTGTCCCGACTGCTCCACTTCTGCTCTGGCTCTGTGCCTGTGGCCTGGCAGAGCAGCCGAGGATGGCCCCAGTCCTTGGGTCCCTAAAGCCGCATTAGAGACTGAAGAAACTCCTTCCTGGCTCCTGGCTTCAGCTCAGCCCAGCCGAGTGAACAAACACTTAGGCTTTTCTCTCTGTATCTCCTTGTCTTTCTGTAAAGTCTGCCTTTCAAATAAAAATAAGCAAATCTTTTTTTAAAATGAGTTTTTTGGTACAAATTAGTGGAGATTATGAATGACTTTTACCCTCTTAATAGTTAATAAAACATTTGCTTTGTAGTTTTTGAGATTATTTTAAAATTTAATGTCAGGCTATGTTATATTTTACAAGAGTTTGTTTTCCAAAAAATTGTGGGTCTGTTTTTAAAGATTTATTCACTCCTATTGGAAAATCAGATACACAGAGAGAGGGAGGAAAATCTTCCATCTGGTGGTTCACTCAAGTGGCTGCAATGGCCAGAACTGAGCCGGTGCAAACCCAGGAGCCAGGAGATGCCTCCTGGTCTCCCATGCGGGTGCAGGGTCCCAAGGCTTTGGGCTGTCCTTGACTGTATTCCCAGGTCACAAGCAGGGAGCTGGATGGGAAGCAGGTCGCTGGGACATGAACCAGCGCACGTATGCGATCCTGACGCATGCAAGGGGAAGGCTTTAGCCACTAGGCTACCATACTGGGCTCAGAATGTGGGACTTTGTATAGTGCCTTGTAAATATAATGCAGATGTCAAGTAAATGTTTAGTTTACTTTGTGCATCAGTAAGAATCTACCTGAAAAAGCTGTGTTTTACATAAATATCAATATATGCTGTATGTTATCGCCTCACTAGTAAGGTGTACTTTGTGGAAATATTTGTGGTTCTTGTAAGATTTATCAACGGTACCATTTTATTATATTGTGCCTTTCTTTGACATTTAAATCTCACACTGATAGCAAAAGCATTAAGGTAGCTATCATACAAGGAATTATAAGTCATTGATCTTATTTTTTATATGCATAGCTAAATAGTTAATAGCAAGACCCTTATTTAAATGATAAATCTAGCAGCTTCATGATGGCAGAAATAATCTTTGGGTCATACCTCTGACTTCTGAGGTTGCTTTCTGTTTTTACTTCTGCCGTTGAGAGTTATTCTGAGCGGCCTCTTTCACCTTTGCTTCTTGTTGGTAGCAATCATCATTACTGTGTTCTTTGACTATTAACAACCGATGAAGTATTAATGTATTTCCAGTAAACAAGATGCTGCTGATTAGTACTTGACTAGCTCACTTGTGTTTTATTGAAAGAGGAAATACACATTGTTTCTTGAAATGTTTAATATTATAAACCAGGAGACTAATGCAAGTGTGTTTTTCCATGTTGTTGTAGGTTCATGAAAGCTTTAAGTTATGCATCATTGGATAAGGAAGATTTATTAAGTCCTATTAATCAAAACACATTGCAGCGGTCCTCCTCGGTGAGGTCCATGGTGTCCAGCGCTACATACGGTGGTTCAGATGACTACATTGGCCTTGCCCTTCCGGTGGACATCAATGATATATTCCAGGTAGTGCCATGCATTGTATTGTTCTGAACTGATGTCCTGCTTTTGAGATTATTATTGAGAGTGTACAATTAATATGGGGTAGATGAATTTTTAAGGCAGTTTTATTTAAAGATATTTTAAGATGAAAATTATTTCACCTTTTCTACTTTGTGTTTTCCTGTTGACTATCTCTAGTGATGGTATCGTCCTCTTGCGCCGTGCTTGATAGATACCGTGTTTATGAAGGTGTGCTCTGTGGATATTTAGTGAATTCCTAACTCTGCCCACTCGTCATGTTGAACTTATTCTGAACTTTTTTTGTGGGGGAGTGTTGTTTTGTTTTTTGTTTTTCCTTTTATTTTTGATCTTATTTATCACAGGGAGGAGCAGACACAGGAGATGTCATTTTATGAGTTGATTCTGACCCAAAAAAGGATAAGATAATGGGGATCTGAGATCCTTGCAGCTCCAGATAGTGTGTAGAAGTGAAAATTACATACCTGCTCAAGTGTCTAAAAGCATTTTAAGTAAGCGCTGAGGTCGTCTTGTTAATATCCATTTAATTCAGTGTACACAATAAAAACTTCTAGGAATTTTTTTAGATGTAACCTTCAAAGTGTAGGTTCATATGTTGTAACAATTCTTGTTGAATTATATTTCATTGATTTTCCAGTATTCATAGAATTCTCTTTATAGTAGGCTTTGACTATGACTTGTATCTATTTTAGGTAAAGGATATTCCCTATTTTCAGACCAAAAACCTACCTCCACAAGATGAACGAGGCTCAAGAATGTTCTCCCATGACGCTGGAGGTAACGTGCTCTCGGTCCTTGCCGGACTCCTCTTGCCATTGAGAAGAAATTGTTCTTCATAGTAGGAGGACATTAAAAACTTAAGGTGTACCCACTCTTGGGTCAACTTAAAAATTACAGCAGTGTAATTATTTGGATCAATTTAAAATTAAGCCACAATTGTTTTGTGGGTAGAATTTCTTAAAGTGTGTTTTGAGCTAAGCATGCAGCCTCTCAAGAAAAGAAAGCCAAGTTGTTTCAGCATTAAAAAGCAGCTCATAATAAATGTAGACCAGCAGTCCCCAGAGGCCCGAGGAGCAGCTGTGTGGGGCGAGGAGAGGGGTGAGGTACGGCCTGCACTGTTGCGCTCTGCACTGAACTGTGCGCATAAGCCACTCCACGGCTTCAGAATCCTGCTAAATGGCAGATAAGCACAGGAAAGGATGTTCAGTATAATCATTGTTAGGATCATGTATTCTGCCTTTTTTAAAAAAGATTGATTTATTTACTTGAAAGAGGCCAAGAAAAGGAGATCTTCTATCCACTAGTTCACTCCGTGAATAGCTGCAATGGCCAGTTCTGGACCAAGGTAAAGCTGGGAGCGCCTTCTGGGTCTCCTACATGGCAACCAGAGTCCCAAATATTTGATCAGACTTCTGTTGCTTTTCCCAGGCCATGAGTAGGGAACTGGATCAGAATGGAGTGGATGGGACATGAGCTGGCACACACACGAGTAGCTAGCCTCACAGGCTGTGGGTTTAACACTGCACCCCATGCCAGCACCTTGATTTTTAAATTTTTTTTTAACCAGCACATCCTTAGCTTGGTATTAGTACTTTTCTATGAGAAAATATTAAGGATAATTGAAATACTTAATTATATAGTTTTAGTTTTCCTTTAAAAAAATTGTTTTGATAGGCAGAGAGAGGAAGAGATAGAAACCGTCCATCTGCAACTTTATTCCAGATGGCCACAACAGCTGTGGTTGTTCCAAGCTGAGGCCAGGAGCTCAGAACTGTATCCCAGAGTCAGTGTGGCTGCTTCGGCCCATTCTCTGTGAGCTTCAAGCCCAGAAGGGAGCTCAGTTGGAAGTAACATAGCCAAAATTAGAGCCAGCATTCCAACATGGATTACTCTTGTCAGAAGTAGTGGATTAATCCACTGTGCCACAATGCTGGCTCCCGGTTTGTGCTGTTAGACTCCATGCTAAAGTAATATTAGTGTATCTGTGAACTTCAGTTTTGACATAACCTAAAAGCAAATTATTCCTTTTTCTTTTCTATTAGATTTGAATGATAGAATTTTGGTTTTCTTCTGTGCTTTCCCCTTTAAAGTTTTTTGAGGCACCTTGAGAAAACTATCGCTGACATTATTTTTACTGGATTGTGTTTTGTGTTTTCTTACATGCAGGTCTTGCATCTGGAACTGGAGGTCTTGTGAAAAACTCTTTTCACTTGCTACGACAGCAGATGAGTCTTACGGAAATAATGAATTCAATCCATTCAGATGCTTCTATGATTTTAGAAAGTACGGAGGACACCGGCCTGCAAGAGCATACGGATGACAACTGCCTCTACTGCGTCTGTATTGAAATTCTCGGCTTTCAGCCCAGTCATCAACTAAGTGCAGTTTGCAGTCATTCAGGTGAGTAATTGCATCCTTTGAGATGAGTCCGCCTGACTTGAAGCCGTCCTGTCCCAAGTCATCCGCCAGCAGTGGCGGCTGGTGCCTGGATTCACTTGGCACCTTCCTCTTGGACCGTTAGTATTTGTTTGTGGTTTTGCCTTTTCCATTTCATCCTTTACAGTATTGCCCATGATTCAGCCGTTAACAGCGCTTTACTGGTTGTTGGTGCCCAGCCTGCAGTACTTCGTTACATCTGTCATTAGTGACTGATCAGTTCCCCAATCCAGTTGTGGTCTACAGCAGGAAAGTGATGCAGCGCAGCAGCAGACTCGGTGCAGAGACATGGCCGGCAGGATGCCCTCTGAGCCCCTGCCCTGCAGTTTGTGTTTTCTGTTTTATTTTAAAATGTATTTATTTGAAAGAAGAAAGAGGGAGAGAAAGGGATCTTCCATCCCCTGCCTTGTTCTCCAAATAGCTGCAGTGGCTGGGGGTGGCTCGGAGCAGAGCCAGGAGCTTCCTTGGTATCTCCCGCGTGGGTGGCAGGAGCCCCAGGACTTGCTGTCTTCCAGCTGGATTGAAAGAAAGCGGCCAAAAGCCACACCTGTAAGGGGTGCCAGTGTTATGGACAGCAGCGTAATGTGCTGTGCCACGTGGCTCCAGCCCAGTGTTTTATTCCCTCACAGCGCTGGCCTGAGGAGTGTCAGAATGGGTGTAACTGTTAGCTTTTGGAGCTGTTAACAGCTTACCTGTGCTGCCTTACGATGGGAGAGTGGAGGGCAAGGAAGCTTATTGAACCTTCACAGACGGTCATGAACTCAGCAGGACAATTGTTATACACTCGCATAAGCCATGTGTCTATACAAGGAAAGCAGTTGTGAGGAGGATAAGAAAACATTGGAAGGATTGATCCTGCACTAAGCTTTAGTCCAAAGCCAGAAAGAAATGTATTGATCAGTTGGTTAATCCATTATGCAGACTCCAAAGTGTATTTGTAACAAGTGCCATTAAATTTTTGAATAAAATACACTGAGCTGGGTCAGGACAGGTAGACAAGTTGAAGAGGTTTCAGAAAGTTTCTAATGAGTTGTGCTGTAGAGAATGAATAAAAACTAAGACTGGAAGAAATGGCTGAGCATAGGCTTGCTGATGAGAGAGACTGAAAGAGTACCTGTGACAGGAGTCGCCGCTGAGGCCAGGAGGACAGGCGGAGGCTGACCCCGAGTATGGCCAGGGCGCCAGCAGTATCAGCTGGGGAGTTTGTTCAGAATGTGGAGACGGGGGCATTTGCAGTGGTCAGAAGTTAGAGGGTGCCCACATCTCTCGTCAGTGCCTAAGTTAAGCTCCAGCTCCTCTGTGTCTGACCCGGCTTCTGCTAACTTGTGCCTTTTGAGGCGTCAGGGGAAGGCCTCCTAGGTGCCTGCCACCCATTTGGAGACCGTGGTTCAGTTCTGGGCTCCTGGCTGCTCTCAGCACTGGGAGAGCCAATCAGTGGGTAGAGCTCTCCCCCGCAGTATCAGTAAGGTGAAAATAAAGAAGCAGACGCGTTTTTAAATTGCAGAACAGGACATGAGCAAGACTCCTGGTTATTCATGTAGTGTAGCTGTAGTGTTTTGTGTTTTCTAAAAAAGACATCCTTAGTATCTGTGACAACTAAAAAGTAGTTTCTGTTTAAAGATATATTTATTTGAAAGAAGTACAGTCAGGGGGAGAGACACAGAAAGATCTTCGATCCACTGGTTCACTCCCCAGATGGCTGCAGTAGCCCGAGCGGAGCCAGGCTGAATCCAGGAGCTTCAGCTGGGTCTCCCATGTGTGTCCTTCTGTCCAGGCGCCGACGCAGGGAGCTGGATTGGAAGTAGAGCAACCAGAAAGCAAACTGCAGCACGTATGGTTTGCTCGCATTTTAGGTGCTGCTTACTTAAACCCACAGCTAATTCCTGTTTCTGTAAAATTTTATAATATGTTGCTGGTGATAGTTGAAGTTAAAGCTCAAGAAAACAAAACGAAAGTATCTAATGATGCATTTTGTTATGTGTCCTGATAACTTTTACAACTGTTCATGTGTCGTTTTGTTCCAGTGTGAGAGGCAAAATGCTGTCCTTGGAAAGCTTGGTCCGCTTTCCTCTGGGATGTGCATCAGTGGGAAGCGGGGATTAGGAGCAAAGCCAGGATGCCCTGACACTCTGAAATAGGGTTCATACCCCAAGCTCTTACCCACCGAGCCTACCCCTATCCTGCCAGTTTATGAAGATGCTTTTTATATATCCAGATGAGAAACATGACTGCTGAGCATTGCTTACTTACAGGAATGATTTTTTTTTTTAAGATTTATTTTATTGAAAAGGCAGATATACAGAGAGGAGGAGAGACAGAGGAAGATCTTCCATCTGATGTTTCACTCCCTAAATGACCACAACGGCTAGTGCTGCGCTGATCCGGAGCCAGGAGCCTCCTCTGGGTCTCTCACATGGGTGCAGGGTCCCAAGGCTTTGGGCCATCCTTGACTGCTTTCCCAGGCCACAGGCAGGGAGCTGGATAGGAAGTGGGGCCACTGGGATTAGAACCGGCGCCTCTATGGGATCCCGGCGCGTTCAAGGTGAGGACTTCAGGTGCTAGGCTACCGCACCGGGCCCAGAAATGATTTTTTTACATGAAAACAAATATTTGAGGCCCAGCACAATGGCTCAGTGACTAAATCCTCACCTTGCAAGTGCCAGGATCCCATATGGGCACAGGTTCATTTCCTGGCTGCTGCACTTCCCATCCAGCTCCCTGCTTGTGGCCTAGGAAGCAGTAGAAGACGGCCCAAGGCCTTGGGACTCTGCACCCACATGGGAAATTTGGAAGAAGCTCCTGGCTGTGGATCAGCTCAGCTCTGGCCATTGCGGCTACATGGGGAGTGAGCCAGTGGATGGGAATTATTTTTCTCTGTCTCTCCTCTCTGTAAATCTGGCTTTCCAATCAAAAATAAATAAATAAATTGGATAAATCTTGTTTTTAAAGATTTATTTGTATTACAAAGTCAGATATACAGAGAGGAGGAGAGACAGAGACGAAGATCTTCCGCCCAATGATTCACCCCAAGTTCACTCCGCAACGGCCAGTGCTGCGCTGATCCGAAGCCGGGAACCAGGAACTTCTTCCAGGTCTCCCACGCGGGTGCAGGGTCCCAAAGCTTTGGGCCGTCCTCGACTGCTTTCCCAGGCCACAAGCAGGGAGCTGGATGGGAAGTGGAGCTGCCGGGATTAGAACCGGCGCCCATATAGGATCCCGGCGCGTTCAAGGCGAGGACTTTAGCCACTAGGCCACACCGCTGGGCCCTGGATACATCTTTATAGAAATAAGTTGTGATTTCAACAAGTAAAAAAAATTTAAGTTGTCACTGGCCAGGGGAGTTCCTAAAATAAAAGTTTGTAACATGTTTAAGAAATGACTCTACTGAAAAAGTCAGTGTAAACCTCTCACCTGTGTAGAAGTATTATCCCATGATCCTCGTGATGGTTCATTCGTTTGTGGCTGGTTTCTCAGCATTCCTGAATAGAGTCATGTGGACTAATCATTTTAGAGTACAATGTCGTGTCTTATCCATGATTTCATTGTTATATGAAATTAACTGCAGTTGGCAAATATTAAATGGACAATTTTAGGACTAGGCAAGCGGTAAGTTTTAAAATGTGCGCTCTTCTGAGTAGTTAGGTGAAATGTCACTGTATCCTGCAGGAACCTGAATCATCCCTTCCCATAGCTGTATTTGCTACCTACGTCTTAGTCAGCTGTCTCAGCAGTGACTGTCATGGTTCTGCAGTGTTTATTTAACCTCATAACACCACTAAAAAGCAAAAGAGTAATGATAGTGCTAATTTTATTATAGCAGGTGATGACAGTTGCATTTTTATTGCTATAAAACTTACCTGTGGCTACTTTATAAATTAAACTTTATTCCGGGTATATATGTTTAAGAAATCCCATGTGTGTGTATTATATAATGCTAGCTGCAGGTTCAGGCATAGATGAGGCTGCTGTACATCTTTTATTTTCAAATACCTTTTCCAGTAGTTTTATTTTAAAGATCAATTTATACTATATCAAAATGTAATTTAAGTAGCATTTCTAAGTGCTTGGAAGAAATGTAATTTTCTTAAACACACCAGAGTTTAAAACAATACTGTGTTTTTTATTCATCTACTTTTCCAATTAAGTGGGCTTCTGTTTAGCGTTATGTAAATAGGAATCTTAGGAAGTGCTTGGAGGTGAGATGAGGAAGTGATGTTTTAAAAAATGTTTTCAATTGATGATAGCTCCTGTTATATTCTAGTTTTATGTATTTCTTTCTCTTAACTTTTTTCAAGAAACAATTACTTATTTTATTTAAAAGCCAGAGATACATAGAGGGAGAGGCAGAGGCAAAGAGAAAAACTTCCATCTGCGGTTCACTCCCCAAACAGCCAGGGCTGGGCCAGGCCAAAGCCAGGAGCCTGGGGCCTCTTCCAGCCCTCCCACACGAGTACAGGAGCCAGGTACACTGGTAGGGAGCCAAGGTGTAAGGTGACTGGCACCCATGTGAGATGTCTGCAATGCAGGTAGTGGCTTAACTTGCTATACCACAGCAAAAACCAAGATAGGGTGAGTTGTGCTAACATTTGTCTGAATTTCTGAACTTCAAAAAATACGTGGTTTTTTTTTTTCTCTCTATCCCACCATGAACTATTTTGACCTCCTTAAAGCACTGAGATGATTTGATTTTTATAGATTGCCCAGTGTTATTTCCTAGAAAGATAAGCCAAGACTTGTTGATTTCATTCATTCGAAACGTAGTGTATGTGCCAGGACGAAGCAGTAAGCGGCATTAAGCACACTGGACACTGGCGTCAGTACTCCAGAGCAGCACAGCGAGTGTCTAGGAGAGTTGGCCCTGAGGGACAGCCGGAGCGTCAGGTCGCGGTGTGGGTTCTGCTCTCAGTAACTATTAGCTGGAGGAAGAAGCGAGTCCTAGAGCAATGTGTAGTCTGATCCTGGAGACTTAAAGTGGAAGAGTGTCTAAAATGACTTCTGGTGGTGTTGACATACGGAGAGAGGGACACGGCTGGGAGGGGTAGGGCTGCTGAAAGCAACCCCGAGTGCCCTCGCTTGCATTGCTATGTACATCTGTACTGGATATTTAGAACCACCGCCTATTCCTGTATCTTTGTTGCTTGGGAAAATAAAGTCTCATTTATAAATATCTTCTGAATTAAACAAATTTCCCAACTTTAGCATTGTTTTTCTGTGTGTTCTAAACGTACTTTGAAAATCTTCATCAGGAGTAATTGTTGAAAACCCAGCAGGAATTATTCTGTTTTAGAGTAGACAGGGCCACAAAAGGAATTTTGATGCTGTAATGGAAGCACTTATTTCTTTCCTTAGACCTTCAAGATATCCCGTATTCTGACTGGTGTGAGCAGCCTATCCACAACCCCTTAGAAGCGGCTCCTTCTAAGTTCTCAGGCATCTCTGGCTGCAGTGATGGCGTGTCGCAGGAGGGCTCAGCAGGCAGCACCAGAAGCACAGACCTGCTCCTGGGTGAGTCCAGATCCCGTTCAAGGAATAGCAATGAGACTACGCTACTTCCTTTGTTTCATATACACTGTGTGTGTTTCAAAAACAAACAGGATCTCCCATTTCCTGATTCACTCCCCAAATGACTGCAACAGCTGGGTTGGGCTGAAGCAAAGAGCCTGGAGCCTCTTCCATGTCTCCCACATGGTTTAAGGGACCCAAGGACTGGGCCGTCCTCTGCAGCTTCCCCTGGTCTTTAGCTGGAAGTTGGATAGGAAAATGGAGCAACCAGGACTTCAACAAGGGCCCAGTTTTGGGATGCCACTGCTGTAGGCAGAGTATTAACTTGCTATGCCATGGTAGTGGCTCCCATACTATATTTTAAAATTGCATCAGACCTATGACAAATCAGTTTCAGTTGAACAGTTTAGCACCTGTATCGACCATTAATACATATTAACTGCTTGCTGTTATTAAAAAGTTTTGTTTCCTAAAATAATTAACAGGATCATGTGCAGTAGGTGTGTTTTGGATCTTTAGGTGAAGTTTTAAAATGTATATATACATATGTAAATATTGTGATATAGATAAAATATTTAATGTCACGTTGTAATGTTCTTTTTAGGTGTTAAAACAATCCCAGATGATACACCAATGTGCCGTATACTCCTTCGCAAGGAAGTTTTAAGATTAGTTGTTAATTTGAGTAGCTCAGTTTCAACTAAATGCCATGAGACTGGACTTCTAACGTGAGTAAACAAAGTATCTGAATATTACTTGCTTGTTTTGATTTTTTTTTAGGCTGAAAAATACTTAAAACATCTCAGTAGCTTCTGTTAATAGTTCTGTATTGCTTTGCGTATCTGTATGAAGCTAGATTTTCTTTATATCTGAACTTGAACTGAACTGATTTGTGGCATCAGACTGAATGCGAAAGCAGACATGTAAAATATATTATCTGGTAACACACAGTGGCTTCTTAAAAAGTGAGCTAATATTTGGAAAATTTCTTGATTTTTAATAAAGTAATGATTGAAGGTCTAATACACACACACACACACACACACGCACACGCGCTTCTGGAAATCCTTGATAGTTTGAGGATAGTGGGCTTACATGAAACCAATGGCACTTTCTTGAATATCCACCCCATGTTCTCTTACAAGTTCCAGGTTATTCATTGTTTCTCTAAACCTCTCTGGAATTATAATGCTGAATATGCAGCATCTTTATTTGTACCATTTACAATAGTTCTTCTCAAAGGAGATGCACCTCCCAGCCCCCCTTAGGGCTTCTCAGAAACGCGGCAGGAACTATGACTGCAGCATGGCAGTAGGAGGCAGGCCCTCACGTGTGCAGCTCGCACACGACTCGGTCCACGTCCTTCCTGGCGCCCCTGCCCCGCACACAACTAGGCCCACGCCCTCCCTGGCACCGCTGCCCCACACATGACTCAGCCCACACCCCCCAGCACCCCTGCCCTGCACACACACAGCCCATGCCCTCCCTCCAGCACCCCTGCTCCACCATGACAGGCCCCTGCCTTCCTTCACCCTCTGACCCTCCACTCTCTCTGCTGACTCAGGTGTTTCTTTTCTGCATGTCAGTATTTGAAATGCTGGAAGATAAAAACCAGCCCAACCAATGATATTAATAACTGTTACCTTAAAATACATTTCTATCTTAAAACTTACTTTTAACTATATGTAAGTCATGCTAAGCTGATATATTTTTCTCCTGACAGTGATAAAGAATAATTTTTACTTTATGGAATTATCAAGTCTTGATCACCTTAGAGAACAAGCTTTAGGACCTGTGATTTAAATGTACTGTAAAGGGAAGTTTAGTTTTTTTATTCTTAAGGTATCACCTCAGATATGCTATCTAATCAGTATTTCAGGGGAAAACTGCCTTGACAGTGATGCTTTGGAGGAATAGGCAAATCATGTTCAAAGTTTTTAGTTACACCGTAGTCTTGTCTTCCATTTTAGAATTAAGGAGAAATATCCTCAAACCTTTGATGACATATGCCTTTACTCTGAGGTTTCCCATTTGCTGTCACACTGCACATTTAGACTTCCATGTCGGAGGTTCATACAAGAATTATTTCAAGATGTACAGTTTTTACAGGTAAGCAGAATTTATACTTCTACAGCTTGACTTTTGAGAATATTTGTTCAAATTAAAAAAGAGGTTGTGTCTGCAGTGTCTGCCGTTTTCATGAAGTCTTTCACTGTCGCCCGTGTCTTTGCCAGATGCATGAAGAAGCAGAGGCTGTGTTGGCAATCCCACCAAAGCAACCTGTAGTTGATACATCTGCTGAATCCTGACCTCATATTTATGATGTATATAGAAACAGACTGTATAGATTCATACTTGTGGATTTCCTATACGCCTCATGACATGCTGACTGGGCAGCTGACGGGAGCATCTTCTGTACACTGTTCCAGCAGTTACTGGTACACGAACAGTTGAAACTGCTGACATCCCTAACCAAACAGCTTCCCTCTGGCCCCTGCGGGCCCTGGGAAGGCTGCAGGCCTTGACCAGTGGGAAGAGTTCCACTTACCATTGTATGCAAGAGCCGAGCACTGAACACCTTCATGGATTTGCTATCTTTCCATCTGAAAACTAAAGCAGTGGAACAGTGATAGGAGACGCGGAAGCACCCTTCACACAGTTGTTTCAGAGTCTGCTTCTTAGAGTGACTGTCAGGATGTGTAGTTTGTTGACTCGGTCGGCCACCCGGCAGTCAGTGTCTTGAAGGCCGCATCCTCTTACTACAGTGGGGGGTGCTGGAACTGCCGGTTACGCAGGGGAACTTCGGCCCTCCCCGTTCTCCTGTAAGGTTTCTAACACTACTTCAGAGGTTTGCAACCTCAAAGTTAAAGAAGAACCTCAACAACCTGGGACGTTTAAGTTATTATTAATTTTTTTTTGTTATTACACTTGCATAATTATTCTTGACTTGGTTTCTGTCTTTTCAGTTTGTTTGCGGTGGGTTGTTATAGGGTATTTGAACCAACTGAGGTTTTTCACTACAGTTTCTGACTGAAATCAGAACATAATGTTGTAATTGGATTGAAAATCTTCCCCGTTTATAGCAAGCATGTGTTTTCACTGGACTTGTGTTTCCATCAGCTTCCCAAGTTGTAATTGTAAACGAGAACTTGAACTAGCGGCCGTTTCATTCAGACCTAAAGCTAAAGAAAGCATTAAATAACACTTTGGGTCTCCTGAGGAAGAGAGACGTTATCTTACAGTGTACACATTCCGTGGGAAAACAAGAGCCATATTTCCTTTTAAGAAATCATTAGTGAAATATCAGTAAGATTAAAAATTGTAGTGAAAAGCCTTAAGTACCAAATTCTACAGCAGCAGTAATTGAACGTTTCTGTCCGTGTTCTTGTTTTGCACACGCTAGAAGCAGTGGTAGGTGAGTTGGAGTTCAGTAGTTGCCTTTATCACATTTGTCAAGTTGATAACAGCAAGATTTTGTTTAATTTGTATATGTATAAAGATATTTGGAAGTCATTACAGGAATTAAACATATATGCAAATTTGTATATAAGACAGCATGGCCATCTTTAGAATGCTTGTAAATGAAAGGAATATCTTTTTGAGACCTATCTCTCTATCTATCTAATCTATATGTAAGTATAAGCAGAAAAAGATCCAGCTGGACTGATTAGGGCCCTTTTAAAATTCATTTGTTTATGCCATTTTTACAAGTACACATCCGCTCAGACACAGGCATTGCTTACTATTTTCCCATGACATATGGACTTTTTTTGTAATAGGCTTGCTCTTTGAGATTTCTGTAAAGAACCCTGTGAACTTCAAAGGAAAAAAAAAAATCGGAGATACTTTTTCTTCTTGATTTGCTGGCACTGAAAGTTCCACGCGGGAGGATGCATTTCATCTCGCTCCCTCACACCTCTGACCCGCACTTTGGCCAATTGTTGTTCTGTGCACTGTAGCAACTTACATTATAAACAACGCAGATAAGGGCTGTAGGCTGCTGCTTAGCTTAACAAGCAGCTTCTCAGATTTTCTCTCATAAAATCCAGTGAAGATAAAATAATTTTTTAACTTTATCACTGAACCCAAGTGTTTGAGTGTGAGCAGCACTTCTAAGAACGCTGCCTGTCCTGTCGGTCTTTGGTCTGGGATAATCAAACTGCCTTTTCCGGAGAACCAAATGTCAGAAATACTAGACCAAATAGTGGTTGCAAACTCCAAAGGAAGCAATGTAGTAATCTTATTCAGAAATAAGATTAATATTTTAGACATTCATTTTAAACACTACCTCAGTTAACATAGAGTATAAAAAGAAATCTGGGGTTTAACCCCTTAAAAATTAACAGTGATTTTTGTTGTCGCGCACAACCGTGCCCATTTCTGTACCCTCCCTTCCCCCTTGGTCATCCATCCTGCAATTAAGGCTTAATTACCATTAGGCTGAACAGTTTTGGGACTGTTATTTTGTAAGATGTGTTATGTCTTCATGTTTTCATGTCTGCCTGTACAGCACTTACCTTGGGGAAATAATCAGAGCTTGTCGCTACTAGGATGGTAAGAAAAAGATGTCCACACTCGTAGTGCTGTTTGGTTTATCCATGGTTTCACAGACAGGTCCGATACGTTTCCTTTGAGTACTTGTTCGTATAAAAGTAGACTTTTATGATGAAAAATATATACAGTGCCAAGTGATTAACTTAGATGTTTAAAAATACTAAATTGTAGTGAAAATGATTAGGAATGGTGTCAGTGGTAACAGAAATCATTGAGAAAATCTATAAATAATAGATATTGCCAGATTATAGAATACCAAAATAATATCAATAGGTTTTCACTATTTTAGAATTAATCTTAGTCCATTTAAATTTGTCACATTGCTAATAATTTGAAGGAGTCTGGGCAGTTGCACTTGCCGTAAACTGTGAATTTCTAATTGTAAATTGTCATTTCTAATTCAATTTTGTTTTTCAGATTTCAGCTTCACAAATGAAGTAAATATAAATAATGGAATTAGAAATTTAATATTTGTAATTAAATATGGTCTACAATTTATTGTGCTTTATTTCCTATTTATTCTTAGGTAAATTTGAGTGAGTGGGGGAAGCTGTCCTCCCTAAAGTAAGTTTTCTAATAAGAACTTTCTGTAAAACGTTGACATTAAGGAGGCTCGTAGGAAGCGCGCAGATCTGATAACACAGGGATGCTTGCAGATCCCTTCAAAGCAGCAGCTTTAGTAGTTTCCAGCTCTTTCTGGAGCTTGAGATCATTAAAGCTGAGTCTTACAGGGCATGTCACGAAGTGTTCAATAACAAGATGTCAATGCAATTTATTTACATTTATCTACTGCTATTTATATAAAATTTTATTTCATTCCATTCAGAGGATGCCTTTTATCCCCATGGTAAAGCACAGATCATTAAGCAATAAAAACCAAATTGTCTGTTATTCAAATTATAACTGCAACTATTTTTGCATGATAGGAGTGAGGTGCTAATTTTGTGTGAGGTGAATCCTGTTAACTACTTTGGGAGGTGTTTTTTGGAAGTGAGCTGTTCTCCCCTTTAGTCCTGTGCTTCCAGTTGGCCGCAGATTCACAATCTGTTAAGGAAAGAAGGGGAAAGAAGACAGGATAACTGAGGAATTTTTATGAGAAGGAATATTTGGAATAAACGTGTCATTTTCCAAAATGTAAGTAAAGAAAGATTCCCATTTTCTTGATATTCACAGAATATATTGTTACCATCTTAATTTTCAAGAGTCACTGTAGTGAGAATTTTGTTATGAAGCCTACTGGTGAAATTTAATAGCCGTACTTTATCAGAGAACATTGAAATCTGTGAGAATTTTTCTCGAAACGTTCTTCCTTTTCCTTTAGTTCCAGGTTCCCGGGGAAACCTTCGTTCCTAGTAGGTTTATACTGATTCACAGAATGTAGACACCCTCCCCCATTGGAGGATTTTGTGATGGAGGTGGCCAGCTATGCCACAGCATGCACAAGTTGCACATTTTGTTTGACTTTCTTTATAAAATATTTAATTTGAGAAACGTAATTTATGCCAAAAAAAAAAAAAGCCGACCTAACAGTTTTGCCATATAACTAGGTTGATTTAGCACAAACTGCAAAGTTGTGGGGGGTAGAGAGAGAGCAGGCGTTCACAGGTAAGAGCTGAGAAGTGTTCCGTTATCGGCCTGTCAAACCCAGGGCTGCACTGTAAAACACCTGGTGTAAATTGCTTTGAAAAAGTGGTGAGGGATTATGGAGCAGAACAAGATCTCAGACTGAGTGTTCTCTAACCACAGGATTTTGTTCTTTTTTATTTAGTAATACGCTGCTACATATTTGGAGGTTCTGATATTTGTAGGTCACTGAACAGATATTGAAATCTGATTTATATTGTATAACTGTAACATAGAAAGACAAAGTATTTCTATATTTTCTGTAAGAATATTTCATTGAGTTGTGTATAATTTAAATAAGACTTGTCCCCACATGGTTTAGCTCACTTTGATTTTTTTTTGTTGTTGTTGTTGTGGTGGTTTTCGTTGTATTTGTATAATGTGTACAGTTTATGTCAAGGGCATTAAAGGCCTCCTAAAGCATAATCTTATCAAAGGGATACGTTGTTAATAAAATGTACGGAAAATTCTTAACTTGTGTTTTATTTGAAAACCTAGCTGGACCCTTGATTGAAGCATGCCACGCTGAAGTGACCCGTGGGGCTCCCCGGGAAGGTGACTGTGAGCTGCCTGGTACTGTGCAGGGCGGCTGCTCCAACTCCTCACACTTTCTTAGCCTTCGGGGTGTTTGTTTGTTTGTTTGTTTGTTTGTTTGTTGCAAAGTCAAATATGCAGAGGGGAGGAGAGACTGAGAGGAAGTTCTTCTGTCCCATGGTTCATTTCCCAAGTGGCCACAATAGCTGGAGCTGCACCTATTGGAGGCCAGGAATCAGGAACTTGTTCAGGTCTCTCACGTGGGTGCAGGGTCCCAAAGCTTTGGGCCGTCCTCGACTGCTTTCCCAGGCCACAAGCAGGGAGCTGGATGGGAAGTGGAGCTGCCGGGATTAGAACCGGCGCCCATATGGGATCCGGGCGAGTTCAGGGTGAGGACTTTAGCTGTTAGGCTACCATGCCAGTCCTAAGGTTTTAATGTAACACCTTTTACATTTCATTTTTAAGCTAAACTCATTGTTATAAATAGAGTGAGGTGTGAATCTGTATTTAGAGCAGCTGTGAATTTGAAGGTGGTAAGTCACAGTGATGATGCAACAGTATTGACTTGTCCCAGGCATAAACTGATCTGATGAGTGAGGATAGCTGCTGCCACCTAGTGGGAAGAGGAAAGAAAACACGGGAAATTGCCAGTTCTGAAGAAATAAATAAATTCCATGTTTTCAAACCTGGAGTATATTATAGTTGGAAAAATATGGTTAGAAATAGATTTGTTCAGACTTTTTTTCCTTTAAGCACAGTTTGCTGTCATTATCCTCATTCCCCTTTACCATATGTCATTAAACAATGTAATTGGTTCTCATACAAGGTAAAGCAGAGATGATGATATTGTGCTGCTGGTCTCTGAAGAAAGTGGTAAATTAGCTCAACTTTAAAAAGCTGGTTTCATTTTTTTAAACTTTCACATCCAGAAAGTCTGAGGGGTTCGGCCATGTACACAATGGGTTAGGCCTGGGAGGAGTCCTGGCTCTGTCTGACCCACTCCTGGGAGCGGCAGAGGACGCCGCCAGGCCCCTGCTGCAAGGTCGATTCCTGGCCTCGGGGACCCAGCCCCATCAAAACGTAACCCTAAATTAAAAGGTCAAGGTGTGTGTACTTCTATATTGATTTAAAAAAAAAAGTCAATGCACTGTTTTTCTTAAAGGACTGAAACTGCATCATTCGAGAAAATTCATGCGAAAGGCAGAGGGGAAGAGGTAGGGGTCTTCCATCTGCCGGTTCGCACCCCAAAGGGCGACACACCAGAGCTGGGCCAGGCCAGAGCCAGGAGCTTCACCCACTCTCTCCTAGACAGCAGCCTCCCACGTACTCTGCCACTTCCCAGCGTGTCTGTCAGCAGGACGCCGGAGTGGAGCTGGAGCCCGGGCTCAATCCAGGCGCCGCAGTGTGGGATGAAAGTGCCACATGCAACATTTTAATCCTTGTCCCAGATGCCTGCCCTGGGCCGCATTTTAAGTACCCATTCTGAAGGCTTTATATCTGCTGTTGGAACTTTCAAATTCTATGTTATGTACTGTTTTACAGATTTTGTGAGTTTTGAAAGATGAAAGCTAGCTAAGCTTCCAACAGAGCTCTTACGAAATATTAGAAAGTGAAGCAATTCAATTTTCTTAATACACCTTTTAGTCGATGATTAAGCTGATGGTAACTGGCGTGGGTTATCTTCCGCTGATCTGTCGCTGTTGTGTGACAAGTCCCTGCTCCCAGTCAGAACCCGCAAGGAACCAAGCAGGTCACTTGGAGCTCTGCAGGCTGGTGCAAGCTTGAGAGGTAAGTCCGGTCAGTCCCAACCACCCCAGTAGCCTGTTACTGATTTAGTTTTCTATGTGATTCTTCACTGATCCTGTGGCTGTTTTAAAATGACAACCAGTCCCTCAGAAAAACTCAGATATTCCGACGAGATCGTGGCTTGCCTCAAGGTAAGGGCAGAGTGGTGGGGTGCCTGCAACAGCTGTGGGTACAGATGCTCATGGAAGGGTACGGTAAACTGTTGTCTATTTGTAATGCATAATGCATTTTAAGATTGAAATTCAGATACTTCTGGTACAAAATAAAAATTTCAGAGTTTCTTAAGGCAATGTTTAGATGGCGTACCATGGGGTCTTCAAAAAGTTATGGGACAATACATAGTGTAAAAAAATCGCATGGCTCCCCAAATTTTTACCCAATATGAACTTTAAATGCCATTTACTATACACTTCTTGAAATGCTCCCATATGGTTAAAACCAAAATGTTAGGTACCAACTTAACTTGGTTATGAACACGATAGAGGAATGTTACAGTCCAAACTGTAGCACAGTATGAGATTAGATACACTAACAGGAAATGCTAGGCTGCAAACCTCTGTGTGATTCAGCCTGGTGACTCAAAGCTCAGTGTATTCCTGATGTATGGCAACTGATGGAAAATGCAACTTACTCAGCAGAAGATCGGAATTTCTGATTATTAGGTTTGCATTGAAACGCAGAAATTACTTTCAGTCCATAGAGTAATTTATTAATGGTTGGTTTCATTTCACTAAGATCAAGTGTAATGGTATGTAATTTTTAATTATGGCTTGTTGCAATAACAATTTCAAAGTTTGTGGATTGTTTTATACACCGGACACTTAGAAATCAGTAATCAATGACATTAATGTTGCTGTGTGAGTCTGAAATGAAACACTGTGATAAAGGAGCATAAGTAGAATAAATGAGAGTACAGACCGCTTGCTCGCAGCTGCTAGACTGACAAGGTCCTTCTCAGCACAGAACCCATTTCTCCTCAAATGGCAGGGTTATATGTAAGGAAAACATCGAAAAGCTTGAACAAGAGTTACTGTCTCTCAGGGTCCATGGGGAGCTGGTCACAATATTACCTGGATGTCAAAATCCACAGATGGCTGAAGCTCCTTATGGGAAATGATGTAATGTTTTGCATATCAGCTGCACCCATCCTCCCAAATACATTAAATCATCTTTCGATTATAACTTAGTGCAGTGCAAATGCTGTGTGGCTATTTTGTTTAGGGAGAAATAAGTATATAACTCTCAGAATCATCATAAGCCTACCTATGTAATATATGGATAACATCTAATAAACCATGCTGCAGTGGGTGCTGGAGAGACGGAAAGCCCTGGCGATGGCAGGAGCTGCCGCTGCCATTCCCGTGCATTCACTGGAGCGTTTGACTCATGGTAGGTTCAGGTTTTGCTTTCTGCAACACTGTAGTTAGAAAGCTTCTATTGTTTGCCAACTGCCCTGGGTTGTGCAGGTACGTTTAGATGAATAACCACACGGCGATGTTGACTTAGCGTATTTGTTTATTGTTAACTGGCACAGTGCAGCGTATTTGGTAAGTGGCCTGAACATGACAGGAAAGCAAAAGGAACACTGCTCTAATCCTTTTGATACAGGACAGACGTTTAGGGGTTGATGGGCATAGGAAAGAGAAAGGGATTAGCATATATCCCAGGTGATTGGCATATTTGTTTCAAGAAGGTAAAGTTGTCCTGGAAGCCAACACAGTTTCCCGGTCACTGAAATTTTTCAGTCATCTGTAAATTACATTCAACAATGATAAATGAGATGGTGAGTGCTGTGTTGACCTGGACAACATTGCAGACACCAAAGGATGCGAAGTGAAAACAGGTCATTTGTAAGTTCTGGGCAGCGGGAGGAGGAGCTAGAAAATGTGAATGACAATATATTTTCCTCTTTCTACTCTGCAGTGGTCATCAAATTCTGATAGAAGACTGTTGTCTGCTGAGCAGTAGTGAGTCAGGAGTTCCTTGTCCGTCCCATTCTTGCACGGGTAAGGCAGGCCGGAGGAACAAGAGATCTTACTCGTCAAGGGCCAGTTCCTAACCAGGCAGGTCTGTGCTCCCCCAGGCGTTGCTTCTGCTGGGCCAGTGTACTGCAAACTGTCCAAACTGCTGTGATCCCTAAAGGTTCATGCTAACAACTTCTGTGCTTTATTAAAAACTTTGTTTTACCCTTAAGATAGGAAACGTGTTTTATCTCACTGAAGACAACACACGGAGGGCAGTATCGAGTGGATGTCTGGAGTGGCCGGTGCCTAGCCAACGTGGCGGACAGGCCATCACGAACAACAGGAGGGTAAGCACCTGCCCGTAATGCTGCCCTCTCCAGGAAAGAATGCCACATTGCATGGCTGTGGCCTCCAAGCAAGTTAGACTGGAGTGGGCCTCCATCAGGACAGGTGCAGGTGTGCTGGCTGGCTGCGATGGCTCTGTGGGATCTGCAGCAGCAGCAGCAAGAAGACAGGAAGTGTGTTTGTTAATGGTGGTGTTCACCTGCATCTAAGAGGGTGACGGAGGAGAGACTGCTGCCCTCGCTGAGGGGAGGGGACGCCAGGCAGGAGGGCATTGCCATCTGCATTTTATACTCTGAGCAGAAGGCTGCCACTGGAGGATTTGTTGGGAGGCTCTCCCTGTCGCCAGGCAGGGGTGAAGCCACCTGGGCCACATAGTTCAAAGTTTCTGCAGCCGCATTCTCTTCCAGAGAATTCATGTAGTTTTTCTCTAGTGCCTTCGTTAAATCATCAGAGGAGTCCAGTAGTCCCAGCTGACTTGGTGCATCTGGAGGGATTCCAGGGACGTGGCCACAAGCACCTGCTGCCGAAGCTTCTTGATTATAGGTAAGGTTCTCAAAGCAGATGCAGGTTTGGGGGTCAGAGGAACGCTTTCCTGCTGGAAGGATGCAGAGGTAGGTGTGCTCGGTCGCTTCCGTTCCTGCGGGTGACCTCCTGGTGCCCGAGAACCGGGCCTGGGCCCCTTCGGGTTTGTTTATCACCTCAATTGCATCCGGAGTGCAGTCCTTGACGTTCATTATTGTTGACTGAGGATTCTGGGAAAGAAACAATGTCAGTATAAATGGGATGTGTCATTGAAACATTAAATGTGCACGTATGTATATACAGGTGTATGTAAGTGGGTTAAGTACGTGAAATACACTTAGTGCTTCAGGTAATTGTGAATTTTCCCTGAGAAGAAATGCAGACTGCTGTGATGCATCTGTGGAAGTAAAACTGGCTTTTCATTTCTATTTTCCTGAGGAGGCCTAGGAAACAGCAGTCCCAGCCCTAGATTAGGCCTTGGTAGGAATTGCCCAACATTCATTTACCTTGGATTTTTTTATTGTCAGAATGCTGCTCTTATAAGGGTCTGGAATGTCAGGATAACACTTCTCCAGCCTGGGGGGGGAAATGAGACATTGTCACACTGCAGTGGGATAGATCAGAAGGAGGACTAGGGTGGAGTCTGACCCCTGGGTTCTAATCCTTGCTCTGTCCCACACTCAGCAAGCCCATTAAGTCTCACACGCTTTTATGTCCTGATCAGGTCAGTGCTGTTGACTACAGTGTTCTAGTACAGTAGTTGAGTGAATGAATTGAGCCCGGCGCGTGGCCTAGCAGCTAAAGTCCTCGCCTTGAACGCCCCGGGATCCCATATGGGCACCGGTTCTAATCCCGGCAGCTCTACTTCCCATCCAGCTCCCTGCTTGTGGCCTGGGAAAGCAGTCGAGGACGGCCCAAAGCCTTGGGACCCTGCACCCGCGTGGGAGACCTGGAAGAGGCTCTTGGCTTCAGATCGGCTCAGCTCCAGCTAGCTCCAACTATTGTGGCCGCTTGGGGAGTGAATCCTGGAACGGAAGATCTTCCTCTCTGTCTCTCCTCCTCTCTGTATACCTGACTTTCCAATAAATAAATCATCTTTTTTTAAAGAGTGAATGAATTATTCCATGTAAAGCATTGTAGAGCAGTAGCAAGCCTGTAAGAAGATACAAACACTAGCCACTGCTTAACCTCTTGCCACCTTTAGTTTCAATGATTATTATTTTCCTTGTGTTGCAACCTGATGTTTTCACTAAGCCTTTTCCTTTTCAGAACTCGAAACGGCTTTCTCGATTTTTCTCTGTTCCCGTGGTTGGCTAAACCTTCCTCACTTACCATTGGCTTTTCCAGTAGCACGGGAGCAGGATGAGCAAGAGGCACAGGATGATGGGTGGAAGGATGCGGATGAGCAGGTAAGCTGCAGGAGGAAGAGGAAAGCATCTGTGTGATTGGTTCATTTACTTCTCCTCAATGCTTTCAAAAATCTGAGGTAGTTAGCCCCCTTCCTACCGGGTCACTGCCAACTGCCCATCCCAGCTGGGACAGACTCACAGTGTTCATCTGGAGTTTCAACTCTCTTGAAGGGCTCGTCGGGGCCTTCTCCGACACGTGTGTATGGGGCCACGCGATACTCATAGGACGACTGCGGCTGGAGGTTTTCCACAAGGAATGTCTTCTGTTCCGGGTTGTCAATTTTGTATTTGCAACACACTAACTCATCTATAGTTTAAAAAAATGTCAAGGATAAACTTGTGTGGCAGAAATCTTGAGATGATTTCATCAATTGAGAGTATCAGTATCTTTTAATAAAGCAAAAATTCCATCGTGGGGACACTGGTACAATTTTCAGGAAATGGCACAGTTCAGCAAAAAACCAAAACCCCGCTCGGTAACGGAGGCTGGTGATGCAGAGGTGCCCCGCTGGCACGACAAGCTAGTAGGGGTGGACGAGCCTTGCCACAGACTGTAATACCATTAAACAAAGGGAAGCAAGCAAGCAGAGGGGGCAACAACATCCCCGAGCAGCGGGTTCCCTTTGAGTTAGACATCAGGGCTTGGCCAAAAGGCCGAGAAGTGATTTGCCCTGAGTTCTGGAGACACCAAATGACTTTAAGTACTTCAAATAATTGTTGCTCATTTATTCTTTGAAGAAGATCTCATTTACTAACCTGAAAGAACTTGCTTTTCAGATCCTGGGTGGCACTGCTTCGCCTTGAACTTGAGATAAACGTAGTAGCCGAGTATAAAACCTGCTTGGGATTCCGTGGAATAGTTGTTCCAGGTCAGAGTGAAGGAATGGGACGTCAGGTTTTTTATGTCCAAGTGAGGATTCTGTGAAGGAGCTAGGAGAGGAATGTGGGATAAGAAAAATCATCATCTCCAGACAGCAGCATCCAGGCAAGCTCAGTAGAACCAAAGCAGCTCCAGGGGTCGTCGGAGCTTCCGGTGAGACAGGCTAAGATGTCTGATCTGTGTCCCTGGGGACTTGGGCTCTGGCACAGCCGGTGGGTCTGGAAAGGGGTGGAGCAACTTTATTCAAGCTTTGCCTTTCAGATGACAAGATGAATGAGGTTTTTTTAAATATTTATTTTTATTGGAAAGGCAGATATACAGAGAAGGGGAGAGACAGATCTTCCCTGCAATGATTCATTCCCCAAGCAGCCACGACGGTGGGAGCCTCTTCCAGGTCTCCCACATGGGTGCAGGGTCCCAAGGCTTTGGGCCGTCCTCAACTACTTTCCCAGGCCACAAGCAGAGAGCTGGGTGGGAAGCAGGGCCAGCAGGATTAGAAGTGACGCCCATATGGGATCCCAGCGCGTTCAAGGCGAGGACTTTAGCCACTATGCTATCGCGCTGGGCCCCAGAGTGAGTTTTCAATCTAGGGGTCAAATACACTGTCCCATAGCTGAGCGCTTAGGTTCAGTCTAGGCCTGTCTCTGTCCCAGCTTCCGGCATTAGCACACCCTGGAAAACAGCGGTGATGGCCCGAGAGGCTGGAGTCCTGCCTCACACGTGGGAGCCCCGGTCTGCGTTCCCAGCCGCTGCAGCCACAGGCATTTGGGGTGAACCGTGTGATGGGGACTCCTTCGCACTCTGATCATTCCATTTCTCTAGGCATTTGTTTCTTTGGAAAAAATAAAGGTCTCTCTAAAGGTCACATAGGAGACTAAAGGTCATTTAAATCTCATTCCAGTTAAATATGTTCGTGTTGAGAGCCAGACAGACACAGCTCCCAACCAGCGGCTCATTTCCAAATGCCCAAAGTAGTGGGGGCTGAAAACTCAGCCTCCATTGTGGGTGGCCGGGACCTGACTACCCGCTGTGTCGCAGAGGGCACAGCAGCAGGAAGCCGCACCCTCGACTAGAGCCAGGACTCAGACCGCAGCGCCCACCTAGGCAGGTGCGCCCACCAGGTCCAGTACATACCCCTTAATTCTGTGCGTGAATTGCAAACTGACTCGGGAGAACTATTCACGTGAGAGGGTGAGGGTTGTGTGGAATCTGAACTCCAGCTCTCAGGCTGTAGCAAGGCTCACTGAGGAGTGTTTGTCATCCTCACACCTACCTGTGCACACACCATCCACCGTCCCTGCCTGCCTCCGATTGCATCGCATCACTTAGAGGTGACATCCAGCAAGAGAGGTGACATGCGTGCACAGGGACACCCGTGGCCATCACAAAACGCTGTGGTTGACCATCTCACTAGTAAAAACTGTGCAGACAGCAGACGAAAATCCCAGTTCTGTTTTATGTCTAGAGAAGGGAGTTCCTGGGTTTACACATAACACATCACCTTTGGGTATTAACTGTTTGATGATGTCATCCTGTTCTTTTATATGATATTTGAGAAATGATCCTAGAGGACTTTATATTTGTTTGACTTTTTTAAAAAAGTCAAGTCATTTAAAAACAGTTGCCAGAATAAATGGGACACGGACAATTAGGTAATATGTTGGGGATCTTTTGTTTCCCAAAGCTTGGTGTGTCTGCCCTGTTCTGGGCCTTCGCCCAGGGGGACAGCAGGTGCGCGCGCTTACCCAGTTCCTGGGAGTATCCTGTTTTTTTTGCTAGCAGATTAGTTCTTTTCGCAGACAATCCATACACTCTGAAGTTGTACCGGACTCCTGGTCTAAAAGCATCTGGAGAGAGAAAAACTGGTCAGCGGGGTCTCAGTAAAACGGTGACATTCTCTCCTGAAAGGCAGGGGGTTTCTGGAAGATGAATTTGTGTTCCCTCCGTCATTTCCCTGGGGTTTCTTCAGCTCATCTCCACCTTGTCTCCCTGTTGCGCTTTCGGGTCCCTCCAGGTTGCAGGCCTACCTGGCCCAGTGGTCTCACCCCAGTAAAGTCCATCTCAACTCCCTTTCACAGCATTCTCAGGCAGGAGACTGAGTACAGAGTTGGACCAGACGCCTAAAACCTTTCACATCCTCTGGCTCCACACCTCCCTCTTCCTTGAAGTCAAAGCTATCAAATGCTTCCATTCACTACCTAGCTTCCCCTCAAGCCTGCTTCTCTGCAGGGTGCCTCCAAACCCCCCACTAAACCCAGCATCCCCAGCCATGGGAACCAGGACAGTTTCTACCCACTTCCAATGGCCAGTAGATGGCGCCATTCATCCCTTTACTCAAGCCATAAACCTGGGCTTCTTCCATTTGGCTGAGCTGGCCATCTTCAAATGGCAAGCCCAGTGTAAGAACTGAGTGTTCAAGTCCCATACATTCTGTCAAACTAGGTGATTGCTTGGCATCAATTCAAACTTGAAAATATCCCCGAAGTCTCACACTTCTCTTTGTTTACTTCTGTAACACAGAAGCCCCCTAGACAGTTAAAATGCCCCTCTGCCATTCACTGTACACCACTCATGCAAATGAGTCAACCTCATGAAAAATGTGGAAAACCAACCCAACACTGGGTCCAGAAAGTGTCTGCCAAGGTAGATGTAAACATCACAAATTGTGACACATTCTTGTAAAACTGGAACTCCTGACACCCACAGGGGATGTAATTTTAAAACCAGTGACTTAGTGCAATAGCCCGAGTTAGTCCGGCCGCTCTGCATGCAGGCGACTGGAACACGAGGGCTTCCGCTGACCTGAGGCCAGGAGTGTGCTGGTGGTGTTGGGACCCACGTTCTTCCACTGGAGGTCACACAGAGGGGCCAGGGGCTGCTCGCACCAGTCCACCACGTAGCCAGTCACATCTCCGGGCTCGGGGTCCCAAGACACAGAGAGCCCACCCTCTGTGCCTGTAATCCTTTCTTCTTTAACCTTTTTTGTGCCTAAAGAAACAGTAAATTCATTAAATTTGGAAGCATCACTCTAAGTGCAGAAGGAAATACATCCACACGCAGGGCATGTGACAGGGGAGCGTCTTCATGGCTGTATTCCTGCCCACAACCCAGCCGGGTCATTCCTGACCGCCACCAGAGCACGCGTCAGCCAGCTGCCCAGCAAGGCACCTGAAGCCACAAAGATCCTCACCTCCAAACCTCCTCTCAGGATTTAGGAAAGTATAGGGTATATGACAGACTGCAAGCTTCGGAGCCTAAAATATTTTCTATCTGTCCCTTTACCAGAAAAAAAAGTTACCCTTGATGTAGCACTATGACTGGTACTTGCTGCATGTTAACGCTGACAGTGATGCTTCAGCTAGCACTGCTCCCGTGGTGTTAGGGGCAAGAATGGAGGCGGGGGCAAGAACAGAACAGTTCAGGTGTGTACTGTGCTAACATCTGGTACCTGAGACATAGTTGGCCTCAAGAAACTCCCAGTTCTGTGGACTTGAGATGGGGGCTACACCTTAACCTGGAGACAGAAAAATAGACTCCACTGCAACATATACAATCCAGATCTTGTCTGTGGCTTTCTGCGATGCAGCTTTCACTGGCCTCCTGTGTTGTGTGGCAGTACTAGCTGCAGCTGAGCATGGCGAGGCACGCACAGTGCTATTACATTTCCTGGGGAACCTGTGCTGTTGGCGACACTGAAAGGACCGTGTAGCTACAGGGATAGGGTGGGGCCCAGGACACCCTCACGCGTGCCGTTACTGTGTGGCTTCCTTACCTTCCTCCAGCCAGGAAAACATCTGTCTCACCCTGAGCCTGTTCTCCACCTCGTTTATTCATGCTACATTTGGACTCCAAACTTAAGGCTTTTCACTCCTGGCAAACTGCTGCTTTAATACTACAAGTAAGTTTTGAGGGATGGAGGCAAACTCAAGGCTAAGGAGGTTGGGTTCTTTTTAATTCGCACTATAGTGCAAATTGACTCAACTTTATTGGTTTTTTTATCTTTATACACATTCATAATTTAGGAATATGAACCATGTAAAGGCTAGAGAGCCTCACAATGGAAAAGTGTGTGTGTGTGTGTGTGTGTGTGTGTGTGTGTGTGTGTGGTGAGGGATGAAGGCAGGGCATGGGAAGGCAGGATAGAGTTTAGTAAGAACCCAAGAACAGAAGCTTGCCAAGCAGCGGCAGCTCTGTGGGCTGGCCCTTGTGCAAGGCTAGCTTCCTTGAGCCCAACAGAGTGCTTCACAGAGCAAAAGCTCAGCAACTCCCAGAGCTGTTCTTCTGTGGCACAATACCAACTTGTTTTCCATAGTCTAATTTCTTTTCCTGATACACACTGGAGAGTTTTTAAAAACACAACCACCCAAGAAACCCAGCCCACTCAATCCAGATTTAAGTGTGAATGACAGCTGTGGGACAACTGCCATAACCTCACTAGGTATGAGCAGAAGGCTCACGAGTGCCCTTGGATGCCCAGGGCTTTGTGCCCGCCTGATGGTGCAGCAGCTTGTGTATCGCTGGGTTACAAAGTCAGAAACGTTGGCAGTCTCTGACTGCCAAGAAGAAAATTAATATCACTATTGATTTTGCACAATTTCGAAGTCATTGCCACCTCATTTGCTCTTTTGTAAGCTAAGAGATTAGCCATTTATCCAGATGGGCCAAGTGCCTCTTGAAAAGTGACGCCGATTCCTACGCATTTTGGAAATGCCCACAGCTGCTGGCAAAGACTAACAGAACCTTTTACAACACAAATGCCACTCATGTTTCCCAAAGGACTGAAATGCTTATACCTCATGACCAGGGATGGGCTGTGTGAGACCTTTCCTCGGCGTGCCGAGGAGTCAATATTTGAGCCATGGTTGAATCTTCCTTCTTACCCTCTGAGGGGGACAGTTCCGCTGAAATACACGGGCACACCTGGCCCTTAAGAAAATAATGGTGTGTGGCCACTAACCATTCTATCTTCCCGTTACTGGCATTGCTGTTTGCCCTCCATATTTAGTTACAGCATTAACATTACCCTTAAGAATGAAAACCAAAACCAACCAAAAACCAACTCACTGTTTCCGAGGTCTCCAGAGATGACAATGACTGAAGCAGGGGACGCGCCCACGCTGTTAGAGGCTGTGACACGGATTTGGTAAGAATACAGGCCAAGAGATAGCTCCTTGTGATTGGCTGATGCAGAGACGGTGACTGACTTGGATGATGGCTTGTCTAAATTTTCTATAACTATAGTGTACAATAGGATCTTCCCATTAGCTTGGCGTTTGGATAGTGGCTGCAAAAAAAATATTGATACTCATTTCAAAATGAACTTTACAATGGGAGGGGTTTGTATAATGGCATTTTCCATCTTTCAGGCTGTGTGACAGACACAGCATTTTCAAAGAGTTCAACAAAGAAACCTCGACACCACTAGCTAAAGTTGAGTGGAGAAGGGCAGCATTTACTGTATCCAGAAAAGAGGGATTAAGTCAGGAATCAGGAGGATGGGAGACTCTTTGGCCTTGCAGAACTGCTTCAGGGGTCCTGAGAGAGGCCGACGGGGAGACAGTACCACCACAAGTCGGAGCAGGGGTCTGCGTCCACACCTCCAGCTCCCAGCGCCTTCCTCCTGCCCAGAGCTCGCAGTTCCTCCTCGAGATGAGCAGCTGTGGGCTGCAGGGCAGTTCCTGCCATGCAGTCTGTTCCTGGACCTGCTCCTCCTGGACAGTCTGTGCCTTGTGTGTGCCCCTCCCGCGACCTCAGACCTGGCCAGGAGTGGCTGGCAGCTTGGGGCGTGAGTAGAACTCAGACACACAGACCAGCTTGTGGCCCACATATACACATAGCAGTCCTGCGGGACTGTGCCCCCCACCCCCAGAGCTGGGCAGAAATGTGGGGTGGCCTCTGGACGGGACCTCCTCTCCCAGTCCCATCTGTCTTACTAAACAACTTAAAGGGTTCTGAATACAGACTTGGCCTTGCAAGTGGTCACGTCCTAGGGTATCAGGCAAAAGAGGAGGGCATGGTGTAGAATTACTTTTTAACTTGACCCATGACTCTTAACTATGAGTGGTAGGGGTGGGCCTGAGAAGATGCTTCAGAGGGGAAGGGTCTAGTGATCAAATGGCCAGCAGTGGCAAGAAACTACGGAGTTTGCACAAAGACCCTTCTTGGGTGACTGCACCGATAGCCACTGCTTCACGGCGAAAGCTGCAGCAGAGCAAGTCACACACCGTGTCTGCACATCGTACCTTCCAGAATAAGGTCAAATTCTGATGTCCTTCCTCCGATACCACATGCCTCCAGACATCCAGAGCTTCTGAGGGGGCTGAAATTAACCAAAGCCCTTGGTTAGGATATGGGTACTGGACAATGCTTGCATACTTGGCCTCGTCTAGAAGGTCAAGGACAAGATGACGACCTGTCCTGCCTGAGGCTTGCTGATCCCTTCCGCACTGTGACTTCACTTGCATTGCCACCACCTGCCTGTTCACTCCCCACTAGGTGCACACAGTAGGTGCTTTTAGAAAAAGGTCTGCAGCCTCTAAGTGGGACACTACACTAAAAACTTTGGTATCAGAGAATTTGGGAATTATTTATTAATTCAAAGAGATAAGGTAAGTACAACACTTTAATTACAGTATTGCAATAAGTTTTCAAATAAACTCCTCTATGACACAGCAATATTAGTAAAAAGACACACTGATGTCACATGCTTGTCTATAGTCCCCTAATCACTAGGCGTTTGGCCCAGTTTTTTAAAGATGGTACCATTCTCTTTCAACACTAGGGAATTCTTCCCCCACCCAGCCTCCCACCCCCGTCTCCTGAGGCCTGGAGCCTCGGGTGAGGTGCCACGGTGCTTGCCCATACCAGCTTCAGCCGTGGTGAAGTTCTGATGAGCCCAGTTGCTCCACTTCCAGAAGTGATCTGCACTAGCACAGCGTACTTGGGTTGCATATTCTGTGTCGGGCTCCAGTCCGCTTAGGACATACTCACCATTCATCACGACAGACACATTGTGCTGATCAAGAGAACAAAGGGGCAAAAAAATCATTGGTGAGCAAACCTACCTTACAGCCAAAGCAGGGACTAGGAGTGGTGGCACAGCCAGTGAAGCCTCAGCCTGAGATGATGACATCCATGAGCCCCAGGTTTTCAAGTCCTGGCTGCTCCACTCCCGACCCAGCTCCCTGCTAATGTGCCTAGGAAGGTGACAAATGATGGCCCACACACTTGTGTCCCTGCCATCCACATGGAAGAACTGGATGGAATTCACAAATCCTCTCTCCATCCTGGCTTAGCCCTGGTTCTTGTGGTCATTTGGAGAATGAAGCAGCAAATGGAGGCTCACTCTCCATAAGTCTCCCTTTCAAATAAGTAAATCTTAAATGATTCAAGACACAGGAAATCCATTTGGGTTCACACCAGTCTTTTTTTTTTTTAAAGAATGATTTATATGATAGGCAGAGTTAGAGAGAGGGAGAGACAGTTTCTACCAGCTGCTTTGGTCCCCAAATGGCCTTAACAGTGGGAGCTGAGCTGGTCCAAAGCCAGGAGCTTTATCTGGATTTCTCACATGGGTAAAGGGGCTCAAGGACTTGGGTTAGCTGCTGCCTTTCCAGGCACATTATCAGGGCACCAGGTCATAAGAGGAGCAGCCAGGACTCAAACCAGTGTTGCAGACGGTGGCTTAACTCATTTGCAAGTACAACCAGTTCCCTTTGAGGTGAAAAATGGCATCCAAAGTCTATTATGAATTTCATGCCCCTTCTGTTTTAATTTTATGATACAATCCCATAGGCTCTGAGATTTCTCTTCCCCCTCCCCAAATTCCCTCTACCCAGCAGATTTCCTCCATATTATAATATAATAATCCTTTATAAGCAGTCATAAGTCCATCATTCTGCTATTTAAGTGTATCCTGACACTGCGGGTATAGACAATATCATGTCCCTTTTTAAACAGAAAATTCCCACCATTTGCACTCAGAGGGGTCTACAGTGACTGTATGCTGCAGGCTCTCTGTTCAGGACATAAAGAATTTACTTGAAAGGCAGAGTTGGACAAGAAGAGCCTCCATCTGTCTGTTGGTTCATTCCCCAAACGGTCATGCCAAAACCGGGAGTCCGGAGCTCCACCTGTCTGCGCCACGAGTAGCCGAAGCCTGTGTACTTGAGCCCATTGTTTGCTGTTTTCCCAAATGAAGTATCAGGGAGCTGGGTTAGAGAGGAGCCCACCAGACCTTGAACTCATGTGGGAAGATGGCATTCAGGGTTGGCTCAGCCCTGTGTCACAACATGAATTTATTTCAAACTAGAAAATGAAGCGGCTTTCTTACTTGTATCACTTTTCCTTCGCCTCGGAGTTCAACCTGACACAACAGGGTGGGATAATTGCTGATGAAATACTTTGTCCAGGTCATGATGGCCTGTCTGGCACTTATGTTTTCAAACTGGATGCTCTGGGGATCCATTGGATGGACTACCAAGACAGAAAACACAGGTGAAACACTCAAGCACAGATTCCAAATGTAAAAGCAGTTTGTGTCTTCAAGTATTCATCCAACAGTTTTATTTTTGTTCAAGAAAATGGCAGACACGGGACTAGAACTGTAACACATCTGGGTAAGCAGCTACCTGAAGTGTCAACGTCCTGTGTTGGAGTCTGACTCCTTACTACAGCCACTTGTGATCCAGCTCCCTGCCAGGGCATCTGTGAAAGTAGCAGCAAGTGGCTCGGGCGCTTGGGCCCGTCACCCACATGGGAGACCCACACGGAGCTCCTGTGCAGCAACCCGGGGAGTGGCCCAGTGGATGGAAGATCTCACCCTCTCCTCCAACCACCCTGCCTTTCAAATATCTCTCCTAAAGAAAGAAAAAATGACACAACCAGACTTCTGCCCTTAATAAGATCTAGTAACCCAACTACAACCTTTCTTGTTGATTACATTAGAAGCTTTGGGGGAAAAAAATACAAAAATAAATTATCTGAATATTTAAACATAAGCAGACAAATTGTGAAGAAAAGTCAGACTTTACATGGGGGGAGAGGGTTAAGACTACAGTAAGAACCCAGAGTCTAGCTAAAATAATATGAACAATGCCAAGGATATGATCCAAAATTACTTGACACACAACAATATAAATAGTAGGGAAATGTCACCAGTTCCCCAAGGAAGAGTCAATCAACAGATGCCAACTTCCAGGGGCGTTAGAGGCACAGATCAACACAACCGCAATGAATACAACAAAAAAATTTCTTGGCAGAGAACTAAGAATGATTGAAATGAAGCAAGTGAAAATTTTAGGACTGAAACAGGCCACACTGGAACTAAAAACTGACTTGCGGTGGGAGCTCAGTTCAGGGGAAAATGAAGCAAGTGCCTTCCATTGGGCTCTTTCACTGTGCAACAGCTGTGACGCAGAGTGCTGCTTGAGAACCCTGGCGGGAAGCAGTGGCAGGTGCACTGCAGACCGGAACTGGGTGCTCCACGGGCTGGTTTCTTGCCTCGGATCTCCCTCATTAGGGGAAGCCTCTGGGCTTGGTGAAGGAACAGTGAGCGCGGCAGAGGAGATTAACCCAAGGTCACAGAATCCTGGCAAAAGAATGAAAAAGAAGGAATCCAGGGAACTGAAAGTACCAGGTAAATCCTAGAAGAGGTGATGCTTGGTGAAGTGACTGCATGAGGTCATTTAGGAGTGTCTGGGCTCGCTTCCCTGTGCGCACACCTAGATCTGATTTCATGGAGAAGTCAACCAAGAGACACTGCCCAGCTTCTAGAGCGGCCACTAGGTGGCACTCACGTGGAGCAAATCCAAAAAGCACTGCGGAGGCCCTGAGGACCAACCTGCCACGGGCCCGCAGGCAAGTCGAGACGTCCAGACCTACAAATGCCTCCAACACAACACTCAGAATGTCCAAGCTAAACAAAATCATACTGAGCCACTATGACAGCTTCATACTTGTTGGTGAAATAGGAAAGGCAATTCCCCAACTCTTACTCAGCTTGGAGTGGAGGTCAGCCTGTTGACAGAAAAGCACAGGGGGAGTAAAGGCTGATACACACACAGCCCAAGGATGAACTGCAGCATGGCACGGCTAGAATCGGAGAGCTCAACGTCACGTGACCCTCTGGCCACCAGGCTCTTGGGACTTCTTTTCCCAGGGCCACAGAGCTCAGGACAGCAGGTCCTCACATGGACCCTGAAGGATATGAAACGGAACAAAACGCAAGGGCACTGTGACATCTGAGAACCAGCCAGAGCTGCCCAGCTGGGGGATACATGGTGGCAAGGTCCTAGAGACTGGGACCAGAGAGGTCTCCCCCAGCCCCCGCTGAGCTCGCTGCATGAGACCACACTGCAGACTACCCAGCTGGTATCGCTTACTCGGGGACACAAATCTAGGGCTGTCCCCTGAAGCCAACAGCCCTATGCCCTGTCAAGTTAACAGGAAGAAAGGGGAGAGTTCTAGCCTTCCTGCGGATCTTGGACACTAAGGCCCATGTGACAGCTTTCCTGGCCCACTTGCTGGGGAGCCTCAGGGTTTGGGGTGACAGCTTTCCTGGCCCCCTTGCTGGGGAGCCTCAGGGTTTGGGGTGACAGTTTTCCTGGCCCCCTTGCTGGGGAGCCTCAGGGTTTTGGGGTGACAGCTTTCCTGGCCACCTTGTTGGGGAGCCTCAGGGTTTTGGGATGCTGTAGCACAGAATGGCACCTTCCCCAGAGGGGGTGTGCCCCACGTGGCTGAGAACAGAGCCTTAGCAACATGCCACATGCATTTATGCCAAACTGCAACGCACCGCAGCTCCGTGCAGAACAGGACACTGTCAGGATGGAATGCAGCTAAAAATGCTACACGTCTCCCCACCACAAGGTAGCGCCCAGTTTGAATGTTCAAAAGACCTTGGGGGCAGGAAAACTAACACTGCCCTATTGTAAGCTTAATGCCAAGGTCACCTGGAATAGAAGTCAGGAAATTTCTAGATAAGAGTCAAATAAAAAGTGTTGGTCAAGACAGTACCCACGAATCAGAAGGGAGTGCAACTGCTCGGAGGCCTCTGAAGGTACTGGAAATGGCACGTATCCACCCAACTGAAACCAAGGTGACCCACAAAGCTGCGAACTTTTGGTGCAGCCCTTGGTGGCAGCAAGGCCCTGGAAGCCATTTAACAACATGTGGTCCAGACAGTGCGTTTAAGACTTTAAGAAAACAAGAACCCAATATCACCTATGTCCAGAGCCAACCACACCTACTGATTAGAGCCGCTGGCTACCAAAGGCTGCCACTGGGGGGCGCTGGACTCTAAGAGTTCTGACAAGTTGCCAAAGCAGGCTCTACACGCATCCCTACTGGCCCTGAACTGCAAGCATTGCTATCCGCACAAGGGCGGGCGATCTTGCGGGCACCTGTATGCAGCTGAAGTGACTGAAGATTGCATTAACACCAGGAGAGCAGTGTCCATCTAAAACTAGTCTGGTTCGGGTGTTAGAATAAAAAAGGCAGTTTTTTATTTCTGAGCAGAATTCTTCCTGCAGTCATTCTACTGAAGCAGAAAGCCTCCAAGTTGCACATAAATGACAGGTCCTGGCTGGCCGATATAACCGCCAGCCTACCATTGTTGGATTGAGGACGCACGAGGTGGGAAGCCAAGGAGACTCACTCTCCAAGGAACAAAACTACCAGAACACCAGATTCAGAGTGATATTCCACACCCCCTTCCCAGTGGGAAACTCAGGCTCCTGGAGCAAGAATCCTTAAGAGGAAGGCTTGGAGAAGACGAGGACACTGCCAGAGAGGGAGCTGAGCAAACACGTGCCACCACCTGCCTGGGGAAGGTTCTCCCTGCACTGCTGCCCCGACCACACACACCTGCTGGATTACACCAGTTTCCGGAAGCTGCCTCTCCAGGAGCCCCAGGCTCACGGTGAGACCTTGGTACATCAAGGACTGATGAGTTAGTTTCCTGGGATCTGTGGCTTCTAAGCCACAGCTCCTCTCCTAGGCTGTGCACCTGCTTTAGGCCTGAAGCCAACGAGACTGCCTTTCCGCAACACTGCACAGTCAGTCCTCCGAGAATCCAAGCTCACCAGCCAAACACCAGGGGAGCTCAGATGTACAACTTGGCGACTAGCACAAACGTGAGAGACGCAAATGGCCATTGGGCAGCGCTATTAGACCAGGCAGAACCAGGACTGAAGTAAGCGAAATGAAACCTCACGAAAGAGATGTGGAAAATCTAGGTGGCAACAGTCAGAAGACACAGTAACTCAACTATTAACCAATAGCACATCCTCAAAATATATAAAACAAAAACCACAAGGTTAATACTACCAGCAAAACAGGCCATTCTAGTATTCCTTTCTCTGTTACTGACAGATTATGCAACAAAATCAAGGACAAATATAAAAGAAACACAGTTAACAAGCTTAACAGAGAGCATTCACAGTCCATTATATACCGTCGAATACCCGAGAATCTGAACTTCCTCACAGCACCCAGATGATGACAGACGCTATGACTCACGTATTAATTATGCATTGACAGTTGGCATGAAACCATACAATAAGCCTCAACCAGTTCAGTAAGTGTTCCATCTCACATATGCATTCTCATTCTATCAGAAGTGGATAACAAAAACTTCTATTGGAAAATTTAAAAAATAATGCATGGATTCTCAAATCTCAGTAGGATCACAGAGGCCAGTGCCGTAGCACAGTAGGTTGAGCCACTGCAATGTTGGCATTCCAGAAGGTTCCAGTCAGAGTCCGGCTCCACCTGGCAGCTCCACATCAGGTCCAGGTCTCTGCTGAAGTGTCTGGGAAGGCAGCAGAAGACAGCCCAAGTGTTTGGGCCCCTGCACCCAGATGGGCAATCTGGAAGAAGTCCCATGCTCCTGGCTTCTGCAAGGCATTGAGAGGACCCACTGTTTGGGTTCTGGTGCCCATGCAGCAGCCTCAGAGGAAGCTCCAGGTTCCTGACTTGGGCCTGGCCGAGCCCTGGCTGTGGCAGCCATTTGGGGAATAAACAAGCAGATGGAAGACCAATTTCTGCCTCTCCCCCTGTCTCTGTAACTCTGTCTTTCAAATAAATATTTTTAAAGAAAGTGTTCAACTCATGAGCACAAACACATATACATATCACATCAGACATGGAAAAGATGGTATATCACAGGTAAAATTTTGAAAAACTTTCAAAATAAAATACACTGACAAATGATACAAGATATTATACAACATCAGTAAAGTTTAGAAAAAAGTAATGGGTAACAGCTCAAGAGGGAAATAGATACAAAAAGAAAACTTAATTCAAAAACAAAAACTAAACTGGAAGAAGTCAAAAGGTCAAATAAACACAGTGGATGTACTTCCTTAAGCATAGCAAGCAAATTATGAAAGTCAAATAAGGGCCCAGCGGTGTGGCCTAGTGGCTAAGGTCCTCGCCTTGAATGCGATGGGATCCCATATGGTCTCCAGTTCTAATCCCAGCAGCTCCACTTCCTCTCTATCTCTCCTCCTCTCTGTATATCTGACTTTGTAATAAAAAAATAATAATAAATCCAAAAAAAACGTCAAATGAGAGAAACGACATCGAACACACAGTGACAAATATTAAACTATTAGAAGATTCCTTGCATGAATGAGGGGGTTCTGAAAAGAATATTGAAAACTATTTAAAAACTTGGTTGGATTTTTTAAAAAGTGAAAGCACATTACCAAGAATGTCAAAATAATCAACACCAAGACAAACAATGAAAATTCCTACATTAAAAAAAAAAATTGGGGGGGCATCTAGGCAAAAAGGTAAAGTGAGTTGCAATGAGGAAAATTTAGAAAGTGCCGTTACAGTAGACACTTCATCAGCCTTGCTTCATGCTAGGAGACGGAGCCTTGATGTCCGCGGAACTTAGAGAAAGCAACTGCAGACTTCTATATCCACCCAGACTGACCTTTAAACACACACAGTCAGACGTTTATGGACAGTCAGAAATAGGGGACTGTTGTTCCCACAAGCACTTTCTAAAGGCTACAGCGAGGAATAAACTCCACACGGCCCACTGAGGAAGACAGAGAAGATGTTTTTACTAACCCTGTGGTCAACGTTAAACATCTAAAAAACTGAAACTGTTACTAAGAGAGGGACAGCAATGTCTGTGTTGTAACGAAGATGCACTACAACTAATTTTAAATGTGGAGAAATTAAAAATTTCAGAAGGAAGGAAAAACTAGGGGAAAAGATACTAAAATCATTTTAAACTCTTGAAGATTTTTTTTAGCAGTTGCTGCATACACAAAAAAACACAAGCATATGTGGGAAATTCTTAACCTTTAATAAGAAGAATTTATAAATAAGCCCACTGATTCTATTCTGGGCTACAACAATACTCAACAATATGAGCAAAGCTTAGCAAGTTCATATTACATAACATTTAAGCAGATGACTGAGAACTTGATGTCATCTCTTAAAACCAAACCAACATGTTTTTAGGACAGCGTAAGAAATGAGACTGCACACCCACCCACACGGTTCAAAGTGTTCCTTGGTTGAAGGAACAAGCCGGGGGGCTGCGGGCTGTAACGGGACAGAAGGTAACCCACAGTCCTAGTTGTGAGGCTGAGTGGTACACTCACTAGTGGGTGACACGCCAAGAGGAGGGCAGCCAGAACAAGAGGGTAAATTAGAACTTTCACACAAACTTGAATGATGCCAAAAAACTCCACCACATCTACTCCAGCACGCAGTATGTCAACTGAGAGATGTCAGGTGCCGCAGAGGACTGCAGTGTGAGTCTCACCTCGGTGGGACAAGTTGAAAAACAAACTGACACTTCTATTCCTTAACTTATTTTCAGCCAAGAGTGTGAAATTATACATTTCTTGCGAGTCTCCATATATTTGCCAATGACACCAGTCTTTGTGTTGACAATGTTTCTGTCTCCCGGAAAATCTTAAAAAGTAAAACAGGACAGGTAAAGGGCTTACGTTAGTATCAAAACAAGTGTGTCCTGCATCTCAGTCACCTGCAGGGGCTTGATTTACTTGAAACAGAGTTACACAGTAAGGGAGGGGAAAGCCGGAAAGACAGATCTTGCACTGCTGGTTCATTCACCAAATGGCTGCCAGCAACCAGGACTGTGCCATGTCAAAGCCAGGAGCTTCATCCAGGTTTCTCCTGTGGGTGGCAGGGGGCATCTTCTGCTGCTTTCCTCGTTGCATTAGCAGGGAGCTGGATTGGAATTACAGCAGCCAGGACACAAACTGGTGCCCATGCAGGATGCCAGCACTGCAGGCTGCACCTGAACTTGCTAGCCACAAGCCCCACTGCAATGTTCTGATGTGTGTGACATAATGCCATTGACCCCCCAACAACTACCAATAGTGAAAATATTGTTTCAACAAATCTAACGCACACAATGGAATGTGAACAATGAATTTCCCATTCTCTTTTAGGTATGCGACAGCATCCCTTCCTATATGTGAAACATTCTTTAGCTGGACTCAGCCTGTCCCTTGGGGCTCTTTTCACATCAACATACACCATTAACTCTCTTCCTTAGAACACAAACACAAATCCGCACACGCTGGGGCGAAGCAGCATTCGCTGTGACCACTTGAACATTCACATCCCGGGGCAGCAGGCTAAGCCGCCCCTTCCAACAGCAGCTTTCCATCTCTCTATGCCGGGCCAAGCCCGTCCACCTGCGAGACACTGGAAGATGACCCACATACTTGTGCCCCTGCCACCTACATGGGAGACCGGAATGGACCACGCTTCTTGATGTGGGCTGGCCAACCCTGCCCACTGCAGACATTTGGAGAGTGAACCAGAAGATGGAAGTTCTCTTGCTCTTTCTCCTACTCTGTTACTCTTTCCTTCAAGTAAATGTTTTATAAAACCTTACCCCATAGCCTCCCACATTGTTTTGAAACATCTGTGCAACCTTTATTACGCTGGCACTTGCCTCTTAAGAGATTGCAGATAACATAGCCAGAGTTAACTTACGATTCAAACAAAGTGTAGTTTTGGCAACATTGTTGAGACCGATCCAAGGCAGTGTCTGGTCCAGGTTCCCAAGTACAATTCAAAGTCTTAAAGTCCCGGGTTTCACAAGAAAAGTTTTTGGGCTCCTCTAGTATTTCTGTCCACACAAAGAAATAAGGGCCCAATTAAGTCCTTTGCAGCAAGACAGGTGCAGGGGGAAGCTCTGTTGAAACCTGAAGCCCAGAGCTACTCTGAAAGGACCCTGGAGTAGAAGCCTGCACACCCACCCCGCACCCCGGAAGTTACCTGCCAGGTGCCTCGTCATCTTGCCCCTCCCTCCCTTCCCTGGCCATTCTCAGGGGTCACACGGGGCAGGTGTTCAGGCAGTGTGTGGTTGGCAGTATCCATTTGACAAAAGCCATACCCCCCTTCAGGGTCTGCAGATGTTTCATTTCAGCACCCATGGCCTCAAGAATGCCGGGGGGAGGTCAGAGAGTTGGCCTCTGTGAAGCAGTTAAAGTCAACAGCCAGGTGGTGGGAGTCCCACGGAATGGCAAAGCACACATAAGGGTCTGGTGGCCAGGCGAAGGCCACAGATACTGCTGCACTGTCCAGAGCAAGACAAGACACATGACAGCCCCATGTGCGTAAACTCAGACCCATGTAGGATATCTTAATATTCCTAATGACACCAAGACAGCCACTGAAGCCAGTAATCCACAGTTCAGAGCAGTCAGGACCTCTGTTCCCTGAACTTCTCAGGCAATCACATGCCCTTGAACCCTGTCAACATCGATCCACAGCACCATTTCACAGAGAGCGGAAAGTGGCTGGGAGAGGCAAAGCTGCCAAGACGACTCAGCCAGCCAGGGAAGTCAAACCCACATCTTGTATTCACATCCCTGGCGGCCTTTGTGGCTGTCCCACGCACAGCCCCTCTGCTCCTTCTGTCTGCCTGGGCTAATGCCACCAAGACCACGGCCAAGTGCATTTCCCAGTGGACATTCCCAGGTCGTGACCTGAACTTCCTCCCCCTGTTGGATTCTAGGAATAAGATGGTCAGTGAGGACAACAGGAAATCCTGATATCACTTCCATTATCTTCTCTAGGCAGCTTGGAACACACACAAACAAGCCCAAGCCGAGCGTGCAGCTGCTCGCTTTGTGCAGCAGTGAGGGGGACGGCGGGGGGGGGGGTGCACTCACTTGAGACGAAGAGAACCGTGCCATCTTCTGGCGATCTCCTGTTCTTCCCACAATAGAAGAGAGTCCCCGCTGTCCGGATGAAAGGCAAATTCGCTAGTGAGAAGGCAAAGACGTTGGCATCTAGTTGTTGTCCAAGAATCCGTGTGCCTTCCAGATAACAGGATATGTTCTTTAGGTTGATCCCAGAAATGTAACAAACAGTGACATTGGAGTTTTCTTCTATCAGTTTATCTTTGGGGAAAATCAACAGTTCATTCGGTCCTGGAGAATCCTGAGCTACAAGATAAAAAAGGCAGCTCAGTCAAGATCTCAGAATGTAAACCCAAGAGCCTTCCTGCTCGTGCTCAGCTTTCTCTACCTCCCGCGGAAAGCAGCCCACAATCCTACACTGGCCCTACAGCCTTGGTGCATTCAAAATGGTCTTTTCCCCCAGTGCTCCCAGTGTTGCACCAATTCCAACGTAGCTGCTGCTCCTGCCAGCAACGGCACCATTTCTGTTCCCGCTGCTGACTGCAGTGAGACAGGATAAACAGGACCCACTAAGTCAACGCCATCCCGACCTGACTTACGTCCATCTCTAGACCCGACTACAGACTCCTCTTAAACTCCCAACCAACCAGGAGCAAGCAGCACTCAAAGAGGGGTCTAACCATTTGCTGCCCTGGTGACTTCCCCAGGCAGCCCGCATGTCCGGAAGAGCCACGTGGAACTGATGGGTAACCTTCCCGCAGCGGTGAGAGTAAACAACGCTACCGTTATGTGCTAAACATGAAAAGCACTTTGACAACGTGGAGCTGGGTGCAAACTCAAGGGGTGGGTACCGAGAGCACCCACCGTGCCTAACCCACACAGAAGCACCTGTGCAGCTCGCAGAGAACCAGCTGGCAGAGACTTCCTGCCGCACTGTCTCCCACGTGTTGGAGCCTAAACCCTTGATACGTTTTGTCTCGGTTCTGTTCCAGTCTCTTGTCAACTTCTGTTCACAGAGAGCCAAACCACCAGCATTGGCAAAGGCTCTTCTCCCGTGACTCCCAGCCCTGTGCAGGCCTGTGCTGTTTGGACAACGGGCTCATATTTTCTTCTCTACAGCAGCACACGTGGACTGACCCGAAGACCCCACGGCGAGGCAGTGACACTGCCACATTCAGACGGGTCTGGCCGACACGGCCCCCAAGCCACGCTGCTCCCATGATCTCAGTGCTCGCTTTCTCCAAAACGCTGCTCACTCAAACGTCGCCGCCCGAGTTCTTACCTACAACTTTCTCCCACGGACTCCAGCTGCTCCAGAGATTCAGTGTGGGGAACTTGGCATCGTCCACTTTGGCCTTTGTTCTTACAAAGTGCGGTGCACATTCCAAAGGTATCTCCGACTTCCAGTGCCAATGAGGAACCTGGTTCTGTCTCACAGTGGTTCTGTAGTTCCCCTGCGAGTGAAGGAAGTATTTGTCCAAGTGCACCTGCTGGCAGCTCTTGGACACTGCATCTGTCTTGATCCAGCATGCTGGCATTGCCTTCTCTAATTCAGTCAGCTTGATAGCTCCTTTATATCTTACTCTGATCCAACAGCCCCTACAATGCGGCTCCAACCAATCTCGTACAGGGGCTCACTACCGGAGCCGAGCAGTCTGTCCCAGGCCTGACGCCCCTATGGTTAGATCCACACAGTGACCTGCTTTGGTGTCCCCTACTCTGGCCCTGAGTCCCTGGGCACACCATCTCCTTCCTGCAGGGTCCCTCCCTCTTCCCCCTGAGCTGCTGCCATCCGCTCCTCCATGCTGCTGTCCCGGACTCTTGCGGGGAGCTGTTGGTGCCTCACGGCTTTGACTCAGCAGTGACTGAGTTTCTTTATGTCCCACACGGCCCCAGACTCTTCCCTTTGGGGTGCCTCCCCTGCATTCCTGCTTCATGCCCTCAGGACTGGGAGACCGAGACAACTGACACATTGTACTTCCTGGGGGAAACTGGTTGGATTCTGGGTCCATGTTAGTGAATGGGATGCGGTGCTGCCACAGCAAAGGAATTTCCCATGAAGGCCATACTCCACTGTGCCCCTTCCAGGGTGCCAGCCTCCACTGTCCATGGCAGAGCTCAATACATCCCTGGAGAGGGCATGCTCAGGCAGCATTTCATTGCATAAGTGATTTTATTTTTTAAAGATTTATTTATTTGAGGCCTGGCACAATTGCTCAGTGGCTAAATCTACCTTCCAACTGCCGGGTTCCCATACAGGTGCCAGTACATGACCCGGTGCTCCTCTGCCCATCCAGCTCCCCGCTTGTGGCTGGAAAAGCAGTCGAGGATGGCCCAAAGCCTTGGGACCCTGCACCCATTTAGGAGACCTGGGAGAAGAGGCTCCTGGCTTCGGATCGGCTCAGCTCCGGCTGTTGTGGCCATTCGGAGAGTGAACCAGAGGACGGAGAACTTTCTCTTGGTCTCTCTTTATAAATCTGCCTTTCCAACAAAAATAGATAAATCTTTTTTTTAAGATTCACTTATTTGAAAGACAGAGTTACAGACAGAGAGAAGTAAAGATAAACAGATCTCCTTCACAGTGGCTCACTCCCCAAGTGGTGGCATCAGCCAGGTCTGGCTGGGCCAAAGCCAGCGAGTGACAGCACTGCAAACACTTGGCCACTTCCTGCCGCCCACCTAGGCACACTAGCAGGAAGCTGGAAAGAAACAGAACGTCTGGAACTCAAAACAGTACTCGGACACGGATGCCAGTGTCCCACAGCATGGTTCAACTCGCTATACCGAGCCAGGCTGACTCTTAAATGTTTATGTTTTATTTTAAATTGTAGCATTATCTGCTCTTGGGATCACAAAACATTCAAAGCCTGTATTTTAAGTTTCGAGGTTCTGATCCACAAAACGTTCCCTATTTTAACATGTGCAATCTTGAGACATTTTGCTTAAATATTTTTCAATTTAGCAGAAGATACCTCTATTTAAAAAAAGAGGGCCTGATGATGTAGCCTAGTGGCTAAGGTCTTTGCTTTGCATGTACCAGGATTCCATGTGGCACCGGTTCATGTCCCGGCGGCCCCGCTTCGCATCCAGCTCCGTGCTTGTGGCCTGGGCAAGCAGTAGTGGATGGCCCAAGGCTTTGGGACCCTGCAACTGCATGGGAGACCAGAAGGAGGCTCCTGGCTTCGGATTGGCTCAGCTCCAGCCGTTGTGGCCACTTGGGGAGTGGGTACGTGGACAGAGGATCTTTCTCTCTGTAAATCTGCCTTCCCAACAAAAATCTATAAATCCTTTAAAAAAAAAAAAAAGCGGGGGAAGGAAGGAACCAGCTGTAAGCAACTGCCTCGGTTGGGGCTGGAAGGCGTGTGGCTGGCCGCAGTGCCCCCCTGTGAGTGTAGGGCAGAGGTGGGCACATCAGGTTGGGCTGTAACACCCACCAGAACACCAGAGAACCAAATCTGGGGGCATATTTTTCAATCCTGGTGCAGCGAGGCCAATAACCTCTCGGTACTGTCAAAAACCATTCAAGTAACACCCTCAGAACATTCTTCCCCACTTCAGGGTCTCTGAGGCATCACCAAATGAGAATTCCCCCACCCCCGGGTGCTGATGTAGCTTGACAGTAAGAAGTAGCCACCTTGGGCCCAGCACAGTAGCCTAGCAGCTAAGAGTCCTTGCCTTGTATGCACCGGGGGATCCCATATGAGTGCCAGTTCTAATCCCAGCAGCCCTGCTTCTCATCCAGCTCTCTGCTTGTGGCCTGGGAAAGCAACTGAGGACGGCCCAAAGCCTTGGGACCCTGCACCCATGTGGGAGACCCAGAAGAAGCTCCTGGCTTCGGATTGGCTCAGCTCCAGCTGTTGTGGCCACTTGGGGAGTGAACCACCAGATGGAAGATCTTCTTCTCTGTCTCTCCTCCTCTCTGCAACCCCTCGCCTTCCCTTCCTATGGACACAGCAGGGAAAAAGAAAGCGGAAACCTTTGTCCCCCCACCCTCCTCCCTGCCTTGGCCCTCCCCACCCTAATTAGAGACCCTCATATAGGTGTATCCTCTCAACTTTGTAAACAATGTTAAAAATAAAAAATAGACATAAATAAATAAAAACAGCCTAGAGAGTATGGCTTCCAATGTTTTCACTATATAAAAACATTAAAGATTTGAGAAGAGAGAATATTACCCCACCTAGACAATAAATAATAGATACATGCATGAAACATCACATACCACCCCAGGAATACATACAATTGCTATGTGTTAGTTTTGGGAGCTAGAGCTGTAACGCAGTGGGTTAAGCCTCTGCTTACAGCACTGCTACCCTGTATGGGCATTGGTTCGAGTCCTGACTGCTCCACTTCTGACTCAGCTCCCTGCTAGTATTCATAGGAAAATGGAAGGTGGCCCAAGTCCTTAATTCCTTGCGCTCACATAGAGACCCAGATGCAAGTCCAGCCTCCTGGCGTTGGACTGGCCCAGCTGCAACTGCTGTGGCCATTTGCGGAGTGAACCAGTGCATGCAAACTTCCCATTCTGTCTTTCAAATAAAAATAAATCTTTAAAAAATCTTTTGCATCACTGCGAAGTTTAATTCAACTGGTATACCCAATTCAGCCTTGTAAACATGGCAAACTGCTAATATCAGAACCACACTGTGATGTGAATACAGGTTTCTGTTTTGATACAGCTTTAGGAAAAATGTTGGCGGGCCCTATGTGACAGCTTAGCTGTTAAATCCTCGCCTTGTATCTTCTGGGATGCCATTATGGGTGCCAATTCATGTCCCAGCTGCTCCACTTCCCATTCGGCTCCCTGCTTGTGGCCTGAGAAAGTAGCAGATGGCCCAAAGCCCTGGGACCCTGCACCCACTTAGAAGACCTGGAAGAAGCTCCTGGCTCCTGGCTTCAGATCAGCTAGGCTCTGGCTGTTGAGGCCACCTGGGGAGTGAATCAATGAATGGAGAGATCTGTCTCTCTTTCCTCTCTGTAAATCTACCTTTCCAATAAAAAAAAAAAATTAAAAAGGGGGTGCGACATGGTAGCCTAGTGGCAAAGCCCCCACTTTACATGCGCCAGGATCCCCTATGGGCAACATTTCAGAATCTGGCTGCTCTGCCTCTCCTTCTCTCTGTAAATCTAACTTTAAAAAAATTAATTAATTAAAAGACTGAAGAAAAATGCAGTTAGTAACTTTTAAGTCTTAATAATAAAAAAAAAAAAAACCAGGCAGTCAATTTTTAATACAGTTTAGACAGTGAGAACAAGCTGCCAAGAGTATTTTAACTTTCAAACACAGGCAATGGCTGGCGCAGAGAACCTCTGCCAAATGCACACATTTTAAATTAAATATTCTTGAAAGTTCAAGGGGGGCGGGGTGGAAACTAAGTGGTGGTGACTTCTAGCATTGCCAGTAAACCATAGACTAGATTTCACCTCCTGGGAGCTCCCCCAACTTCAGCCACCTTCCCTCTCCTCCTCTCTGGCCAGCCAGACCACTGTGGCTTCGTACAGCCCCGCTTGCCTCTCTCCTGAGTCCCCAGTGCTTTTCCCCTCCTGGCTCACTGGGCTTCAGCATGTGCAGCAGCTCCGCCCCTCCTGCTGTGCTCTCGGGTGCCTCCACCTGCCGCACATGCGCAGTGCATGTGCGCTACACTCCGCTTTCAGATCTCCAAGTTTCCCACGCCCCGCCACCGAGGCCGCCCAGGCCCACCAGACTCCTGCGTCAGGTCCCAGGGCAAGCCTCAAGAGGCCATTCTCCCTGGGCCGCCATCGCAGACCCCATGTTTGCACATGCTGCCAGTACTGGCAAACAGGGGATAGCATTTCAACCCCGAGAGTTGTACACCTCAGCGAGAAAAGAAACTCGTCATATCTTGGTAAAGCCACCACCACTGGTAAAGCCACCTCATCAGGTAGCCTGGAAATCGTATTTTCAAGTGGGCAGCACAGGAGTTGCCCAACCATTTCCTAATTGGCAGAGATCACCAACAGGGCAAGTGTTCTGCAGTTTGCCAGAGAGGAGTCAGCGAGCCCCGAAAACACTCAGGACACGTAATCCCTTCAAATCTCCTTCGTATTTTCGATTAAGCAGCCCTTGACTGAACCCACTTGAGTGAAGCAACTGGTAGCCACACCCGGAGCCTGTCAGCCATCTGCACACACACTCTGCTCTGAGCAGAATTTGCATGCTGACCTCCTCTTTCTGACAGCATTGCTTGGCATGACCAGCCTACCCTCCCGCCTTGCTTGGTGCCTGCCCTGGCTCCCAGTCACACTAGCTGCTGGGCGATTAGCCACTTGATTGCTCTTGTCCCAGGCACAGTTTGTACGGGTTCTGTCCGAGCTCAGAGCGTGCTCTGTGCTCTTGGCAGCCTGTTGCTAACGAATGAGAGAAAGCTCGCCTGGAATTCGTTGCATCTCTTCAGCCAGTTTCTTGGCGATGTGATGAATCCCTTGCCTTCACTGACTTTTCCTTTGGCCCTCGGGCATCACATTGAGGTCACCGTCATGAGGTACAACTTCTATCACCAAGGTGATTGCCACTCCAGGCCTCCCGAGCTGGAGCTGTGACTGACTGCCTTCCCCTGGCATTGAGAACAAGCAGCTGGGAAGGAAGGGCAGAGGCAGTTGGCCTGGGCAGGATGCCTATGGCCATTCTCCCTGTCTGGGCACAGGAGTGAAGATGCCTGGAGGGGCACTGCAGACTGCAGCACACCGCGGCTGCTCAGGGTGGGCCAGGTGCTGTGAGGACGAAACCAGGGCCAAAGCAACGTGCGCTTAGACCCAAGAAGCCTACAAAGGGGAGTCCTACTTCCGCTTCACCGTGAGAGGACCCCACACCAAACAGGACGACAGATCAATAGGGTCAAGTGCTTTCTAGAAAAACAAAGAATGGATCCCATTTGGGCTGTGGCTCCTATTGTTTGCTCTAATCTGATTACAGATCTGAACTGGCTTTTAGAAGAAATACCATGGGGCCCTGCATGATAACCTAGTGGCTAAAATCCTTGCCTTGTAATCACCGAGAGGCCAACGGGCACCTGTCCGTGTCCTGGTTGCTCCACTTCCCATCCAGCTCCCTGCTTGTGACCTGGGAAATTAGTAGAAGATGGCCCAAAGCCTTGGGACCCTGCACCTGTGTGGGAGACCCAAAAGAAGTTCTTGGCTTTCAGTTTCAGATCAGCTTGGCTCTGGCTGTTGTAGCCACTCGGGGGGTGAACCAGCAGACGAGAGAACTTTCTCTCTGTATTTCCTTCTTTCTGTAAATCTGCCTTTCCAATAGAAAATAAATCTTAAAAAAAAATATGTTGGCTTCTGGTTTATATGATTTTTGGTAATAGTTCTAAGTACTCATTTGGCACAATTCCTTCAGTTCTTCCCTCAAATTTCTTGGACAGTTCTGAACTCCTGCTCAGTGATTTTCTGAGCCTTAATCACCAACCTGTGTATCCTTCATCAAAACTAGAAAAATCCAGAGTGGGCATGTAGCCCAGTGGTCATCAGACCCACACCCCGTTCCCAGAGTACCTAGGCTGGGTTCCTGACTCCAGCTTCCTCTGAACATAAACCCTGAGAATCAGCAATGAGGCCAACGGCTGGATTTCCGCCACCGCCTGGTAGACCAGTGTTGAGTTCCCGACTCACAACTGAGCCTCTGCCCCAGAAGTTCCAGATATTTGGGGAATAAACTAGTAGATGTGAGTTCTCTGTGTCTGTTCCTTTGTCTGTTCCCCTGCTGCACAAATAAGTAAATCAGACAGACAATCTGCCTTGATAGCATGGCGTAGAACGGCAGCAAGATGGGAGGAATGCAGAGTCTCCCTATTCCTTCAAATCAGCCCTCATCAGCCCACAAGCGTTAACAAGTGCAATCGTTGAGAGAGCGAGCTGTGGAGCTGGTATGGATTCTAAATAAATGGGTACAGTCAGATTTCTATTTAACTTATGCCCCTTGCTCAGATCTCAAATCCAATGATGAATTTAGAAAGTAACAGGATGACTTCAAATTTAGGGACTTTAGGACTTGAATAAGAGACCAAACATGGAGGATTCTCACGTGCAGGCTTTCCAGTGCCCTCAACCAGGCAAACTGGGGTCCCAGGCATCGCCCTGTGCCACCCCGACCTCCAGGCATGGGTTCCCAGGCATCGCCCTGTGCCACCCCGACCTCCAGGCATGGGGTCCCAGGCATTGCCTTTGCCACCCCGACCTCCAGGCACATTCTAAGGTCCCTTCAATGAGAAAACAAACCACTGTCCATGCAGAACACCCGAGTCCCCCCGACCAGGGTGGCAATGGAAGTAAACCACTAATATGTCCCAATACTAGAGAGGGATGCACCAGGCAAAATAGACACAATTATTTGAACAAAGGCGAGTCAAACCCTATGTCAAATAATCGCAAGTGAACAAGTGTAGAGTTACATATTTTTTTGATTTTAGAAAAACCCACATTTGAAGCCGCAGACAGAAAAACAGGCTCTCCAACAAGGGGAACCTGGAGAGCGTTTTGGCTAGAACAGAAAGTTCCAGTTTTCACGGTTTACATTACGGCCCAATACAGCAGGAAGCCTCATTAGAAAAATAAGTAAAAATGTTCCCAAATTATTACATCTTCCTTAGCTGAATCTCCAGTGGAAAGACAAGACAGGGAACAAGGCCCCAAACGGCTTGAACCCCGTGGATTGTGTGGACAAGCCGTCTTGAGCGAAGACCAGAGCTAAAGAAGACAATCTATTTTTTAATACATCCCCACCTTCCTACACATCCAAGGTCATCTTCTTACCTTCTTCTTGACTCTCTTAACTAAACACACAGAAGTGCAGTTGTTTCAAGTTGCAAGTATGTCTTTATAATGAGAATCTATACATTTCACAAAAGAAATTATGGCATCAAAAAAACTTTTTTTCAATGGTGAGCCAAAAATAAAATACTTACCTCCCAGATGACATTGGATGTTTCAAATCTACTGATCTGTATGTGAAATATCATTCTGAAGTCCTCATGAGGGAGGCCGGGCACATCCCACTGTAAATGCAGACTCTGATGTTTGGGAATGATGGAGACAGTCAGCAATCTGGGAGTGTATGAATGTTCTGCCCCGGCTGGAAGGACAAAGCAGGTGTGAAATCGCCGTTAGCAGAAGGGCGGAGCAGACGCAGACACTCAGCCGACACCTGCACCGCCTTGCCGGGAGGGGTCCGCAGATGCGCTTCCATAGCCAGACGCTCTGACAGTAACTCAAGGAATTGCTAAACACGGTTCTCTAACGGATAACCCAGCTGCTGTACAAGTTCATCATCAGGCTACCTACACAAAGAAAACTGTTGTGAATTTAATACTCCTAAAAATCAAAAAGCAAAGCTTCAGTTTTGAAGGTCATTATCTCCCTGCTTATTAACGGCGATATGCATGCCTTTAATCCGGGTAGGGCCATGTGCATCTATTTCATTGTATTGCACTTCAAACAGCTGCAGTGGGCCTGGTGCAGTAGCCTAGTGGCTAAAGTCCTCACCTTGCACACTCGGGGATCCCATATGGGTGCCAGTTCTAATCCTGGTGGACCTGCTTCCCATCCAGCTCCCTGCCTGTGACCTGGGAAAGCAGCTGAGGACAGCTCAAAGCCTTGGGACCCTGTGCCCACATGGGAGACCCAGTGGAAACTCCTGGCTCCTGGCTTCGGATTGACTCAACTCTGGCCATTGAGGCCACTTGGGGAGTGAATCAGCAGATGGAAGATCTTCCTCTCTGTTTCTTCTCTTTGTATATCTGACTTTCCAATAATAAGTAAATAAATCCGCAGCATAAATTTACTTAACCCTTTGAATGAGACCAGAAATATGCTAGACACTCGGTGCAAAACAGATACTTGTGACAATGTCCTAAAGCAAAGAATGTAGTTCGAGAGACATGTCAAGCTCACAGGAATCAGACTTTCAGAGTGTATAACAGAGTTAAAACAAACAAACAAAACCTCTCCACGGCTGAAAACTACACATGGACTGAGCTTACACCCAGCCAACTGGTATGTGCTACCTCCGGCACTCAGGCAGCAGCCTGTGAGCATCCACTGCCAACGGCAACGTGCCCTGGCCATCTGCAGCCCACGCCCACGAAGCTCTGCAGGCGACCGAGCGTCTCCTCCTGCAGCAAAAGCAGAAGCAACTGCCCCTCCAAGCTGCCGTGGTCCCTGTGCCATGCTCCCACGGAGAGGTGACAGTGAGCAGTACCAAACCAGCGCATGCACTTCCAGAGCAGTGCCAGTGCTGCACTGGTGGCATCTCACGGGCACTGCCCACAGCAGGATGCAAGCTTTTAACGTACATGAACACTGAGGCGCTGGGAGGCTGAGCACTATAGGCAAAGCTACATGGCTGTCCCCTCAAGAGAAAAACAAGTTCAGATATACAAGACTGTGATAAAAACATCCAGATACAGAAATTAGGGCCCTACAACCTTATCAACACCTGTGCTAAATTTAAGTCACATTTTTTCCCTTGAAATTCTTCACAGCTTCTTAAAAATGTATTATGTACTCCATTAAATATATATGTAATATACTTACATACATACTTTATAACATGTATATTTATAAATATACTTAAGTATATGTTGTATAAAATGACATACAACTGAAATATTAATCATTATTTCTGAGTGGCAACTTGAGAGGTTTTAGTTTTCTTCTTTATACTTTTCTGTATTAAGTAAATATTCTTTCGAAACATGTTATGTACTTTAGAATCACAAAATGTTATATCTGAAAAGGAAATACACCTTTAAGAGATCTAGGCCAGGCAAAGGAAATGAACAGACATTTGTCAAGAGAACAGATTCAAATGACAGACATATGACAAGATGCTCAGGCTTCCTAGTCGTCAGGGAGATACAAATGAAGAGCACATTGAGGTTCCACCTAACCCCAGCGAGCCTGGCCTTCGTTCAGAACTCTACTAACAATATCTACTGGTGTGGATGTGGGGAGAAAGGCACCCTCCTTCACTGCTGGTGGGAGTGCAGGCTGGTACAACCACTGTGGAAATCAGTACGGGGAGTGCTTAGAGAATTGCAAATCAACCTGCCATATGACCCAGCTATCCTGCTCCTAGGAATATATGCAAGGGAAATGAAAACTGCATATGAGAAGGGGATCTGTAATTCTATATTTACAGCAGGACAATCTACAACAGCAAAGACATGGAAACAATCCAGATGCCTGTCCAAAGAGGAGTGACTAAAGAAACTGTGGTACATCTACTCCAGGGAATATTACTCAGCCATTAAAAAGAATGAAATCATACCATTTGCAACTAGATGATCCCAACTACAGACCATTATGCTCAGTGAAATAAGTCAATCACAAAAGGACAAATCTCATATGTTCTCTAATATAAGGAAGCATCGTGTAAATTGTAAGCTCAAACACCCTTTCCATACTGCTTTTTGCTGCATCCCATGCATTTTGATGTTTCTTATTCCATTTTCATTTCTTCCAAATGGTTTCTTTTCTCTTGTTTAATTCATTGCTGGCTCATGGATGGCACCGTGGCATCATATTACTCAAGAGTCTTTTGTGTTTTCTTTTTGTTACCCACACATCGCTTTATTCAGTGGCACACTTTACCGACTCCGTGGTGCTGTAATTTTGCTGTTGTGGTGGTGGTTGTTTTAACTTGTACGTGTTGCTGACTTTGTTTTGTGGCTTCTCATTTAAGGGAATGTATAGTGATTGTGAAGTAGAGACTACCATATCCAGATGTGAAGACACAATGCAATATGCATCCCTGCTTCCAAATTAAAGATGGACTCCCAGTGAAACTGTTGGACATATCCAGACAATGGGATGCTGGGCTGTCTGACACTGCCTGCACCAGCAACGTTGGGGCAGACTTAAATAACAGACTCATGGAATCATGACTCCTTTTGAAAGACTATACTACTGTAATAATATGGGGAAAGTCAGTCGGAGGTGGGAATACAGGGGGAGAAGCCCCAGATCCTATGGAATTGTAACATAAAATTAAAACAAAATGAAAGAAAAAGAAAACACATACACACAAAAGAGATCTAGGCAACTCTATGAAACTTCAGAATGTCAATACTGTCCCACTCCTGTCTCATTTCTGGTTTGTCTTCAGTAGGTGAGCTAAACAAGGTATGACTAGGGCAGCTCAGTGAAACCAACCCTACTGACACATCAGTCACATCAGACCTTCAAGTATCGGCTGCTAAACAAATGAGTTATCATTACTGGTCTGAATTTCACTTCGGAAGATCTAGAAAGCTCTCCCATGTTGCTTTCAATAAAAGCAAAGTCTTGGTACAGCACATGGTATCAACAATAACTGAATGATTTAAATACTTGAGTAATAGTAGTCAGAAATAATTGGGTCAAAGGCGATCCAGGACTTCCTTGGGAAACAGTGAGACGTGCCAAGTCAAGAAAGCAAAGGGACGCCAAAGCTTACTTAATCCAATTGCATTCATTTTCAGCTGAGGGAGTTGAGGTTTAACAAAACAAAACAACAAAAAAATCAGGAAGTGATTTTGTCAAGGCGAGGCAATACACCTTGAACCCACACTGAACCAGGGCGCTGCTCCTGGATTCCCGTCCAGCAATCTTTGTAACGCTGGAGTGTGCCAAGAAGGCCAAAGACTGACCTGGACTGAATTACAGGCTCTACATATCCTTGCCCGCCCTGTTCCTGACTGCCCTGACATGACTTGAGGAATGAAATCATGGCCCAGTCATCAGAAGGGAGATCACGGGACAATTAAATATCATGTTATTTCTAGAAGAACCTGTACTATCAGTGGGAAACACTCATCCTATGTTGTATGAAGCAACCAAAAAAAAAAGACATCAGTCCTCCTGATAAAAACAGAGTATAACTTATCTTTTTTTTAAACCTGTAGATATCTGCACATCCAAAGTGGGAAAAATAACAGCAAAATGTGACCAGCTTGTCTCTGCTTGATGGAAACACGGGCCCAGGGTTAATGAAGAGTGCTGGTTCTGTCATACCAATGAGGGGAAGTCAGATCTGGAGATTCCAAATAGATCCCCAGGCCTGAATCCCACTGGTCGGACTGAGTCGTAAGCCAAGTAGTGTTTGGATGCAGGTTTGGTAGATATTTGGGCAGACGCAACAGACAGCGAGACAAGAAATCCAAACTGTGCGAGTGAAGACAAAGGACCGTCAATCAAGGCAGGTGTGCGAGGCAGAGAAAGCTGGAGGCCAAAGGAAGAGGGATGAAGAGACCAGGAGGGAAGCGCACGTCGCCAGAGGGAAACAAAAGGTGGGCAGCACAAGTCTGGGTGGGCAGCAGAGCGCGCTCTGAGCACCAAGAGTTCTACGCAGTGACGAGTTGTTGGATAAGACAATGAGACATCCCTAGGGAAACGTGCCTAAGGCTTGGAGTTCTGCTTGGGACTTCCAGGAAAGCTTGGTTTGGGGGCACTGGGTCTGACCGAAAATCAGGACGTGTGGCCTGGCCTAAGCATGCTTAGCGTACTGGCTGCCCACTCACTCAGCTCCGTGGCATCACACTTAGATGTTGGCAGGTGAGATAGACTGCGAGACACCCACAGACAACATGTAATTCACTCTATGTCACACCTTTCGACCTGGAAGCAGGCTGCAACGTAAGAAACCGCAAGCAGCATCTCTCTACAAACCCTAAATCTAAGATAAACCCAGACTTCAAACGTATCCCGGAACTGAGCCATGAGCAGAGCAAAATCTCCCTCTCTTCCCAAATACTTTTTCATATAATTTTAAGAGTAAACAAGAGATGTTCTAACTCCCTGCAAGATGTTAATGAATCCGTAGGCAGGAAACTGGAGGGGTTACATCTGTACTCTGTTGCCAAGATAATACAAAGCAGGCCTAACACAGCAGCCTAGTGGCTAAAGTCCTCACATTGTATGTGTGCTGGGATCCCAACTGGGTGCTGGTTCGTTTCCCTGTACCCCACTTCCCTTCCAGCTCCCTGCCTGTGGCCCGGGAAAGCAGTCGAGGACGGACCCAAGCCTTGAGACCCTGCACCTGTGTGGGAGACCTGGAAGAGGCTTCTGGTTCCTGACTTCGGATCGGCTCAGCTGAGGCTGCTGTGGCCACTTGGGGAGTGAATTAACAGATGGAAGATCTTCCTCTCTGTCTCTCCTCTCTCTAGATCTGCTTTTCCAATAAAAATAGATAAATCTTTTTAAAAAAAGATACAAAGTACAGAGGGGGAAAATAGGACAATGTAAACATGTACAAGCTAGATGAAAGTGACAATTTACAAGCCACCCGCTCTAGTCCAAAAACCTACTTCAAATAGGTTCAAACTAGTGATCGACAAACCCATAAATACTTTAACAGTATTGAATTCTTGCCTTAGCCACAAAGCTGTTATTTCAAAACACCCTCTCTTATGAAATGGGTAAATGAAAACCACTGTTTATCTCTAGACAGCATTCAGCACAGGATCGCGAGGAGCCTTGGCGTGGCTTTCACTGTTCACAGACCCCTGCGGTGTCCGCAGCTCCGTGAGCGCAGCTGAGGCCCATCAGCACCTGTTCTAAGCTGTGATCAACACTGCTCCGGCGTAGCCTGTGTCTGCTCAGCAGGTGCACAAGGAACTGCTCTAGCCATGACCTTGATGAAATCAGTCAGTCACGCAGTTCAACAGACCCCTCAGAGCTGCCACAAAGACCAGTGGCCTGGGATGACGAGTCAGCTTTAATTGGTGGTTTTTCTTCCCTTTTAAATGTTTTTTCATTATTTTTAAAAGATTTATTTATTTTTATTGAAAGTCAGATATACAGAGAGAGGAGAGACAGAGAGGAAGATCTGTCCACTGATTCATTCCCCAAACAGCCGCAATGGCTGGAGCTGAGCCAATCCAAAGCCAGGAACCAGGAGCCTCTTCTGGGTCTCCCACATGGGTGCAGGATCCCAAGGCTTTGAGCCATCCTTAACTGCTTTCCCAGGCCACAAGCAGAGAGCTGGATGGGAAGTGGAACAGCCAGGATTAGAACCTGTGCCCGTATGGGATCCTGGTATATTCAAAGCGAGGACTTTAGCCACTACGCTACTGCACCAGGCCCAATTTTTACTATTGTTTCATAAATTCCATGGGTTCTGGCATTTCCTGTCCCTCCTCCCCTCAACCCACACCGATCTCCTCTAGTATTGCCACGGGTGGTCCTTCATGAACAGTCATCAGTCCATCATGCCACGACTGAAGTTGAGTGGCAGTTTTTGAAAACAACCCATCTGAATCACTGAAGCCACAATACAGTCATGGCAGGTGTCCCCACGTGGGCTGCTCATCAACACTCACAGGAGGAGTCCCTTCTCCTTTCCCCAAGGCACCAATCACTTCATTTTGGCCGCTGCATGACTGCGTTCAGTACTCCCCTTCCCACTACTTACCTTCACTTTGGATCGTCCTCAAGGAAAGCAAGAGGAATGTTGTCTGCCAGGCTGAGAGGACAGCCATTGCTTCTGGCTTTCTGAAAAAGAAGTTACAGAGAAGGGACATTTTACTGACACGCCTAGCAGGCTTCCCAGAGTCAACAAGGACAGAGAATGGCACTGACACCCCCCATTTCTCTCCCCTCCCTGGACTGCCTGTCATTGGTTTTGGAGTCCCTCCCTGCACAGGAAAAGTTACGGTCCCTGCCCCATGTGAGTCTTCCACTGCTAACTGTGGTGTGGCAGACGGTGCCAGGGACAGCCAGGGCCCCACGGGGACTCTGTGTGTTTCCATCTTGGATGTCCTAGGGCAGGTCTGGGTCACCCTATGGGAGCAAGGAGAAGAGCAAGCAAACCAGGCTCAGCTCCAGCCGAGGCCAGCACAGCCCAGCCAGGCCGAGAGCATCGGATGCTTGACGGTCACAGTCCCTGAGGCCTGGTGCTGGTGCACAGTGGTCAATTTAAATGATCAGGTCAAATGGCAAAACTACTTTTAGTTTTGTGAGAAATCTCCATACTGTCTTCCATAATGGTTGTACCAATCTGCATTCTGAACAACAGCGTTGTAGGGAACCTCTTTCTCTACATGTGCCCCACCATTTTTTAAAATATTTGGATGATATTTTACCTGGGATGAAGTAATACATCACTTTGGTTTTAATGTATCCACACGAAATGAAAGTAGCATGTCAAAGAGATACTGCACTCCCATGTTCATAGCAGCTCAATGCACATTCACTAAGACTTGAAATCAACCTACACGTCCATAAACTATGATTAAACAGTCTGTGGTATGTATAAAAATAATATCCTGACATTCGCAACAAAGCGGATAGAATTGGAGGTTACTATGCTAAGTGAAGAAAGCTGTTCTCAGAACAAACATGTGGATTCTAGTATTTGTCACAGTCAGTAGTATGTAAAAATTATACACACGTCATATCATTTGGTACAGTTATCTAAACATGACTTCACTAAATCATACCATGTAAATGACAAAGGATTATTCTTCTTCACATTAAGAAGAAGAGAAACAGATGGAGACAGGACAGTCAGAACTCTTGGGTTCCCAGGAATGTCGTGGCCTTAACTTGGGCAATGGTCGTGAGAGAGATCAGAGGACAAGACACTCCCTGATTTTTATACTTCTGTGCATTGCTTGGCAAGTACACTGTATTTCAATTAAGTACTTGGGAAGCTCTCTGCCACTTAAATGAATACACGCACAAGCAAATATTTGTAAGAAACTATTACATGAAATAATATGTTCTCAGCAAACTACTCTGAGAGTTTAAACTGAGTTTATCAATCAGGTGAAAGACAAGCTGAATTTCTCAGTTTACTACTTTGAAGTACCTGAAGTAATATAAACGGTGCTTATCTATACAACAGTAACAGGTGCAGGAGTGTCAACTCCTACATGTCCTTATTTCGTTTGTCAAAAAAAGCAGACCACTTCTATGCCTGTTGTACTTGTCCCAACACCTAGAAAGTATAAGAAACTCAGCCTGCCTCAGCTATGTTGCTATATCCATGGATACGCTAATAAAAAATCGTTTGGAATTGCTTATACGAGGGTACTTCAAAAAGTTTTGTGCAAAACTGAAATAAAAATAAGTTTATTTTTTAAGAAATTAAGTTACTTGGGATGGGGTTGGGAAGTGTCTTCTATGTCCCTCGTTAACATTTTTTCTTTCTGATTTTACTTTTGATTGGCAAGTATTTGAATATAGTAAGGCATGAGGTTTCAACAGAAGTATCCATTGCGCAAAGATCGAGACAAAGTGGTTAGCATCTCCAACATTTCCAACATTTCCTCTTTCTTTGTGATAAGAGAGCACTTAAAATCTTACAGCCATTGGGGAATTCTGCAGTGCTGGAAATAGCAGAAGTCACCCTAGGGTGCCACATAACCTACCCTACCTAGTTGTAAATTCCTAGGTCATTGACCGAATTCTCCCCTCCCAAGTTTCACTCAGACCCAGTTAGCATAGTCTACCTACCCACGCTAGATTTACTTTTCATTATTCAAAGTAATTTCTGGAGGCAGGCATTTGGCCTGGTAGTTACAAAGTTGATTGAGATGCCGCCTCTGTCTCCCAGGTCCCAGCTTCCGGTCACTGCAGACCGGGGTAAGCAGCAGTGGCCGAAGCAACTGTGCTGCTATCACCCACATGGCAGACTCAGATTAAGTTCCTGGTTCCCGACTTCGGCCCAATCAAGTCCTGGCTCGTGGGCATTGGGGAAGTGAACCAGCAGATGGGCGCTTTTCCTCTCTACCTGCTTCTATCTGTGTCCCTCAAATACTTGAGAAAATATAAAGTGGAAAGCAGTCATCTCCAGCTACGCGTGCCTCGGGAGAGAGCTGGAAACCACGGGTCAAAGGGCCTCGGTGATTCACCAAGCTGCTCTGAGCTCGGGGCAGGATGAGGGCAGAGTGTGCAGCAAGTCTGTTCTTCCTAACAAGTGTTGGTCACGGGAAACCGCATTTCACTTCTCTACTCCAAACTCTGACTCAGCATAGGCACGCTTCATCCAAAGCCAAGGTTTGCTTCTGGATCTCATCAATACGACGACAGTGGCCCAGGTCGTCGGTGTTGACTGCCCACATGTAGTATAGAATTAGTATTTTACAGACAAACGGGACAAACAGAGACAGTGTCTGCTCGGAATCAGGGGCGAGGTGAGGGAAAGCGCCCCGAGTGAAGCTCGCAGTTCTCACCGTGGCGACCCCTTCTCTTGCAGTGCACAGGCACCGGGCAGCACGCCCCTCACTCACACCTCCCAAGCAGCGCACACAGGCTGCCACCACAACAAGGGACTCACCCCATTCGCGTGGAAGCAGGGGACTCAGAGGGTGACATGCACGTGGCCAAACGTACATTTTGTAAAACAACTACCTAAAATGTTTCCCCACCTGTGGCTTTTTCACAAACATTCTGGATGTTGTAAAAGTTGAACAAGTCGCAGGGACAGAACAGTAGATTAGTAGCCACCTACTATTTAAGGGTAACCAAAATCACAGAACAAAATTGTCATGTGATACAATGGGGGGAAAAATACAAATGCTTACCCCAAACAAACAAAACCCTACAAACACCACGGTTTGGGAATTTTGGGAGAATCTTGGAGAATCATCAGGATATCCTGTCTGGAGTGCCTGCCCTACCAGCAGCCATTTGGATTTCCTATTCCTCCTGACATCAGTTCCGCTCGGCACCACGTGGTGACATGGGGTGGGGGAGGATGGAGAGGGAGGGTCACTGCCTGCACAGGAGCGAAGTGACTGTTACACTTCCAGGCGTGCATGTGTAACCAGACAACTGCCACCCTTGAGGTTTCAGCCCCAGACCATCCCTGGGAACACGACCATGAAAGGTCCTGGCTGATGTCTGATCCTCCACAGAAAGTTAAGTAATGGGAGACAGCCTTATGGTGGGGCAGGTAAAGCCAATCCGAGTTCTGGCTGGTCTACTCCCAATCCAGCTTGCTGCCAGATAGCCTGGGAAAGAGGCACAACACGGCCCAAGTGCTCACACCCCTGCCACCCACACGAGAGACGTGGCCTACCTAACACTGGCTGACGGGGCCTTCTGTGGAATGGAACAGAGAGTGGAAGATTTCTTGTCTCTCCCTCTCTGTTACCCACTTTCAAAATAAATTAGTACCTTTTTTAAAAATCAACAAAACATCCCCAACACTTGCGAAGTGGGAACCGACAGCTGGAACATCTCAAGAGACAGCACTGTGTGAACAGAGGCCAGGGGTTTTGCCTGGTGGTTCAGGTACCGTTGCACTGGCATGTTCCACAGTGTGCTCGGGTTCAAATCCCAGCTCTGCTCCAACTTCTAGCTCCAACTTCTAGCTCCCTGCTAGAAGGGAGCAATGGTGACTCAAATATTTGAGTCTCTGCCATCCACATGGGGGACCTGGATAGAGTTTCACATTGCTGCTTTGGGCATGGTCCAGCCCCAGGTACTGTAAGCATGTATGGTGTGAACCAGCAAGATGAAAGATCTCAACTGAACCTGGAACAATGGCTCAATGGCCAAATCCTCACCTTGTGAGCACCAGCATCCCATATGGGTGCTGGCTGGTTCATGTTCCAACAGCTCCACTTCCCATCCAGCTCTCTGCTCACGATCTGGGAAAGCAGTAGAGAATGGCCTAAAGTCTTGGGACCCTACACCACATGGGAAACCCGGAAGAGGCTTCCAGTTCCTGGCTTTGGATTAGCTCAATTCTGGCCATTGTTGCCATTCAGGGAGTGTACTGGCTGGCAGATCTTTCTCTCTTTTCTCTCCTTCTTTCCATTAATCTAATCTGCCTTTCCAACAAAAATAAATACATATATTTAGTCTCTGCCTCTTTTTTTCCTTCTTACTCCTTTCCCAAACGAACAAACTCAATCACAAAGAGCTCTGGGTCAGCCACTTTCAAGCCCCAGGGACTGCACATCTTCTAGGTCAACCTTCCCCAAGTGTGCTTTTGGGACTGTGCCACTTGCTTCCCAGGAACATCCCAGCTCACACACTGGAAAGCCCAGAGCAGTGGGCAGTGGTGCACATGTCTGAAGCGGGAGAGCACAGGGCACATGCCAAGAACAAGGAGCCATGTGGCTAGAGTGTGTGAGCAGAACGGAGCCCTGCCGGGTGAGAGGGCCGCAGGCCAGGCAGAGCACAGTGAGCAGGCAAAGCCCAGGTCTCCACTCTGGACAGTCGGGAGCCCCAGAAGCCTTCAGTAGAAGGGAACACAACCCTGAAATGCCAAGACTGAAGGCCAAGAAGTGGGCTTAAAGCAGTAGACCAGGAGAGGATGAGGGGGTCTGGGCCAGGAGCCAGCAGCGGAGGCTGTAACAGTGCGTTTCTTGGGACAGACTAAAGATGCGGCTAACAAATACAGGTGGTAAGAGAAGTCACGTGATAGACGGCTGTAGAGTTTTGGTCTGAGCCCCTCACAGCACAAAAGTCCCACTCCTGGGTAAGCAGAGCAAGTACTCCGCGAGTGTGGCATGGCCACTGCGCTGAGTTGCTATCCT